ATATTTTCTTCAAAGTATTCTATAAGACAGTGAGTGAGTAATTACATGTGGTCAGGCGGTGGTAAGTAGTTGGGTCAATCGTTAAGTCAGCTACGTAGTTAACATGCAAACATAGCGTTGGCAAATCACGGTGTTTTAGTTGTTGATAACTAAGTCGACGGTTAAGTGAATCAACTGATCATTAATTTAATAAGTAATTTATTCAATGCATTAGTATATGCTTTATGAGGGTTAAAGAGGACGAGGAGTCTAATAATATGTAAAAATATATTTTCCTTTTATTTCTGTTGTAGAATAGGATTATCCAACGGTTGCAAAAGGCTTAGCACTTGTACACACAAACTTTTATTCCTACTCACCCTGTCTCTTGGATTCATTGTGCTTAAAAAGGTTTTAGCAGCTTCCTTAGCGATCGTTAGCCGGCTTCCTCTCATCGATCCACTGGAGTCGAGAGCAAGAACAACATCCTTTGGCTTCGGGGTGGCCGTTTCTACGTAAAATGGCCTTAAACGAGGATCATAAGATCTGCAATCTTCCGTATCCTCAAATGCAGGGTAATTAGCCAACGTGCCTTCTTCTGATGCAAAATATTGCCACTTGATGAAAGGATTATCTTGCAAAATATTTTTCATCTCCTCCACGACTGAATTGGCGACATGTTTAGGTGATGGGGGAGCATTTTGAGATACTTTTACGCACGCACTTGATACGTCGATTCGCTTTCGAAATCTGGAGTCATATTCTGCATTTTTAGATGAACTTGGCACTCGACAGCATTCTGTCGGAATTGATGAGGGAGGTGTGGGCAAGGAGGACTCAACAGCTGTCTTAAGCCTTTGTACAACGTGAAACCTGTCTCTGAATTTGTTTGAGACACTTACTGCCAGATTGGGGATAAGTTGACTGCCATCCACGGCTGTCTCTGTAAACTTTAACCTGACAAAATGCTCCTGGATAAGAGATAATCAAGATTTACAAGAAGAAATAGATAAAAGAAGAGATAAACTAGGATTTGTAAAAGAAGCAAACAACTGACGTGACGACTCTTTTCATGTAACCGGTGTACTGTCAGTTGAACTGGTGCGTTTAAAATGAGATTGAGATGGTTGGTGGAAGAGATAGATTTTGAGATTGGGATTAAGCAAGAAGGACTTGAACGGGTATGAAGATGAAAATTATTTATTATTTGCTTATAATAAAAGCTAATTTTTTGGTTTGTCTCACGATGTAGTCACGTGTGATGTAGACGCGACGTTTCGACTGCATACTGATAGTCTTCTGCAGACGACCAGGTCGACTGGTCATGCGTGATCTTCTAAAGCAGGATGTTCTGCTGTGATTAGTTGTTTTTACAACAGCTCTGATTGGTGCATTTCGATACTTGCTGTTCACTCAGTGATTTGCTCCCTCGGCGGTCCGCTGTCGCACGGCTCTCCTGTTGTTGCGTTTTTTGATCGTGGGCATCCACGCTTCTGGAATTTCCATTCCACTATCCCTGTTGATGTTGTTAGGGTGAGGTCTTATATGAATTGCCTCTTTGCCCCTGCGCGTGTAGTAATAAGGGTCACGATCAATAAACTTTACTTCGTTCCAGAGTGGCTTGTGTCTAGTGTTGCGGGCATGCTCTGAAACGGCGGAGGTCTCAGTACGGGCGAGTCGAATGTCTCGATCGTGCTCCTTAATTCTGTCTTGCATAGCTCTTCCAGTCTCTCCGACGTACACCTTGCCGCATTTACAGGGAATCCCGTAAACTACGCCATCTGGATTGATCGTGATCCTTATTACTACCCGCGCAGCGTAAAAGAGGCAATTTATATAAGACTTCACCCTAGCAACATCAACAGGGATAGTGGACTAGAAATTCCAGAAGCGTGGATGCTAACTGAACAGAGTGCTGTAAAGAACTCAACACCACAGCTTCCCTGTCAATATTTGATATCTTTATGATTGCACAGTGTTTATTGAGTGGAGCGAAGGAAATCTGTGGCAAACGTGACCGGTGGTAGGTTTTTGTGTACGTACTCCTCTCTAGTGGCACTTCTAAAAACTGACCCTGTCTATCATGTGTAGCTCATTGGAGCTGGATCGTGGAACATGAAACTGTATGAAAACTATGATCTATTTCGGTAACAAGAATAAAAAAAAAAGTTGTTCTATCACGCGTGTTTTTAGTGCGCGCGATGTCTGACCAACGTAAACACAATCACAATCTTTAAATTTGAGCTTGTACACGATTCCTCTGGAAGCCTCTCTCTCGATCCATCGTGTCGTTTGGCTTTTTAATTACGGTCGAGATTGAGCGGATAGGCTTATAGGCGACTTTGATGTTGAAACTTTGAAGAAATTTAGTGACTCTCTCGGAAAATCCTTTGGCATAAAGCGGGATAACCAAGCCGCGCTGGTTGGTATCATTAATTTCGTGTTGTCTATTAGGTTGGTGGCCATTGTTTGTGAAATTAGCAGGGTATTTATTAGCGGCGAGGGCTTTCGTTACTCCCAAATGGTTGTTTAGATACGTAGATGACAGCTACGTGTGTGTAAAAAGGGAACACGTAGATGAATTTCATTCACACCTCAATTCCATCAACCTTCACATCAAATTTACAATCGAGATAGAATCAGAAGGTTCCACTGGCTTTCTTGACACTAAAAAAACCAGACAAGAAGATGGCACGACCACTGTGCCTGTCTACAGGAAAGCTACTAACACCGACCTTGTTTTCAAATCACACCACCATCCCCAGTACAAAAACTCGGTCGTGCGCACTCTCATGGATCGCGCAAAGAACATCCTTCCGCTAAGGACGAAGTGTCTCGGGAAACTAAGCGAGTAGCGAAAGCCCTCGCCGCTAATAACTACCGTGCTAATTTCATTCACAATGGCCGCCAACCTAATAAACATCGCACGCACTAAAAACACGCGTGAAAGAACATACAAATGCCTTAGCAACACTGCATGAAAACTCTCTGTTGGCCAAACACCATATGCTTTACAGTCACCAAATAGATTTGGAGAGTGTTGAAATTGTTGAAAGGTCATCGGCGTGGCGACAAAGACTAATTCTTGAAGCTTGGTATTCCATGCGAGATAGAAACGCTCTAAACGAACACTTAACGCTACCAAACATGTAAAATAACATTAAGAATTTTTAGAGCCATTGAAAATACTCTAAAGACTATGGTTACACTAAAAAATTCCTTCAAGATTTAGTTTTATCATACACGTGGACATATACCAAGCAGGACGCCGTTAGATATTTGCATTTTTTTATCTCTGCTGAAGAAGACAACAGTTAAGTAGCCGAAACGTCCAAAAAAATATTTTTTAGCCAGTGCCAACTTTTTTTTTTTCTTTTTACAAAAATTTTTAATATGCCTGGTACACACCTACTATTTTTATGATCTATTTCAATCCTATAAACACTACTTAATTAGTTAAATTATTTAGCAGCAGAAATGACATAAAATTCTCCGCCAGATAATGCTGTTGGTGGGCAGTAATACATTGCAGGACGTAACCATTTACACAAATTTTTCTTGCGCAAAACGTTTTTGATATACACAGGAATTGAAAGGACTTCACGTGTATCCAAACTATGAATCTTGATCTTACCTGCAAATTAGAGACGCCAAGTCCATCTGAAGCTAGTTTGGTTAATGTTTGACTGAAAAGACTTGGATCTAGTAAATCAGCTGTGCAACACGGACAAAACGTCATCAAAAAAAGCATTACAGCGACCGAATTCCCATTTTCAGGAAGGAACGAGGAAGACGCCATGTTTTTGAGGTGACAGTCGTACTTAGCTAGCACCGTCTTCTAGTCGCCGTTTCAGCTCGTTTCCACAGCAAGATACTGCTTACGTTGAACCCCAACGCTTTTTCCTGGCTAGTATTTTTTTCTATTTTTAACGAATGACGTTACCTGATCCCAATATTTCACTTTCGTGATCATAGAAACTAGAATTTGTATTCTGTTTATCGTCAAGTAACTGCGAAATTATTTTATATTGTTTTTTTTTTCAATTGAACTACCGTTGTATGCTATGTTTCTATTCAATTAGGTCCGTGCTTTTGCATAAGGTTATGTAAGAATTACGTAACGCTGGCAGCGTTTTATTTCTCGCCAGTGTAAGCGTTGTCTTCTCTAGATAATTTTCATTGCTAATTGATTTCAACTTAGTCGTTCCGTTAGTTTTTGCTAGGGCCGTGTTACTTTTGTTTAAGAGTTTTACACACAAGTTACGATATTCAATTTAATACGGTATATTTACTTGTAAGTATGATTTATAATTTTAGCCAGTATTGTATTGTAAATAATCATGAAATTCAGCCTTATTAGGCTGCCATCTGATTTTTAATGAAGCTATCTATCTATCCATCTATCTATCTATCTATCTATTTGCATATTCGATCACGTCAGATATATTGCGCATCAAGTCTATCGGATCTGATACATTATTTGCATTCTGGCGTAAAGTTGTCTGTTTCAATGCACTTTCGTCTTGATCGATCAGAACCGTTTTTTTATGGTATCGATAAAATTCCCTAAAAATCGGTTGTTCGACCGGAATCGTTTACTTCAGCTCGTCTTGTCACCTTACGCAGGTGTTCGTAATAGCATGGGTAATTACCTGAAAGTAAAACTACTAGAACGCACGTGGGATAGCCGATCTATTTCACTGAACACATGAAAATTCTGTAAACTTCCTGTTTGGTTGAAAAATCCCACGCGTTCGTTCTGTTAATAATACTGTTTTAGAAAAATTACTTAGGATTTAAACTACTTTTCACACAAGGCAATTGTTAAGAAGCTGATGTGGAGTGCAGTGTCAAAACGCTATCCCAGCTCAATCAAATCAATCTTTCCGTATTCCGTTTTCCCTTCATCACTAACCATTCCAAAATTCATTATTTCAACCTCGTGACATCATCACGATGCCGACTTACACAACATATATATCTCAACAACAAATCCGCTGTTCAATTTGCTGGCGGGCTGATAAAGTGGACTTCGTTCGAGTGAACGAGGCCATTCAAGGTGTCCCAAAAATAACCCTTATAATAGTTTGAACTAATTCTTAAACGGGTCTCAATGAAAGGTCAAATTTAAGCTTGAGTATGAGTTTTACTAGAGTCATTTTAGGTAAAGGGAAAGCAACTAGAACCGGCTTAAAGGTAACTTTTTTTAAGCTAGTGCAACGTCTTTACGAGAGGACATGGGCATGTGTCAATGTGAAATATTTTCAGTCCATAGTTATGTTTGCTTAATTTTTTCCTTTAAGAGCTCAGTCGGTCTCCTTTCCCCTTCTGGAATAGCTACTAAAAGATGTCAAAGCAGACTGTTCAGCAGGTAGGCAGAATTGATAAGAATGCTACTTCTTTTTATTTATCAATACTCGCTAATGGTAGTGAGAATATAGAAGTCATCAACTTGTTGATGTGAGTTCTGGGTGTTTTTTGGAAAAGGAAATCGTCAAAGTAAACTCTGATATGAGAATTGCACAAGGAAGCTTAGGGAAGCTGGGGAAAGAACAGATAATATCTCTGCAAACACTATCTAGAGCTTCACTGACAGACATAATTCACACACCTCTGGAGTTATTTTTAGAATTTTACCTTAAGGATCCAGGCCCATTTGTTTGAAGGCCGATTAGCACTAATCCATGGTTAAATTTTATTCTGGGATTCTTTATTCCACTGTTCAAAAGCCTTTATAGGATAATTTTTTCTGTGCCTTTTAGAGAATCCAACTATATTGTAGACAAAAAAATTGCACTGAATTTTCTTTTAAAGCTGTCAGATCTGAAATCAGATCTCACACACTAACCATAGGTTATCTAAACCAAACTACGAACAACCTGGCCCCAGATCTAAAAGTGTAAAAATTTATGAAAATTTGATATTTCAGGTAGCATGATTATTTCTTGCATAATTTTCAATGGCAGAGAAAATACTTGTGTGAAAAATACGTCTCTTTTTATCATTATTAATAAATTTAAGTTCATTTGCCTGTCTTGTTGTTGTAATTTCAATGTTGCTTATGTAGGGGCTGGAAATTTAATATAAATTTCACCAACAGATCTTAAATTTGTTAAGACAAACCTTTTCCAACAATTACAGAAAATGTGGTAAACTCAGTCTGAAAAATTGCAATTCCTCATATATATGAGTTAGTGTGTACTCATTTGTAATGTGTGCTAGCTATCTTAACAAAATTCATTGCTCTTTTTGCATAGTTCAAGTTCAGAGGATGATAAATACATTGAACCAAGGACAAAAGTCCCCACTTTTCATTTTCAAGACAGCCTTCCTCGGCTACCAATTCCAAAGTTAGAAGACACATGTCGCAGGTATCTGGATGCACAGAAACCTTTGTTAACACCTGAACAATATGAAGACACTAAGCAACTTGTTGAAAAGTTTCAGAAACGTGAGGCTCCAGGTGTGTAATTTATTAAAATATATTAAATTGTATTATTTTATCATAGTCTTTTGGGGATTGTCATTATTTTTGTTACAATTATTATGATATCATTGTTGTAATTATAATTAATACTATCTTCTCCAACATTGTTTTTTAAATAATTCTTTAATTCTTTAAACCCTAAGGGTGACCAGAATCTAATTTATCTTTACAGTAAGACTGCTGAATAACCAACCTAAAAAGCTTTGATTGTTAAACAGGGTCTCCTGGTCAATAACAAAAGATATGTGTATAAAAGGGTACGGAGAAAACAGATTTTGATGTTAGGGTTCAGAATCTAAAAGATGCTGACTTGTGAAATAGTATTCTTAGGCATCGGAGATTAGAGAATTATTTAGCTACAACTCTGGCTAAAATTCAACAGCTTTGTAAAATTCACATGTCTTGGTTTGGAGAAATTTGCTACATGAAAAAACAGCAATCACTGGCTGAATAAATTCAGTTGGAAATCACCTTGTAAAAGCACAACTGGAACTCCTCATATTACACACTTAGATGTACAATCGTTCAAGATCTAACATTCTCTTTTGGCTGCCTCTCTTGAAATTTCAGCCAGCAGCCTAATTTCTTAGATAGATAGTTTATTATCAAGAACCTTGCAGCCACAGGCTGAATTACATTTGATTTACAATAAAATATATACTACAAAAAATACATGGCTAAGAAGAACTAATTAAAAAGACAAAAATATATAATTAAGAGAAAAACAATATTACATCATTGCTTTATGGACATAGTGATGGATAAAACTATTTCGAGTACGAATGGTGTGGAGGCGCCGTGTAGTAAAAGAGTGCTGACTCCTTAAATTGACTTCGCACTCATTCTTGGGAGGTAGTAAGCTATAGAGCTTGTGCGAGGGATTAGACAGGATGGAATTAAAAAGCTTATCACATAAGAACTCGCGGCGGTTGTGTAAGGGAACTAGACCAGTCAAAAGAAGCGCCTCATTGTACGAACAATCTGGATAGATAATACGTAAAGCTCGCCTTTGACATCTCTCAAGATCTACTGAAAGGTATTGCGGGAGGCTATGATGATAAACAGGGCATGCATATTCAGTGACAGGCCTAATACAAGTCAAATAGAAGAGCAAAAGTTCCTCCGACTTGACTTGTGCACGCTTAAGCTGACGCAAAAAATACAGGCGCTTGTTTACTTTCTTTACAACTTCGGATACGTGATTATTCCACATAAGATCGCAAGATATCTGCAAACCTAAGATCTTTGCTTGCTCTACACACTCTAAGTCCTGATCATTAACCTTAATTGGATCAAAGTTCTTTCTAGAGTGACTGAATGTTATGCGCAGTTCCTTGCACTTGGTTTCATTTAATTGGAACTTGTCAGCAGAAGCTTGCGTCGCGAGTTCGTCAACCGCTTGTTGGACTTTGCTGACCTCAGACTTCATGACTGTTTCAGAAATAGTGGAGTCATCGACATATTTCCACATGTCTGTACCCGGGATGATGAGGTCGTTTATCATAATAGTAAATAACCAACCTAAAAAGCTAAAATCCCTGTAGAACTAGCATATAAATATATACAAATATGAATTTTCACCTGTGCCTTCTAACAAGCTTTCTAAGGTTTTCTCAGTTACAAAAATCTTTTGCAACTATATATTTAAATTTTCATCAGCTTGCTTTATGAACAATAGCCCCTATTGGCTTTAAATAATGCATGGATGTTTGTCTGCAGACAGTATTGGTTCCAAGAGGCAAACAGTGTTTGGAGAGTGAAGCTCAAGGAAAACTGTGAGCTTTGAGGAACAGATAGTGTCCAGAGACAAATATTTGTGCATTTTTGTGTGCAAAATGGAGGCTATTTTATCCTTTATCTTTCAAATACTTTTGTAATGCACAGGGGAAAACCTTTGAAACTTTATGCTAGCATAATGACCTGTAGTTTTTCTTTGCCCACACAGTGTTTTGTGTTCTCTTCAACAGGCCTTCATGCAGAGCTTATACAGAAAGACAAGCGCAACAAACATACAAGTTACATAGCAGGTATCTCATAAAAGCTATAAAATTATGTACAGACTTAGAAAGTGTTGCCTGCATAATTCACAGGATTCAAATTAAGCTACATGTAGCTATAGCATTAAGCTATAAAATTATGTACAGACTTAGAAAGTGTTGCCTGCATAATTCACAGGATTCAAATTAAGCTACATGTCTTGTTCTGTTTTTATGCAAGTATGTTTGTATCATTACACCCATATTTTATGTTGCGAGTCAAAATGCTGAAAATTAGGCTACACTGTAAATGATTTTAAGTTGTATTTGTTTGGTATCAAAGTTTTGTATTGCAAGTAATGTATTGTAATACTAAATAACCTATTAAGCATTTTGGTGTGTAGTATTGCTGAGTATTTTACTCCTTGTTTCCTGTATTTTGACTTGCCATTCAGGCTGGTCAAAATATAGCACAACTTGTGAAAAGACTTAGCATGAGTAGCAAAATACTAAAATGTTTAATATTAAGATATTTTAGTGTATAGTAACATTGTGGTGTGAAATGTAGAATAAAAAAAAAAAAAAAAAAGAAAGGCTTTTATTCTGATGATGTGAAAGTCAGCTTGTGGAACAGCTTTTACAACTCTCGTAACACTCCCTGAATGACCAATACAGAATTTTTCTTACAATATCATTACAATATTAAGCAGACAGCTGATGAGAATGAAGAAAAATATCAATTAGGGGATTTTTGGTTGATCCAATACTAAATTCTCTGTACTAATATTATAACACATGTATGGCAGATAGTAAGGAGAATTACTAATGAAATCTTGGAAGTGAAAGGCTTGAGCTCTGCAACTCTGTTCCTACTTTTTATCATAAACTAAGGGTCAAGTTGTTTGTCTCTTTCCCAACAAATGAAAACTTCAGCTTCAGTTTCATAACCCAATTTCCTCTTTTGTATTATTCTTATCTTATTAATTTTAGCATCTGCTTTTTGCTTAAGTAATATCCTAATTTTTTTTAATTGTTGTATTATTTGAATTGCTAGTAACGTCATCATTTTAAGTTATGATAGTATTAAAATTATATACATTGTCACTGAAAAGCAAACTTTAAGGAATGTTTGTAAAATTTGTATTGTATAGAAAAATGTATTTTTCATCAAGCTAGACCACACTTTTGGCAGTTGGCTATTTCCATGAGCATTTTTTTTATAAAGGCAATCTACTTTATTCAAAAAGCTTTCTAATGTACTCCTTACCTATCTTATGTCACCAAATCACCTTGCAGATTTTTTTTCATATATAGTCTTGAAATAATATCACCTTGCTAATTATTAAGATCTGCCATACAATTCTTTTTTTCATATGAACACATATTGATATTCTTTCTATTCTCATCACCTGCCTGCTTGATATTGTATTGATATTATGTGTCCCTTCAACTGACTTATTAGAGTCCTTGATATCATTGTCTATCAGGTCCTTGGTATGACATGTATTTAGAAGCCAGGGATTCTGTAGTTCTAAACTACAATCCATTCTTGATGTTCAAAGATGATCCAGTGGCTGAAAATAATAATCAGGTACCATTGTGATAAAATTACAGTATTGGATTCAAAGAAAGATTCATTTTTTTTTTACATTTGTACTTATTATTACTGATTGTTTTTGTTTTTGTTTGTTTGTTTTTTTTTGACAACAAGCACTGCTAAAGGAAAAACTATTTGAACCTCAAACCCCTTAAGATTTGGGCTGTGATTCTGTGACACTTATCAGTTAGAGTACTAGAATGGCAAGCCTAAGGCGACTGCTAGGTTTAATTATGACATTCCTCCTGCATAATGCTTGGATCAGCAATTTCTAAAGTGTAGTGTTCTTTGCTGTGTTCTTGTGATAGGTTGTTAGGGCAACCAACATGATAAAGTCTGCGATGAGGTTCAAATTATCATTAGATGATCTTTTTCTTGAGCCTGATATATTTCATCTAAATCCTAAATCAAGTGACACACAGTGGTTTCGGAATATTATAAGGTATGTTTCTTACAGTCAGTTACTCTAAATGCATTTGGTATTTTGTGATTACTTCTCTTTTGCTTTTACAATACTCAGTCATGCTCTTTCTATCAGCAGTTTGTTACTCTTCTTGAGTCAACCTTTTGACCCTAAGAGTGACTAACATCTACTTTCTCCTTACATTGTCAACCCTGAATCACACAATAACATCATGAGAAGAAAGGAAATGATCAGCGACTGAAGAAGCTCTTGATTGGTTGAACAAATTCTCCTTGTCAGCACCATAGGAAATGTATAGAGAACAGCAGAGAGAATATTCATACTGATGTTAATGGCTCATGATATTATTTTCAGGTTTGTTCCTCGGCAGCTGTCTTGGTATGGTGCATTTCTTGTAAAAGCTTTTCCTCTGGACATGAGTCAGTACAGCAGACTGTTTTGCTCCACACGGATACCAGAGCTGAAAAAAGACAAACTGGCCACATTTGAAACCGGACGGCATATTCTTGTCATGAGAAAAGGAAACTTTTACGTGTTTGACACAATCACAACAGATGGTAAGATCGGAAACATCACAAATGTATCACAGTAAAGAGATGTATTTTTAAAACGGTGACCAGGACATGTTACAAGGGAAATAATTTTAAGAGCAAGGAAATATGTGGCTCAAATATTGCGTGCTAAATATTTCAGGTCGATGGGAACTATTTTATCTTTAAGTAGTTCCATGTTAATGAACAAGACTTCACTTTGTTGACTGTTTTTCAATACCGTGACTGGTTCTCTAAATGTGAACGTGTTACTTTTCTCATTTTTAGGTAACATAGTCCCAACTGCCACCATATATCAAAATCTCAAATACATCATTGAAGACTCCACCCCGGCCCCCAACTTCCCAGTAGCTGCTCTGACGTCAGAAAATCGTGACAGTTGGGCGAGCATGCGCCATGCTTTGGAAGCCATTCCAGGTAATGAGGAGGTCCTCAAGTTGATTGACAGCGCCGTGTTTGTTCTCTGTTTGGACGATCATGACGTTAGCAGTATTGCGGATGTTACGCGAACGTTTCTTCATGGTGATGGACGAAACAGGTAAAGACCTTTGAAAGCTTCTCTATATGTGTGAATTACTGTAGCGAGGTAAATAATGGAAGCCTTGCATCTACTTATTTTATAGCTCTTTATCTTAGAGCATTGTCAGGTAAATATTTTCTGTGACTTTTTTATTTCTCAGATGGTTCGACAAGTCATTCCAGCTGATAATTTGCAACGATGGTAAAGCAGCAGTTCATTTTGAACATGCTTGGGGCGATGGAGTTGCTGTGTTGCGTTTCTTCAATGAGGTAAATAGTTTACATAATGCTACTTTGATAAGTTGTTAACCTCACAGGAAAGAAATATAAGCATTTTTCCGCTCTTGACACTTGTGCCACTGTTTAAGCGCGCTTGGTATCCGCGTCACCCTTTCCCGCGCTTGGCACTCGCGTTACCTTTTCCCGCTCTGGACATCTGTGCCACTTTTTTACCGCGCTTGGCGTCCGCATCACTCTTTGCCGCGCTTGGTATCCGCGTCACCCTTTCCCGCGCTTGGCATACTGTACGCGTCACTTTTTTTCCGCGTCGGACATTTGCGTTACTTTTTCCCGCGCTTGGTATCCGCGCTTCATATTCCGTTTTCTTGTCCTTGCAAATTAGGATTTTCATATCAACCTAGAATTCAAGTCGAACATCTATCGATATCAACGTCTTAATTTTTTCCTTTCACAGGTTTATAAAGACACTACGACTCGGCCGGCTTGCACCCCGGCCACCGCTCAAAACTTCAACGCGCAAGCGACCGCGAGAAAATTGGACTTTAAATTAAACCCTGAAATTGAGAGAGGAATCAGCGCCGCTAAAGAGAAATTCGACAAAACTGTAAATGGACTAGACATTGCCGAGCTTCAGGTTCACACATATGGAAAAGATTATATAAAGAGCAAGAAACTCAGCCCTGATGCAATCATGCAGCTGGCTATTCAGGTAAGTGAACACAATTTTCTGTTGTTTCCTTGAGTTTCATAGCACTGTCACTCATTTCCTTAACCCGTTCACTCTCACGATCTCATTAGTCATTTTGCCTACTATTTTCCTCACAACTCCTAAGATTTTGGTTTAGAGAATTTTGTCTTGGATCAACTAATAATTTGTCTGCTTGATATTGTATTGATATTGTAAGGAGAAATTTTGTCTTGATCACTCGTGGGAGGTTAGGGGTTAATCTCGTTTAAATGTATCGATGAAAAGGTAATCATGCGTGTTAATGCTTGCTAGGCCTTTTAACTAATGCCCCATTTACACCAAAGCTTAAAATGTGTTAAAGATTTATTGTTATGCACAAGGTTAAGATTTGGTCATGGGGTATGATCAACCGAGTTGATAACGTAACTAGCCCACCCTAGGCAAAGGGCTCTGACAAAGGGCAAACACTCAAAAAGTCAGCTTTGAAACTCTTTACGGTGGCCAATTTACGTTATCAACTCAGTTGATAATACTAAATTACCCAGTTATACGCAACACGACAGTTTCTTTAGAAACTTACCCCCTTTACTCGCGGTTGAAATTTGTTTTCTTCATAGAAGCTACATTGACTGATGCCAACGACTTCAAATTTAGCAAATTGAAAAAATACAAGTTAGCGATTAGATTGAATTCTATGGAAAATTCAGTTTTTCGGTTAGACCTTTTTTCCTTCTTGTTTGCAACAGATGGCTTTCTTTCGTCAAAACGGCAAGTTTGTTGCTACTTACGAATCCTGCAGTACAGCAGCTTTCAGACACGGGCGAACAGAGACAATAAGGCCAGCGTCCAACGCCACGGTAGCATGCGCAGAAGCATTTCAAAAATCGCACCGAGCGGGGGTAGAGGAAATGGTGGACAGAATCCGTCGAGCTGCTGATTGGCACTCAAAACTCACCAAAGAGGCTGCCATGGGTAAGTTTTTTAAAATCAAACTGTTACGCTGTCTGGTCACGCAAGACGGTAATATCGCCACGAAGTCCTCTTGAGCAACACAGCTCAGTATCTGGACAAATTCACTATGCAATCGCCTGACACTCTTTCGCTCAAACCTTATACTGTGCCTAATTCCGACAAAAATGATGTGTCGCGGAAGAAAACGACCTAATGGTTCCTTCTGATTTTCTTGGTAGGTCAAGGTTTTGACCGTCATCTCTTCGCCTTGCGTACCTTGGCAGAGTCCACGGGTAAAGTTCCGGATATTTTCCAAGACCCAGCTTACAGACAAATCAACCACATCGTCCTCTCCACTAGTACCTTATCTAGTCCCGCACTGATGCTTGGCGGGTTTGGTCCCGTGGTACGGGACGGGTTTGGAGTGGGATACGGGATCCAAGATGATTGGCTGGGGTGTAACGTAACCAGCTATCCACCGGAGAGAGATGTGCGAGGGTTTTTGGAATGTGTTCGACAGAGTTTAGAGGATATTTACAGTGTCTTAGAAGGAAAAAATTTCAAAGAATGACTGCCCACTGTCGTCTTAGAATTTTTAACGGCAGGAATACTTTTGCCGAATGGCTGATTGTTGTGCTTGGATAGCTTTGCTGCGGCAATACAGGAAGCTTTGTTGTCAAGGATACTTTTTTATGAGGGTTTTTGAAGACTGACATTAAACGTGTAGCAGAAGACGTGAATACCTCACGAATCTTCTGCTAAAAGATTATGAGCCACTGGAATTTCTTTCCTGAATTCAAGTTTTTTGGACATAAGTTCTACATGGAGGCACAACGAGTTCTGTAAGGGAGGGGAAGAAGTGCGAGGGAAGGGTTTTACACTCGCGTCTTACTGAAACTCGAACGCGCCGTGTTGTTATATCATATCAGATTATATATTCTTCCTAACATATCACCCACAGAATACCTCCTAGCTATGCCTTTGGTAGGCACTAATTGTAATTTTGTGCCTATACTTTTGTTTTATGCATAAACCAACTTTTGATAAATCACCCTCATGCTGTTGTGCCAGCCCTATATTAATTATTCAGAGCTATTTATCACTCTTATTACATATTTTAGTCTCCCACCCAAACTCATGATTGATGGTGACAAGCAGGACAGGTGTAAGATTCCATGTCGTTTTAAACCCGTTGTACTAAATTTTATACAAATCTGGATTTGCTTTGAAGTTTTACAGATTTCATTGGATTTGATTTTTCCTTAAGTGACGCAATTACTTTGTGAGCTCTTTCACTCTTGGTTAGTTCTCATGAATCTTTTTACTCAGAATTTTAACCTGTGTTAAAATGTTATTACTATATTCGGCACAGATTGAATTTCAGGATCCATTTGGCCATTATTCTCCGAATTTTTTTTGCTCTTTGTCCGCCATTTTATCAGATTAAAATAATCGTTTTCTTTAAAACTAGTATTGTGTCAGTTGTTATTACGCGTAAGGCTTCTTTTCAGTGTTCCAGTTAGCGCTTTCAAAGTTAATGATCAACAAATAATTGAATTAAGTGGTACGTCACGGGATATTAAAAGGAGAGGCAAAGGGTAACAGTTCTCATCATTTCATTGAATAGTTAAGATATACCATCAGGTAGCTTTAAGGGGTCTTTGTAGAGGGTTAAAATTAGCCAAAATTAGCGCGTTGCTCTTCGCGCAATATAGCAGGTCCAATCAGGAGCCAATGTCTGGAAAATGTGAAAAGATCGAAAGATCAATTTTGTGTCAAGTTAATTTTTTCGAGGTCGCAGAACAGTAATACTTAAAGCAGATGGCCAGCAGAAATATAGTTGTTAAAAAAAAAACAAAAAACAAAATAACAAGGCGTTTGGATATCGTTCAGCTCGCCCAACTTCCACACCTCGCACGCGGATGTGGTTGGAGCCGTTGAATTTGGAGGATCATTCATTGGTTTTGCCATCTCTTTCACTTGTGGAAGCAATGATATATATTTGAGTCAAACATGGTATGGTGAGCTAGGATATCCTTCCTTCAAGACTCCGACTTCCATTCTTTTAACCCTAGAGACACATTCACTTGAATTTAGTTATGACGCAGCAGAGCGATGTTTTACAGGATTATTAGGATCAGATGTATTGCATCTGTGATTTCTTGGAATTGAAGCCTCGTAGTTTGGAATAATTGTACAATTCGGTTTTCACTCTGTTCACTGTTCTCGATAATTTCTGGCTACCTTAACACTTGTTAGAACTGTTGAACGATTTTGACGTCAAGGAAAGAGCGGACCTTTTAGTAAAAGGAGACGTAACGACGATCTAAGTCCTAGCCAAATTCTTTAATTTATTAAGAAACGAGAATGGTGCAGACGTCAATCGCGTAATTAGACGACATCACAAAGAAGAGGGAATCAAAATTACACAAGACTACCTTTGTTTCGAGACCGAAGTTGCCAAAATCTTCTTTGGCAGCCAGCCATGACCTTTATTGTCAGTAATTTAATTAAAGACGTCCTTAAAGCACATCAGATTGAAAGGTATCAAGCTCTTGTTCTTAGTTGGAGATTTCAAGGAGTTCCTCCTCCCCTCACCCGTTCAGGCGAAGATTCGACAAATACATCATTCTTATCCCTATCGAAGCTCAGACTGCAGTGTTCAGTTCAAGGGTGTGACTATGTTTGAGTAGCATCCTTTTATATGATAGAGTGGCTATGTCTTTCCCACAATGATGGAACCAGCGATTTCAAAAAGAAATGCACAAGAGAACATATAATTACGTCAATTAAATCCAGGTTAAGCCGAAATGCTAAGATATCTCTGTCACGGCAGTGGAAGACGAGAGTGAGGCCTTGGATAGTTTAATGAAAATCAGCAGTTAAACATCATCCAGCACCTTTATGAAAATTAATCGTAACCAGCAAGTAATCTATTTTGTGTTTGGAACCACTATTTTACGCGGACTTTGAAGAAACCGCCAGTTTCACTTCGAAAATAATTCAATCTGTGTGCGAAGTGAGAGGGAAAACGACTCTTTCGGTTTTTTATGATCAAGATTTCGTCGATAGCCAAGCAAGTCGTGCACCAAGTGAGCTTATACGTGCACTATTCATCTGCGATGCGATTACTTAAAAGTCGGCTACAGCGACTTATTTCTCATAGAAAAGTAGGATGAGAGCTGAAGATTAAAGCTTCCTATGATGTGAGAAAAGGAAGCTGGAAAATTATGAATGGGAAAGATCCCATCAGATCACGTAGTACTTCATTCGCAGGTATTTAACACACGCACGCCAATGTATATATCGCAGCTAGTCTAATGGCGTTAGTCTAATGTTTGTATAATTCATCACCCATGCCTCTCAAACAACGTAGCTTGAATTTCATCACTCTTCACGATACCGAAAAACCAGAGTTTCTAGATCTGTGTAGCATAGAAGAATGTAGATGCAATGCTTGATTTAATTTGCTGTTGAAAAGATCTGGTGTAGATGTGTTAGAATACCATGACATGTAACTCAAAGTACATGGTGCACTTGTGCTGGTAATCGAACTGTTCAAATAGATGATCACTTGTTCAAACTTGCCAAATGAATGTTGGATATGTGACATGCAACTACAGGAGTCGTTCGTTTTGCAAACACTATATCTGTTGAGCATCCAACATGTTTTTTTATGCATATAATATTTTGTCTGTTATTTGGTTAATTTATTATCAATTTTATTATTATGATAATCGATATTGTTATTATCATTGTTATTAATATCGAAAGAGACTTGATTAGGAATTCATGTTCGGAAGCTATGCATTTCTCTACCTAAAAGGTAATTTTCGTTCTCGTTTTCCTCTTATTTTGTTATTTTCAAGCTGTTAATGGCTTCTGCGCGTTTGTGGTTAGGCCCTAGACAACTTTCGGTTCATCTGCGTACGTTTCCTCTAGTTTCCTCGTATGTTTAGTATGAATCTTCTTAGCGTTATAGGAGCCGAAATAAACCTCTGTATCAGGGTTGCTCGAGGGTTAAGTCTCTGTTTTTCACGGAGGTGTTGACAGAACCGACCACGTTTTGTTTTTTTGCAGTTTTCCAGCTTTCAAAAAAAGAAGAATCGTAGTCTTCTGCTAGCTCACCTATCGTCCTTGAGGGAAACAGAGGACGTGATCTGTAAGGAAACGTACATTCCATTGAGGACCACATTCCTGACTTTGTTTGAGACAAAAAAACTCATCCAGTGCCACCCAAACTCATTGGCACGCCGGAAGTTATAGCAGTTTATTGATCCTTAGTCGATATTGACTGTGGTTACGTAGGGTTCATCGATTTAGGTTTTGTTTCTACGGCAAACATATTTATCGCTTCAAAATCCATATATTTTTTATGTTTTTTTTTTCTATACGAGATTATTTGCCGATGATACTTCTTTAACAGTGTCTTGTAATAATTTAAATGACCTAAAATTAAAATAAATTTATTTCCTCCAAGTTTTTCTGGTTGGCTATGTGCTAAGAAGTTCACTTCAAAATTAAATGAAAAAAAAAGACCTCGTCTTTCAACCACGTAAGAAAGTGAACTTTAATCTGCTACCTCCATTATTTTTAGCAGATCAAATTAAATTAATATCCAGGTTTAATTCGTGAAATCGTGTGAAATTGAACGAGTTATGCCAAAAGAGGCTTTCCTCTTACATGGGGATACCGGATTCGTGTGACGGCCTTCAAACACAGTTATCAGCCTTACTAAACAGTGACACACCTGTTAGCCCAGCTTCATTTTTTATTCGTTTTGAAATAGCAACTCAGTACAGAATTCAGAAAGTTATTTGTTGAAAGCCAGTGTAAGTGATTTAGCTTAAAATGCCGAAAAAAGAAAACCATGAAATACAGTAAGATTTTAGAAAAATCCAAAACAAAACAAATCACTTGTAATAAAGGAATGAATGTCAGTCTTCGGAGTCACCATTTTCGTCGGTAACTATCGGTTCATCTCCGGAAATGGGCGCGGGCTTTTGTATTTCTTGGTGTTGAACGTCGTCAGTGAATGAAACATGTCGGTTTGGTCCAGGTCTGCGCCTTCCGGCAGTAGGCCTCCCACGTTGACCACCAGGAGCCTGCGGTGTCTGCATGATCTGTGATTGACCATACCTTGTCGGCCACATCCCAGACATAGCTTGGGTTGAGTAACCCATATCCTGACCGCCCAGCCTCATCTGCATGTTGGACGGCATAACTGTACTTTGGCCGGGGTAGTTCAACTGCATGGGGGCTTGTGCGGTGCTTTGACCAGGGTAGTTCAGCTGCATTGGGGCCTGTACGGTGCTTTGACCGGGGTAGTTCAGCTGCATCGGGGCCTGTACGGTGCTTTGACCGGGGTAGTTCAACTGCATCGGGGCCTGTATGGTGCTTTGACCGGGGTAGTTCAACTGCATCGGGGCCTGAACAGTGCTTTGGCCGGGGTAATTTAACGTCATTTTTGACTGCCTGCCTGCTCCTTTGCCGGGGTAATTTAACGTCATTTTTGACTGCCTGCCTGCTCCTTTGCCGGGGTAATTTAACGTCATTTTTGACTGCATGACGGTACTTTTGCCAGGATAATTCAACCCCATCGTTGATTGCATAGCTTTACTTTGGCCAGGATAGTTCAACGACATTTGGTTGAATCCTTCATTCGCATCTATCACAGTCGTAGGGTCTATCAACATATCCATTGCTTGAAATTCCATTTGCTCTTGTTCATATTGGAATTTCTTCCTGTGCAGGCAGCATACAACAACGATCAAAATGATAATAAGAAGTCCTCCGGCGCTTGATCCTATTATGATAAGTAACATCTTGTTCAGTTTTCGATCCCCTTGAATCTGTCTTCTCGGAACCTCTGGTAACAAAAAGGGGTTCTCTTGATCCATCACTCCATCATAACACTGTAGGTCACTCATACATTTGGGTTCCTTGAGAAGCGAGCCATCAGCTTCCCTGTTACACCAGAAACACCCGAATATCTCATTGCACTCTTTTTCATCGTACCGCTCGCAGTGCACGCTGATGCATCTTCCAAGGTCAGCGGAATTCACCTTTAGAGGCCCACGCTTTGGTACTGAAGGCGAAGGCTGGGTGCACAGCGGGATGTTGCTAAACAATAGAACATAATACAGTTACTTATAATTTATTTATAAGGTCAACACGTAAGATTTGAGATATTGTATGTAGAACAACAATTAAATATTAAAGAATCAAACCAAGGCGCTCTAAAACTGTGTTTAAAGGTAGCTATCTGAACAACTGCGCACCTACCCCTCCCCTAAATCAACAAAAGTAAACTGATCACAAGTTAGTGTTCATATTGGGTTAGGGGAGGGGTAGGTGCGCAATTGTTTAGACACTGACATTGATCCTTTGAAAAATGTACTGGGAAAAATTCCCATTTGTTTCATAACCTATTTTGACCATAAATCTGACTCATAGGGTCACCACAGCACAACACAGAAAAACTCCTTAGCTCCACGTGCCCTCAACTCAAAAGCGAATTGACAGACCCTCAAGTTTAAACTCGCGATTCATCTTTCTACAAAGACTTAGAAAAGCTTTGACTTATGATGCAACTCCACGTGTTCAAAAGGACATCATCCTGATTCACCCAGTGTTTGCTGAACTACTTTCAACAAAACTCATTTGTGTTCCATGAAGAAAAGCAGTACAGTACAGTGCATTAGTTTTATTAAATTTCCTCCTAGGAAAGTTTTCTGGGTTGACTTACGACACTTTGCGGGGAACTTTGGCCAGATTGCTTTAACGTTCCTTGCTAATCAGTACAGAGAAGATACAGAAGACGGGGCCTACGGTTTACCGTCCTTATCCTTATCCGAATGTCTAACCAGTTGCAAATGTCGTAGGTAACGCAGGAAGTTCTCCTCAGTTATTTTTAGACCCTGATTGTCGGTCGTGAAAGTTGTTTCCAAATCACTTACCTCTCTTCAGTGAGGCTTGCGTTACAGATGTTGTATGTCAAGCGAGCTTTACACGGACACTCACAATGCGTGCTCTCGTGATGCCTGCACACGTATCCGCAGGTGCACGCATCACGGTTTATGAGGCACGTAGAACTTTTGGTAACAACCACAAATACGTTTGTTTCGGGAACTTCAATGATTGCGTATGAACGACAATGACTCTTTTTTCCAAGTGTACCTATATATAGGCCGTTTTCTATCTTGATCTGAAACAGAGTATAAGACATACGAAAGTTTCAATTATTTTTCACACCAAAAATACTCGAGGTTTTGTTCTATTGAAAGTTTTTGCTGCCGAGTCTAAGATGGGCAAACATGTATGTATGTATGTATGTATGTATGTATGTATGTATGTATGTATGTATGTATGTATGTATGTATGTATATATGTATGTATTTGCGACATTTAGACACGCTGGCCCAGTTTAGCTTAATGCTGGTTTAAATGTGGATCTATATAAACAATGACAAGGCCAGACCACAACATCGGGAGCTACGTTCCTACTCTGTGCGAGAAGTGTGCAATTTCTTTAACGTCCCCTGCTAGCCAGTACGGAGGAAAGGCAGGAGACGTGGCCTACGGCTTATTGTCCTTATCCGAGGAGACTAGAATGTCTAACCATTTACCGATGTCCAAAGGCAGCACATTACCCTCAGTTATTTTAAGACCCTGAATGTTGGTCCAGTCTAGTGCTTAAACCCTCAACCTACCGTGCGGCAGTCCGGTGCTCCACAACGTGAGTCAACCAGGCACAGTTATCATACTTAAATGATGCTACTGCTTGAGAATAAAATTTAACAAAGTATTCTCGAGAGCATGAACATTGTCAAGAGTTTTAAAGCTTTATACCCTCAAATCAGTATGCATATTCTCCATACTGTTCTCTATACACCTTCTAAGGTGCTGACAAGGAGACTTTTTTTTTAAAACAATCAATGGCTTCTTAAGTTGGTGATCATTCCTTTATTCTCGTGACCTTGCTACCTGATTTAAGGTTGGCAATATAAGGAGAAATTAAATCTTAATCACTCCTAGGGGTGAAAGGGTTAAAGGCTTTCTCAAAGTAGACCTCCAATATTTCTCAAAAGCTAAATTCGCTGACTGTACGGCTAATGCTCGAAACATCAGCTTTATAAACTTTTCGCCCCCTACCCCCTACCCCCTACACATACCCCCTACCCCCTTCCCCTACCCCCTACCCCCTAACTCCTACCCCTTCCCCCTACCCCCTCCATCTTCCCCCTACCCACCAGCGCAGCACTACAGTTTCGTTAGACACTTAACTCATTTATAGGTTTAGCACTGCTGCACCTTAAATTACTGTGTACCTCATAGAATCGTTGCAACTTTAAGAGGATAAAGTTCTGGCATTCCTTCTTGACCATTTTACCGTTCTTGATCAAATTCCTTGCTATACCGGCGTGCATAATCGTGATGTGTCTATTGATAACCTTATTCGGATTGTCACCAACATCTTCAAAGGTTGGATGATAAACCACATAACCGCTTGAGTCCAGGAGAAAGCAACGCAGGCTCCCTTTGGAATCTAAGCACTTTTTTCCAACTTTTTTTTTGAAGTGTGCGCCAAAGTTTGAGACAGTAAGATCACCTCCCACGACACCAAACAAGTTTTTTCTACCATATGAAGTTCTGATAGACTGACTGATTGAAACAATGAAACCAGCACCTAGAGGATCTAGATATGGGGCTGCAAAAGATATGAAGTCTGGGCGATTTGCAACAGCACGAAGGTACCTAAAAGAAACAAACAATTTATATAAAACGTAGATAAAAACAGTCAGAGCCTAAACCTTTAGGATCAATATCAGTATCTAGGCAACTGCGCACCTATCCCTCCCCTAAGTTAGGGTTAATGTTGGGTCAGGGGAGGGGTAGGTGGGCAGTTGCCTAGATACTGATATTGATCCAATCTTTAATCAATTAAAAAAATAACCTGAAAACAGTTACAAGAAAAAGCTGATAATCGAAATCAGTCACGAAAATATAAATAAGATTATGTCTTATGCACCGAAACTCGAAAAAATGAAAAAGATGTAACAAGTTAAATCTGGTATTTTCAACCAAACAAAGGTTTTCAGTGGCGAGGAAGCAGGCACGGGACGACACTAGTATCCGATTTGGACACTTATGTCCTATTTTGGACACCAGTGTCCCAATTTGAACACTTCTGTCCGATTTTGGACAATAGAGTTCCATTTCAATCACTGGTGTCTGATTTTAGACAACAAGAATCAGGCATCGCTTTTGGACACTTGCGTCTCATTTTAGACACTAGGGTGCAATTTTGATTGCAAGTGTCCCATTTTGAACTCTAGTGACAGTAGTGTCTGATGTTTGACACAGGTGTGCGATTTTGGACACTAGTGTCGGATGTTAGACACTAGTGTCTCAATTTAGACACCAGGTTCCGATTTTAGACACTAGGAGGCAGGCAAGGACGACGTTAGCAACCGTTTTTTGACACTAGTGTCCTATTTTGACACTCGTGTCTGATTTGGGACTCAGGTATCCGATGTGAGACTTGAATTTCCGAATTTGGAAATAATGTCCGAATTTTGAAACTGTTATCCGATTTTGGACACTAGGGTCTGATTATGGACAGTAGTGTCCGATTTTAGGTACTGGTGTCCGAGTTTAGACACTTAGGTCCGAGTTTAGACACTAGTGTCTCATTTTAGACTCTATGTTCCGATTTTAGATACTAGTGTCCAATTTTGGAGACTAGTATCTGACTTTTTACAATATCTTCTGATTTGGACACTAATGCCAGATTTTAGACACCAATGCCCGATTACGGTCCACAATGTGGTTTTGGGATCACATGGTTTAGAGAGGGAATGGAAAAGGAATCAGTGGTTGCTATCAGATTATAATGGGGGGTGGGGAAGGTATAAAGAGTGATTACTGATGCGTAGAGATTATTAGTATACTTTAGAGCCCGCGGGGAGGGGAGCAATCGGTAGTTCAAATTTAACCACCTGATACCCCAAACACACCCCAGCTTACCATGAGCGAGTGGTATGATCAAAATTAGGAGGCAGAGGTGCTCCGGGAAACAGCCTTAAGACACCATTGTAGGTCCCAATGTAACGACGCACAAATTTCCTCAAATACTTATCCTGATTTTCTCGAGATAACCAAGCTTCATCCGCTCGTGAGGTCAATACGGCTGTCATGATCTTATTGACATCAAATTTATCACCAGCCTTGTGTAAATAGAGGAATGAGCGTAGCTCCCGAACATACTCTCGGACAGCTGTGGCGTTTTCTGCTACCTCTATATAATTTGCAGGATCAATGAAAGCCTTTGCGCTGAATTTAACTACGGAGCGATCTGAGGAAAAGAAATGCTAAGGTTGATCTAAGCGAAGGCATATTTCACTTCTCTCTGTCCCCTCTATTTCACTTCCCTCTATGCGTAAACTGGATATTTGGTATTCTGTTTTCACAAGGGTCATGGCATTTATGGTGTTCACTTTTATTCGGGTTGTCGATTTTTCTCTGTAAACCGTCTTCTAAAACCTCTTTGAAAAGCGCTAAGCTAGAGCTTGTCTTCGATGAAAATCTAGCTTGAAGCTTTTTTAAAATTTCTTGATTTGCAATCTGTGCCGATCGGCACCCTGAGCTATCCTCATACCGACCTAATATTTTAGGTGACACAACCTGCTACAGAACCTAGAGTGCTAAAAAGATTGTTATAGTGTACAAGTGAACTCAACATCAAGCCATTGATTGGCTAAACACGTCGTCGTTCAAATCTATCGCATTCAATCTAGTTGTGATATTAAGACTGCTAACGCCTTTGTAAGCTTCAACCGTTAACCGTTCAAGCTCTCGCATCTCTACTCTGATGGCAAAGTTCTGACTTCTCTTACTTCCTTCTTCCTTCCAGCCCCCATCCCCTCCCGCCCCACCCCTATACACAGAGAAACTGCCCGATCTTACCTGGATAAGACAGACTGTCCGTATGATAACAAGTCGTAGTCTCCGCGCGAACATCCATACGGTGATAGGCAATAGGATTTGCTGACATTGAGTTTGCTAAGTGAAATAGTCATTGCTTGGTCAGATGTAATAGAACATTTTGCAGAGAAAAAAAATTATACTGAGGTTTTTTTTCACAATGGAATTTCTAAATTTGAGGGGGAAGCTTTTCTCATCTCAACCCCTCTCTACAGAATGCGTGCCCGACACGGAACATTTAGAAAGTTGTGGAGTTAACCAATCTCCGAATTTAAGCGAGACGTCAAAACAACTTCTCTTTAAGAGTTATCATCTGAGAACAAGAACGCCTGATATACCTCGAATGAATTATCATTTTCAAATTTCATGGAAACCTACTCCCCGATTCTATGCCATGAAAAATACATAAATATGAGTTCGAAACAGTAGGGATCAAGAAATTACTCACTGATAAGCCTGCTCGCGTACTTTTCTCCAGTGTCTCCTTTTGCGAGAGCAACACAAACCATGTATTCTTTTCCTCTGTCGGTTCCAAGTTCAACAGGCGCACAGGCATACGAATAACTTATTATTTCTGTTTGAACTCCGTCTCCCAACACTCCTCCCCTGGAAGTAGAAAGCCTTCGCGGGAATTCTTTCTCTCTAAAATAAAATTTGAAAAACACAACAATGAAAAAAAAAAAAGAGTGAGGAAAACATGTCAAGGAAGTTTCAAAATCAGACTTCTTTATCCATTCTAGTTTTAGCGCACAAATGCATCTTCTTACAAGTATGCATCGACAAGGCTTTAATGGTTGTGGTTTTCGGGTTACCGTCTCAGATTGACGTTGTCGCACTCGACCATCGAAAAATAATACTTTTTTGACGACTCATACATAGCGAAAATAAGCACGTGCATCGCAACATCGGCCAGCTATCGATTGATTGTTGGTAAATTATCGGCCAGCGATCATCCGATTATCGACTGAAATGTGCATCGACTATCAGCCGACAAGTTGATGGACTAGGGATTATTGAGTTCGAGAATAATCCGGTATTTCTCTGTTTTCTTTGTTTTTGCTTTTGTTCGCTCTGTGATTGGTCCAGAAAACTTTCGCCACTCTCTCAACCAATCAGATGCAACATTGAGGCCACAGCATTTTGTTCTTTGGTTTTGGAGTTCGTATTGGCTCTTCAAGGTATTAGCTTGTCTTCTGATTGGCCGTGGTGATTACATTGATTTTGATTTTACGACACACAGTCGAAAAGGGCTCTAATATGTCAACCAAGGCTTTCAAAAGTGCACAAGATCCAATTATTGATTCACGGACAACGGGTGGAAGTCGTCAAACTGTGAATAATTTGCGACTCACCGTGGTTCGCCGGTCTCCTTCACTTCGTCAAATAAACGCCTAAATTCTTTTCCCGGTTCAAGTTCAAAAATGTTCACTGAATTCGGATCCTCAGATATTGACTCCGGTTTCGGAAGTTTGGGATGACTCATCACATGACCAGACTTGATAGCAACGAGGAATGCATAAGTATTGGGACCAGCCTGGTTGTAATACTGAACATCAGCCAACAAATCGGTCATGGGGATATCTACACCAGCTACACCTGCCAGTGCATTGTCATAGAAGTAGGCACTTGCTGCTGTTACCATATAGCCTGGAGACAAAAGTTGAATCAACATTGAACACTCAACTATCTTTGCTATTTTATTTTGTTCACTCACATGCTATGACGCTTTCGAAATGGCTGATCCTAGCAGTATGGAATAAGTGTCACATATGAACCTCGACCATTTTTTCTCTGTGGCTCAGTGGTTAAATATCGGACCATGGAATCCGAAGGTAAGAGGTTGAGGTGCGATCTCTCCAAGAATCAGAATTTCTTTTTTGTCTCACGCTCGTGACAATACGAAAAAAAATTCTTTACGTCATCTTAGAGCTCAAATCTTACTATGTTTCTTATTCTGATTAGGAATGGTCATTATTTATTCACTGGAGGGCTGGGGGATTTTTGTTGTGTCAAGATGAAATTTATCTGATCTCCCATAAGGCTCTGTAGTATTCTTATAATTTCCCTGTAAAGTAAATTGGCTTTAAATTTCTGTTGGCGACAACTGATCTCCTTTCAGTTCTCCCTAAAAACCATATGATCCCTTCCCACCGAAAAAAATCTTCCACCTCCCACCCCAGGCAATAAATAGTGAGTATTCCCCTAGTCAACCCTATTATATCTCGATGAGACAAAACGGACACCCAAACTGATAATCTGACGGTCACTGTTATCAGCCAATTCTTCCATCAAGGCTAGTGAACGGTTCTGACGAAGCTTTTCTACAAGTCTCTTCGACATAATTTCTTACCCAATCCCCACGCATCCACATAGGGTGGAGAGAGGACTGCCAGACTTTGTCGAGCCGGTGTAACTTCCATCAGATAGTCAAAGTAACCCTTTAGTTTGGAAAAGGAGTCTTTCGTACCATCTGTAGTCATTAGTTTGCCGCCCTGTGTAATGATAACAATGTTTTGAGGTTGTTGCTATTGTTGTTGCTGCTGTTTTTCAGGGTGACCCTCTTAACCCCAGATCTGAATTTCAATTCTCTACATTTTCTTAGTCCTAGAGTTGAATAAGAAAATATCTGACTATTGAATTGTTTCTTTCTTCTCGATACCCTTCTGCTCGAAAATGTATTGGAAAAATTCTTTTTTTGTCATTCCTGGGAGTTAAAAGAGTCAAAGTGGGAGGTTGGGGCAAGAATTTCATCGTAATTCACTAACAAATTAAATTCTTGTTTTATTTTTTTTCTTGTGGTATTTTTGCGCTCTTACCATTTCATTCATCAGAACTTTCAAGAACGATCCCTTTTTCTGGACTTTGCCTCCAAGCAGTAATGTTAGCACCTTGAACGAAGTAATGAGTTTTACTTCCTGTTTAAAATCTTTGTATTCTTTCTTGATCGCTTTCAAGGTATTCTTTTCGATGCTCTTACTTCTGGTTACCCCGTCGGTGATCAGGAGAAACATGGAGGGTCTTTTTTTAATTGCCTCGGAAGAAGATTTTATTGTGTTTTTCAGGATCTGAAATGCTTTCGCGAAGGCTCTGACAAATCGTGTACCACCTGGTTCAACACAGAGCAAACTCATCAGAAATTCATGAATTCAAAAAATGATCACGACAACGTTAACAGCAACGATAACGGTAGCGATAACGATAATGACAACGATAACAGCAACGATAACGATTACAGTAATGATAACGATAACGACATCGATAACGATGACGATTATAGTAACGATAACGGTAACGACAACGATAACGGTAATGGTAACGATGACAATAACGATTACATTAACGAAAACGGTAGCGGCAGTGATAACGATTATAGTAACGATAGTGATAATGATAATGATGATAACAGCAAAAATATGTTTCTTTTCTTTTTTATTTTTTTATCTTAGATTTAATTTAGACCAGTATGCCAGTACAGGAATGGTGGTCACACTTCCAAAAACTCCAAAACAAGTCAAAGTAGATGTGCATTGCAGTTTCCTATATTTTCTGTGGTTTTCAGGGAACTTCATTCTTATTTGGTTTGAAGAACCCAACAGATATAAGAATTCAGATGAAGTCTTGGTTGACTACGAAATTTCCCATTTCCTTATGACATAATTTTTGCTAATTTTGACGCTGCCAAATGTCGCTTAAACTCAAAATGGACTGACTGTGCGATGATCTCAGCAATATGTTTGCCATTCCTTTCCGGCTCGGGCCAGCTCAAAGGTAGGCACCGGTAAATACTTCAAAAAATACGAGTTTACGGCATAGGCTGTAGCTTTCCTACCTCTCGGTTGCGCACTGTTAATGAAAGATTTCAAGTAGTTGATGGTAAATGTGCTGGCAAATGCCATGGTAGTGTTGTAACATTCGTCAACGTCTTTGTCAGCTGGCAAAAAGGTTGTTGAGTTAAAGAGGATCAACGATACCTGCGGAAAAAATTTATGGAAAAGAAGTAACAGTGGAGTCTTTGTAAGTTGACTGTTGATTGATTTGTCGGTTTTTCTATCACCTGCTCGAGCAGTAAATCTATGACCATAGGCATGAGTGGTGATAAACCAGCTTACTAATAGACTGCACGAACGAGCGGCCCGTTGTTTAATATAAGTTATTGAATGGATGGTTACTTGACTAAACAGGATAGAAAATCACTCGCTCACCGATTGCCGACCTAGTGACTGACTGATCGACGGACTGGCGGATTGCTTGCTGATCTACCCGCTCTGACCGACTGACTGCTTGACTAACTAAATGAGTGGCCTTCTGACAGGCAGAAGAGCTGACTGATGGACTCACTCACGCACGAGCGGACTAACTATGTAACCTATTAGAACTTTGCCATGGGAATAGATATACCTGAAGACCTGTAACTAACTTGATTTGACGTTTGTATCAGAAAAGTACAGCTCACAAACCTTGTCTTGAGGATTGAGTGTGCTAACCACCAGTTTAGCTGTTTTCATCGCGTCATCCAGTGTCTTGTTATAACCAATTGATGTGCTGGAATCCACCATAATAACAATGTTTTTAGGGGACGGCGTGGCAGTGGTCACGTACCAGGGTCTTATCCTGTGGTCAAAAGTGCCACACTTCGGAACACGGCACGAAGGAAAATTATACATTGCTCCATCTTTGGATCCAAAATATTGCCATTTACTCTATGGAAGGAAAGCAGAAAATACAGGTTCCATTTAAAGGAGGCAAAAGGAAGTTGGCATCTTTATTAATTACTTGTAAACGATTGAGGGTGGAAGAGTTGCAACAAACATATCGCCAGACATTTTATGGAGCTGAGTCACGAGTAGTCTACTTCGCAGCCGTTTTTCGGAATGTCACGCAGCAATCTCCACAAAAGAAGCTTCTGGGTAGTGAGTATTGCGTGACACTGCAAAAAACGGGTACGAAGAAGATTACGTTACGGTTTGTGTTTGTTAAATATAGCATGGACTTATCAAGTTTGTCACAGCCAATTCCTAATTTTCCTCCTGGGGAAAAGGAGGGCTGTTGCTCCGCTTAACTAAAATTTGAAGGGGGTAGAGCCCCATGCCCCCTCGTTTCGATGCGGTAGCTATCGTAATCAGACCATGCCAGATTGGTTAAATATTCAGCCTCGTAATCTTTTTATAAATCGTTCAATTAGGATTGCGCATGACGAAAAAAAATATGTTGTAAAACATTATTGGAAACAGTTGCTTAATTTCACATTATCCATACTCGATTTCGATTTACTGGACTCTTTTGAGACTTAAGAGAGTTTTCTTCCTTGGCAATGAATTACGAAAGAAAATTTTGGAAATTTTTTTTAGAGTATAGGTGTGCCTTGGTTTACGATAACCTCCCCTTTCCCCCGCCCCATCACGTTTCAAAACGTGCCGACGTCCCTTGCAAAGTACCTTTCCTTTTCTTCTTTTCAGGTTTTGTTCTTATTTACACTTACATGTAATTTGTTCGTGTCAAACGCGGTTTTCGCTGACGAGAAGTCAACTTCTTTTTCCGGTAAATGATGTGGGGCCAGCATTTTACACATCACAGCATCTGTAACACTCTCCTTGTACCGCGGATCATACTTTATCTCCAATTCTTCGGGCAAATCACAGCATCGGTGGTATGCTAACAAAAATCAAGGAACTTAGATGAAAAATTTAGATAAAAAGTAAATGAATGACAGTGAGAAAAGGTAAACGGTCCAAGGAATGGCATCTAGGGCGTGGCTTTGGATCTGGCCTTTTAACAGATAAGAGTAATCTCCCTTAATCCCTTACGTTGTCTGGGTTGCCTGTTTTCCTCAAGAGCTCTCGAAACTGCCACAGCGATGCTCTCAACAGCTTTAATTTTCGTTATTAGATGTTTCCCTAATTTCGCAGCAAGACCTTTCACAAGATTGAGACTCTTCAAGTCTTCTGCTTCCTGAATCCAGCTCTGAACATCTTCCTGTAAATGGAAATGAGGAAACATCATACATTACGAATAATATTTGGTAGGTAAGCATCTATTCATTTACTTATTACCTTAAAACACTTGTCACTAAGCGGTATATGGAAAAATCCGAGTCCTTGTTTAGAGGTTTAGGACTTACACATGCGCAGAACGCTTCCCATAGTGTCTTTTTTTTCGCAGAATACCGGCAACTTGCTATCAGTTTTCAATTGTGCAACTGTGATTTTCAAGAACTGTCATTGGCTGGATTTCTTTAAGTGTGATCGACGCCTTGTAAATCGATCTAAAGAAATTCCGCCAGCCCGCTTGTTTGTTTGTTTGTTTTTCGCCAAATTTCATGCAAACCGTGTTCTTCTGTAACACTACAATCTCAATTTCTCACATTTCTGTTTTTTTGTTTTTTTTTTAGTTATAAAATGTGTAGATCTTAACCCCACTAACCGTAAGTGCATTATAGTCGTTCGCGTCATTTGCAAGATGTTTCATGTGTTTGCTAAACTCTTCAACAACCTCGTTTGGCTTAATATCATCAAGATCTCGTGCAATCCGACCCTTTGCAACATTTCCTGGAACAGCCAAGCTTATCAGAAGGCACAAACGAATCGCCTTCAAATATGCGATCATTTTTGGATGGCAAATCTACGTTACAAAATTCTGATTTTCAGACATTTTGCGGCTGAGCTTTATCTTTGAAAGAGAAAATTTTCGACCATGTGGTTACGTCACAGACAGCACGTATTTAATGAGCTAAGCGATGACGTAAGGAAGCTCCAAAATGGTTTCTTTGAGTTGAACTCTGCCGTTTGATACCTACAATAGTTAGTTTTTCGCAAAAAGAAAACTTTTTCATTTTTTTGATAATCTCTACCATCTCTATTACGCATTTTAAAGTATAAATCAGCAAAATGATGTGGCTCGTGGTGCCCTCTCAATTAAGAATTTACTCGTAACTGACGTGCGCGCGTAAGTCTGTTTGAAGTCGACTGCGCAGACATAATTGAATATTTTGCTCAACCGGTTCTGACGCATTTTACTTGAAGTTTCTGTCATCGTTTGCTTATTTGTTTATTTGTTTATCGGTTTCCATAGACAGAAAATTGCCACTGATATCAGAAACAAATGCCTAATCTGCTCGTATGATATTTGTTATAAAAAGTGGCCGTTGTCGGTTCAATTTAACGGCCACCGATTTCTCGGCAGGTGCAGCACTAACATTACGCCACAACGTGGGTCTTATTTCCAACACAATGTTTTTCTTTATTTCTTCACCTGCTTTCTTTAAATGCCTTGAAATACCTGAGTGTTATTTTTGTTGCATTTTTGTTACTATCTTCATCTGTTTTCTGTAATTGCACTTTTTAAGATAAATACGAATTGCGGTATTATTGAACATACTGAAAATTCAAGTGAATTGCCATTTGCCTTCGGCTACGTATGACTCATGTGGTCAATCGGTAAAACTGTCTTCATGCCGTTAATGCAGTTTTCAATATTCGGTGTCTATTTTTCATCCTTCCTGATCACGCCCAGCTTAAAAAAAAAAAAATTCCCCGTTAAACTCGTAGGCGTGCAAAGTACGTTGAATATCAGGGGAAAACACGTCAATAAAGATGCAAATTAAGCTTAGTTTCTCAACATGATGTTAATTCTCCGAAATATATCCTGGATTTTACACATGTTTACACATTTTAAACATGTGTTATCCTAAAGAATAATAGTATAAATATCCTCGCAGACTGACGTTTCGTGGGAATAAAAGCTTGCAAAAAAGTTTTAATTTTCCGGATTGTGTATTCGTGAAGTAAGCTCATTAACCAAGAGTTATTCGTTCATTTTTTCCTGCCCTTGGGCTCTGCAAATTTCTGCTCACGCTGTAAAAGCGTCATAGGCGAGCCTCGAAAAAAATTTAACACTTAAAGACCAATTCTTACGGCATGCTGGTACCAAACCCTTTCATTCTGTTTCCCAGCACCGGAATTGTATAAAAATTTCTCCATTTTTCTCGAGAGAAATATATTACCTGAAGTTATGAGAAATAATGAGGATGAATTTACCAAAATTCAATTTCTCGAGGATATGTAATAATCGGTATCCTAAATCAGCAAATCAAAACGAGAAACTTTCTCCTAATCCTGCGTCAGGCATTATTGCGATTATATATAATTCGTCTCTTAAGTGAATATCACAACAAACAATATGAGTAAAATTTAATATGGGGCCACTCTCAATATTCAAAAGGATTTCAGAAAGCGGATGACTGGAGGCGCTGCTTGAGTAATGTTCCTGGTACGCTTCAAATGGTTCTTGCTGAGATTAGTAGATCAACGTTTTCCTAAATTATTCCGTAATATTTGACAAACTATCAGTACAAATTAGACAACGATTGTTGTTATTTTAAATTCTCTTGGGATAAAAGCTTCTTAAAGCAGCTGCAAAAAAAATAGGTTTATGCAAATCCAATCCACGCAATACCGTTTAAGGAGTGAAAATGAAGAAAAGTGCAATAAACATTGTCAAGTCTTTATCAAGAAAATCTTTATTAATTTTGTTTTACGCTATCAAAGGATCTCTCACAGCGTACGCTTTCAAATTTTCATTTGTGTTCAGTGTTCCGTAGAAAATGTGTGACGTAGTTTCTTCTAAAAATAAATAGTGGTATTGCCCTTTAGGTCAATATCACGAAGTCAACTACATATATGGGAGAAAGGTAAACTAACAGAGCAGTAACTGGTCAAAATATTGACGTTTGAAGGCGCGCAAGCGGAAGTCAGTTACAAAGTTGGTTCGGGCCTTTTGTGCTGAAGGAAAGTATAAAACCGAAAGACATTAGTACTTTCGAGACAGATCCCAGAAGTTCGAACCATCGTACTGGTGAATAGCGGAATTTATTCAGACCAGCGCACAGACGAGGGCTCAAATTCCGGCGAACGCAAACATGATGATGGCAGCTTACCTGGGGAGGAGGGCTAAACTTGGCCGATCACAAGAAGACCAAGAAAATTTACCAGGCACATCAGAAATCATCAAAGCACTGTCCGAGCAACAACTTACGAATCCCGGTGAGGGGAAAGTGCTATATATTCAAGGAATAAAGAACAATGGGAACTGGAGGCCCATGTGTTATGCAAGCCAGAATTTCAGGGCATATTACACTCTGCAGCTCTTTAACGCTCGAGTTAGCTTAACAAAAAAGGCTATCGAGAAAGCAATTGAACAAGAGTATGTCCCTCAACGTTTCTTCAAGAGTGTAAAGACTGTGTTGAGCCTGGGCTGTGGGCCTGGTTCCGATCTCCACGGGTTTAAAACCTTCCTTAGCGAGGCTTTTCCGTTCAGCTCGAGAGGGAAGAAGTCACCACAGTTCATTGGCTACGACAGAGAGCTGGGCTGGATGCACTATGTTCAAAGCTTGGGGTTTGAATTTGAAAGCGTGGAAATAAACAAAACACTTATCAACGACATGGACAAAGTTGACGTGATGTTAATATCGTACAGCGCTAAGGAACTATTTCGTGATTTCAACCGCGAGAAAAACGATGAAACATTCTGGAAGGCAATATCTAAGAAAGCGAAATTTGTACTGGTTATTGATGACGAAAAATGTTCGTATGATGATCTGCCGACGGATGACGAAGACTACGAGTACTTTACCTGGGATAATGAGCAGGGAGAGACTGAGGCTGTTATTTACTGTCACTTTACAGCAGAGGGTTAAAAACGTTCAATAATGAAAACAAAAAACTGGAAATTTCGATTGCAAGCAATATGACAATCATAGAATCGTAGAGTCGATAAGGATACGCTTATATGTTTTTGTGTCTCAATATTTCTCCATATTGTAAATTCATGACTTTATTTATAAAGAATATGAATTGAGATTACAACACGTTTATTATCGAATTATATATTAAAAAACATAAATTGAAATTATAAATCACTCTAATTAACGGTTACCTAGGATATACACCGATAATAGTATCTATTGTTAATCAAGTGGCCTACAACTTTATCGGTGTGAAAATGATGTTATAGAACATCTAAAAATTTTGAAGTATTTTTATTCATCTTATACCCTTAAGTAAATTCCTGCTCTGGTTTACGTGCTATGCCAGAATAAATTCTTTCTAGAAGGCTAGTGTGTACTGGTCGACAACCAGTTCATGAGATGAAAAAAGGCCGAATTGAATTGCTTAAATTTCGTGTTCTGAGGCTAAATGTTTACACTTCTAAATAACTTTGACACTATTATGTCGCTTGATATGATCTCATAGATTTTATCGTACTTAAATATATAACTTTTGGTATACAAGAGGCACACACTATGCTTTAAAAAACGTGTATGATCATAAGCATTATGATAATTAAAATATGCGTTTACTGACACGAGCCCTTATGTATGCTCTTCAATTTGATCATCAGTTCCGTTGGAAGTTGTCTAGGATCGATATTAAACACTTACTGTTAAAGCCTTGATGCCAATTAACGTATATTTCCATCGCAAGCGGTCAGTTGTAAAACTAAAATTAAGAGGACTCAGAACTCTTGTTTTGAGCAAATGATCTGCGCAGGGAACCTTTATCAAAATCGATCGGACCCCAATTCTAGCACAACAGCACGTAGAAGAGAGCAATCAGCTGCTATTGAACCCAACTAGATCAAAATCTTAAGTTATTCACGTAATAGTAACATTTAAAATTACCTGAGTGTGAAGATGTAATTTTCTTCTATTTGAATCGTAACTAAGCTTCTCAAAAAGTCTGAACAACTTTCAGTTTCCCCGAAATTTCTATCGCAATTTTTTCCGAGTAAAACTCATATCGAGAAAATGATTCTCACTTCATGTGACTCAATGTTATTTATGTCTGAAAAAGACCGGCGGAAGCGAACCGCAACCCGCTCCATGCCGCACTACTGTTTTGCCGCGGCAAAAAATGGTGAAAAATAGAAAAACTGTCCTTAATTTTCCAACAGTCTAGACCATCATCACGTCATCCTTACTTATAACGGCCCAAAATGTGTACGTGTTATTCGTCTTTGTGCTAATGACACAGACAAACGGTTTTCAAAACTCAAAAATATTGCAGACTGTTTTCTATACGCTTTAGAAAATGCTACTCGTGGGTGTGACTAATATTGTTTGAGTAAGTGTTTGAACTTCTTTAAAACATGCATAAAAAGATGTAGCCTCAGACCATAGAGCTTAGATTAAATGCCCGTTAAAATAATTCACTACCAGCCCTGAGGCAGATCCTCTGATGCAGAAGCCTTCTGGTAACTCTTTACACCCTAACATCAGTATGCATATTCTCCATACGGTTCTTGCTACATTATCTTAGGTGCTGATGAGGAGAATTTTTATAATGATCAAAGCCTATTAAGTTGGTGATCATTTCCTTTTCATCAAGTGACCTTAATTTGTGATTTGAGGGTGATATTGTACAGAGAAATGAGATGCTGGCCATTCTTAGGGGCCTTAACAGTCAATAATTAAAAGCTCCAAGAAAACTCAAATGCAATAACTTTATGCAGAATTTTTCAAAACTTTATTACAACATGTGTGTCAATCAACGTTAATACAAATTCAGTTCCCTTATAATTGCAGAGCATATGCTGTCATATGGTATTGTAACAAGCCTCATCACATAAAACCCTGCAGGTAACAGGCATTGGTTCCAACTGTACTGTGAACCACAATTCAGTCACCAAAGGTACAACTCAAAGACTAGTTCATCTCATGGTAACCCTTAAAATCACAGATGTGATTAACATATAAACTCTAACCAATACGTTATCCAGCAAAAAGGTAATGAGGAAACTCAAACCTATCAGGTAGATATATATTTTACAAAGACACATTTAGCAGCTAGAGATGGGGGATTGACAATCAAATCTTAGGAGTGAAAGGGTTACTTACTAAGCATGCCTTTTTTTTTTATTAGTTCATGTCATATTTCCCTCTTATAATTTTATATTGGACTCCAGGACAGTCCTGAACTCTGCCTCCCTCAAACAACACCACTGCATGTTCCTGTAACACTGCTCCTTCGCCTGGTATATAGGCTGTGATTACTTTTCCATTACTCAATTTTACCAAAGCACACTTCCGGTTGCCAGAGTTTGGTTTCTTAGGTTTTCTTACGAAGACTCTGATACAGACACCTTTCCTTTGAGGACCCAAAAGGATTCGCTTTGATTTTGGAATATGTTTCTTTGGCATATCTGCCTTGGTTCTTACTTTTTTCCAACGGTATTGGTTAACTGTTGCAAAAAGTCTTGTGCTGTTCAACACAAGGTCAGGATAAGGCTTATTTCTTATGGCTGAGAACACAATTGTTGACTGCCTTGCTAGACTTGGTTCTTGCCACAAAATAGGAACAGTTAGAGAACTGTGACCATGGAATAATTGCTTCTGTTGCAATGAGTATCCTGGATTTTGAACTTTGTAAATAGGATGTTGCTGTAAGGCTTTGGTGGAAGATGGAATGATACCTATGAAAGACAAAACCACACAGTTAGTTGTTATGTAACTTAACTTGGCCTTGGGGAAACCTAATTGACCCTTTCACTTCCAAGATGGGATTGTCAATTCCCCCCTCTAGCTTCTAAACATTTTCTTATAAATTAGTTATGAGAATTTGGTGTTAGATCAAGAAAAAAACTTCTACCTGATAAGTTTGGGTATTCTCATTGCCTGTTTGCTGGATCATGTATGAATATAATGGGGAGAAGTTTCATATCAATCACTTGTGGGAATTAAAGGGTTAAAGGGAAAAAAAATGTTTATTCTATGCACAATCTGGTTAGGATTCATCTCTTAGAGTTGGAATAGTGAAATTGATTGCAGTGATGACCTTGGTGCTCACCCAGGAAGAAGAGCGAATCATTGTGGATGATTGGATTACCAATTCCATTGAAAGATAAATAAAGGGGTAGTTTTAAAGTCATAAATAGTTATAAAAAAGGGAAAAATGGAGGGAGTGGGGAGGGGAGTTAAGGTTCAGGGCGTTCCCCCGGATCCATATCAACTCCCAGGAGGCGTTTAAGTACAGCTCGACTTCTCGAGGGGGATTCCATGGGGCAGAGATAATTATGGGACACTGAAGCTCACCTGCTACGCTTCCATTTGTATACTTTCTCGCTGAAGACATCGACAAACCGTTTTGGGGAATTTTCTTACAAGAGATAAAATAATGTACAGTGCTTGTAAGTACAAGTTTACAGCTGCGCACGATTTAGATTACGAAGCTGTCTATTGGCAACTTCAAACTCTGAGCAAAAATCTATTCCACACATGTGATGTTAGAACTACAGCCGCAAAAGAAATCAATTTCAAGAAAAGATCGACGATAAATTTACAAAAAAAAACTCAAAAATACCACCAAAATTATTTAAATATAAGTAATATCTTACATTTAGGCCCAAAGAAGCTCGAAAAACTCCACACAAAGAACGCAGATTTCGACCGCAGACAACCGCCATTTTGGTAACTAATCTGCTGAGTAGAATTACAGCTGGCTCAGTTCTCCCATGAAGATACTCGGGCGTGCATGCAACTGCGCAATCATCGAAGTACGCCAAAATGGCGGCTTCAGGAGCCGTTGAAACTCGTGTGTTAACATACACGATCCACAAATGTTCCAGCTATTCTGCAAACTATTTGCCCACGTAAGACCTCATCAAGGCTTCTTTTTATCATTTGGTGGAATTTCGCGAAGGTGACATCGGCTAATTTTGGAAATTTTTAAATTTTATTCAGGAATATTTTGGAGGACAAACCGAATGACCAGTCTTCGAGATGGTCTTCCGATAGCAACTACCCTCCGCAGGTAAGAATTAAATGGCGATCGTCAAGTGGATAAGCTTATAAATCATTAACAGGGTCGTGTATCTGTGATAAATACTCGCGATTTAAACAACATGATTAATTCAAATCATAATATAAAATAATCACTAGGCAAGTGTCTAGCCGATGTCTGTATCTGCAATGATTAGTAAGGAGCAGCTTGTTAATTACAAATTGGAAGATGCTAGGATGATTTGCTCTGATAGTTTTGTCTTGAGTACCATCTACACTTAACCTTGGTTTTGATGTATACCTTATATCAGGTTATAAATGCACAGAAAAAATTGGGGGTGTATCACAGCTGATTTTTTTGTCCTCAGTGAGTGGACAAAAGTATGGAGAGTTTGCTCTTTGTAAAGGATAGAAATCCAGTATTATGACATTAGGCATTGATATTAGTTTTCAATATAACTCATGGTCTTGTGCATGCCACACCTAAGTTTTCCAAAGTTTATTATAAAATAGAAACTCAGATCAAAGATGGAGACCCTGAATGTTTTTTTCTTTGTCCCACACTTGTGGCAAGATGAAAAACATCTTTCTCTATTTTTTTACCAAGCTTAAAACTTACCATCTTCTTATTCTATTTGCCAAACATGATGCTATTGACATTGCTGATCTAAAAAGTATGCAGAGCGTGTGTCATATATGATCTTTGTAGTGGATCTTGCTCACCATAGAGCATGACCTCATGGGGATTTTTTTCCTTTGTTCCCTGCTCGTGACAAAACAAGGAACATCTTTCTCGCATGAAAGATCTTTATCATTTGTTTAAACCCCAGCATCAGTATCCGCATTCTTTATACTCTTCTCTATACCTTTTATTTGGTATTGACAAGAAGAATATGTTTAACAGTTGTAAGGTGGTGATCATTTTCTTTATTCTCATGGTCTCAATAAATGACTTCGCAGTAATCAAGTATAGAGAAATCAGGTGTTGGTCACCGTTAGGGTTGAAAGAATTGAGAGAATTGTATATGTAAACAACAGCAGTTAGCTTTAATTTTATCGTTTGTTTATCTGTTTGTTTGTTTTCTTCTGCGAAAGCTTTTACCTTTTTTATTTTTAGTTTCTTATACTGAAATTGGAGAAGCCAGCTATTGTTATGACTATCACATTTGGAAAGTATGAGAAGACCCATGTATGCAATCTTAGGAAGTTTAAGATTTATGGTGGACTGAATGATGAACACATGACTGAGTTGTTGCAAAGGTAACTGGTTTCACAGTGTCTCTGGATCCTGATAAATTATTGCAGGGACCCTTTTGATTTCCAGTAAGACTGGCTGAATATTGTGGAAGTGTTTAAAAATAATCAAATTTTATTGATACAGGATTTGATTTCTCTACTATTTTATATTTTTATCCACAAGTATAATCACAGTGTTACTGTAGCCCTCTACACCCTTACATACATATGTATATTCTCCATGCTGTTTTATATACATATCTTAAGATGCTGACAGGGAGAATTTGTTTAATAATCAAGGACTTCCTTACATGTAGTTGGTGATTGTTTCCTTTATTCTTGTAACCTTACTGTTTGATTCAGGACTGACATTGTAGGAAGAAATTAGATGCTAGTCATTTTTAGGGGTTGAAGGATTACCTCATCAGGGCATGAAGTTGCACCCAATACAGGCGCCAATGCAACTAAATTTTTCACTTTGGCGACCAAATCCTGAAAATTAGTCGCCAAACTGGCAACTAGAATGTTTCATCATAACCTTACTAAGAGATCTAGTGAATTAAAAAGATTTGCAAAGACAAATCCGCGGCAAACTTCCTCGTTAAGTTTGTTTCCAAAATGCAGCACATGCATCTTGATCGATAACTAGACGCCATCTTTGATTTAGGTGAGCTTAAACGTTGCATATCATCCATCCTAGTGTCCATTTTGTAGTTAAAGATCTTTACCCCTACTTAATTTCTAGAACGATAACAGCATAAAAAAGAGGTTTTGTTTGTCTTTGAAAATGGCGACCAACTTTTCTTGAATTGGCTACCACTTTGAAGAATTTAGGAGCCAAGTGGCTGTCAGAAAAAAAATTAATTTCACGCCCTGCTCATGAGTGTAGAAGGTTAACTACTTGTTGAAACAGAATGTCAATAGAGCCTTTTCTGAGATACTGTTTGTTTTTTTTTGCAGCGGATTAAGAAATGATCACATAAAAGAGGCATTTGAGCTTCAGCATGAACTGGATGGCAAAATGTTCCCTTGTCAATTTATAAAGATTGGTGAGTTCCTACAATCTACCTCTTAATTCAATGTAGTGATCATTGTGCCTTATTTTTGTTTTTAATTAATTGCCAAATGCCTTAAATTTTATTTGTGAACATTCTCTTAAAAATCAATTTAAATTAGATGACCAAAATATATGGAATTAAAAAATGCTTTTAATTTAGTTTTGAAATTTAACCAGTTGATACCAATGCCATGAAAACTGAGAAATTTTCAGGGGAAAAAAGCTGTAAAGAAGTCCTCTGAGAGTGCAGTCAAACAGAGTTCACTGGTTTTTTTTTCCAACTATTTTCAGTTCCAATCATGTCATGGGGACCCAGTTTTAACTTCAGTATTTGGTTTGTGGAGCTTTCGGGAGTGGATGATCCAGAGATTGTTCAGCCAAGTCTTACGTGGTTTAATACTGTAAGTGGTACTTCTTGATCATTTGTTGATTTATGTGTATGGTGAATCCCAGCTTAGATGCTTCCTGAGTCACTCTATAGCTCTAAGACAATGGATTTAATGCAGTACCAGGGTTTCTATGGGTCCTGGAAAACCTGAAAAGTGCTGGAATTTTATTTTGCCTTTTTCCAGGACTGGAAAGTCCTGGAAATCTGCTTAAATCAAACAATAAAGTTTTGAAAATTTGCATTGTAAGAAATGTGCATAGGCTGTAAGGAGAATTGATTTTTCATCTTAACACAAGACATCATCGGGGTAATCTGGAAATGACTTCCATTCAGATTGTTGAACTTAACTTGTAATCATCCACAGCAGCCCATTTCAGGACTTCTCTTACTTTGTCTTAATTCCGGTCTTTTGATTTTTGTTAATTAATTTTGTTTCTGACTGTCATCTTGCAGTATCGTGAAAGAGAAGCCATACGTCTTTGCTTGAAACATTTTCGACAGCACAACTATGCAGAAGCTTTTGAATCCTTGCAGAAAAGAACAAAAATCAATCTTGAGCACCCCATGCTGACAGAACTCCATCAGAAACTGGTAACAATCTTGTCATGAGTTTATCTTCAACTGTTATTGTTTGGTGCTGTGCGCATGATGTAAACAGATTGATTTAACTCTTAAGATGGCAATTTAATTTAATTTAATTTAAATAAATGTCTACGTCCATGATGATATATTTTGCATTTAACTGTTACTTGTAAATTGAAATTGCAATTTTTTTTGTTTTTGTTGTATAATTTTTTACCAGGTGATAGATAATGACTTCGATGGATGTGAGAAAATCATAGAACAAGCTTCAAATGGTAATTTTCTATTTGATTTTCTGTAATCTGAGATTTTGGTAGAGGTGGTAGTGGCATAGTAATGTTGATTCAGCTGCATGTGAACCAAAATTAACTTTCAAGTTTAGAGGCAGATTTTTTGTTTTATTTGATGTCATGTTTCATGTGCTGACATGCACTTGTAATGGTTACTGTCTGTTCTTTGTACCCTTTTTAGCCATTTTCTGAGCACAGACAAACCACTCTACATTAGATTAACTTTTTTAAATGTGTAATCCCCATGAGTGACCAAAACAGAATTTCTCCTTACAATGTCAATACAATATCAATCAGATAAGTGATGAGAATACAGAAAAATATCAATTTGGGGATAATTAGTTGATCCAATACTAAATTCTCTGAACTAACATGATAAGAATTGCATGGTTGACAGTAGGGAGAATTACAAATTTGATCTGGGAGTTAAAGGGTTAAAGTAAGCTTTAATTTGTGTGTATTGTTTGTTCTCTAGATGCAATTTTTAGTCATTATATCAGTCAGCAAGATTACAAACCCAAGTGGAAAGCGATAATTCCTCTTGCTGCTCAAAGTAAGTTATTGAGGGGATGAGATTAAGGTATAAGAGTCATTAAGCTGTGCAATTACTCATTTAGAACACCATTTAGAAGTAAAATTAATGTACTGATTAGAATCCTTCATATGAAAGACTGTAAGATTTTATAAACAAGGTCACCTTGTGAATCACATTCATTTTCAAGATTATTAACATATGAATTCAGTTTTTAATGTTGTATCACTTAAGAAGTTAAGTAGCAGAATAGTGTAAAATGCTGGGGAAAATTCTCAACATCTGAGTTAAAAATAATGTGGTCATCAAAATTTGACTGGATTAGTAATTCTGTGGCTGGAGAATTCTCTGATCTTTAACCTGTTACACCCCAACATCATCTCCATTCTGTTCTCTCTACATTAATTTCTTAAGGTACTGACAAGGAGACTTTGTTTAACAATCATGACTCCTTTACTTGATGATCAATTCCTTCATTCCCATGACCTGAATATGTGAATCAGAGCTGATCTTGTTAGGAGAAATTAGATACTTGTCAGTGTGAAGAGAACACAGCAGAGTCTCAGAGAAGAAATGCACCTGGTGTTTCGTACATTCTATCTGTAAATAGCATGTTTATAAACTATGCAATTCTTCACAAAATGCATAGGCCTCTAGTTGCTTCCAACAATCAAATTGAAATTGAGCAGTAAAAACTGTATGTAACATTAGTAACACCAATGTTCATTGTCATGTTCTGACCGCAGATGATGATAGCAGTAGTTCACGGCCGGGTATGAGAGGTGGGCATCAGATGTCAATTGACATGGAATCTCAGGTGATTTACCTGCTTGGTGGCTGGGATGGGATGGTGGACCTGGCTGATTTCTGGTCATTTACTGTGGAGTCTTCTCAATGGACATGTCTGTCACGTGATACAGAGCAGGAAGGTGGACCATGTGCCAGGTCTTGTCACAAGATGTGTCTGGACGGCAAGAGAAAGTTGATATATACTTTGGGAAGATACTTAGACTCAGGAATGAGAAATGTAACACCACTTAAGGTAATGTACACTTAAATTGTGTGACAGAGAGAATTGGTGACCATTGAGTGACTTCTAGTCAATGCAATTTGTTCAAATTTGACAGTCTGTAATAAAGAAATCATTTGAACCTCCATTCTGGTTTAAATGTGTCTGAATAATTGGTTATATTTCCTTTGAATTTTGACTGAGACAGCTTGATTAATGTTTTGGAATTATTCAGAGACAACTCTAATTAAGGGTATTGTTACAATATTGAAATACATTTGAGCACTAAATTACAGTATGTGCTCATTTTATGTCATATTTTTTCATGACTCAGGGCTCTTAGCCAAACTTTTTTTAAGTTGCCATTTTTCGATGTAAAATCACAACAAAGTTTCCAAATCTAAATTATAATATTTTGAGAAATATTAATCTCATAATGTTTCAACCATAGACAAAAGTATTCTGCATGATAATTTGAATTATCCAGGCATTTTGATTGGTTCTTAGTTATGAACTATTGGAGGACAGATGCACAGATGATGTCATCACTAAAAACAACTTGCTCTGTTATTATATAAATTACAATTTGGTTCTTGCTCTATTTTGTCGTCATATGTGATCTATTACTGAATAGATACACAACATCAATAATTCTATTTATTTAACAGACCTCTGATTGCTAGTTTTGTTTCTTTTTATTTTACCAGAGTGATTTTTATGTTTATGACATAACCAGAAATCAATGGACGCTTATCAGTGCAGACACAGCATCTGAAGGAGGGCCACCTCTTATTTTTGACCATCAGGTCTGTGTTATACTGGATTATTTATTCTTGGATATTTGTGACCCTCCACGGGAAAACGGACACTAACGCTTTTCCGTTAAACGGTCTCGAAAAACGGTTGTAAACGGATAGTAAACGGTTAACTCGAGCGTTTAAACGGATGCCATAACCGCTTAAACGGATGGCAAAAAATTTAAACGGTTGACCAAAGTCCAAAAACGGATAGCTTAGGCCTTCAAACGGTTGACCAAAAATAAAAACGGATAGCACGAAACGTTAAACGGTTGACCAAAGTTCAAAAACGGATGGCTCACACTGTTGTCTGTCACACTATAACATCAGTATGCATATTCCCCTGACTGTTTCTCATACAATTTCTAAGGTGCTGAAGAGGAGAATTTGTTTAACAATCAAGAGCTTCTTTACTTGGTGATCATTTCCTTTATTCTCATGACCTTTATGCTTGATTCAGGGGTGATATTGTGAGGAAAAATTTGATGCTAGCTACACTTGGTGGTCTAATGGTTAATTCTTCTGTTGGCAGGAAAAAAACAATCTTTGTTAACATGAAATTTTTCTGTAATATGCATCATTAGAGTTTTTTTGTCAAATTTTTTCATACAGCATGGAATCTTTTTCCCTGCTCCATGATATGCAACGACCTATAACCTTGTGTTGTTTCATTTTGCAGATGTGTATTGATGTTGAAAAAAGCACAATTTATGTGTTTGGTGGTCGTGTACTCACAAGGTAGGAAAAATAGGAGAAGAAATCATTATATATTAAGAGGTTTATTGCAGAAAAGGCTGAACGGATTTGTTTGTTCTTCCTTCACATTTTTATCCGCAGAGCTAAAAGTAGTAGTTTCTTTTTTAGCTCAAGTGGAGACGAGAGAGCACAGGAAACCCTATTTAGCGGACTGTACTCGTACAACTGTCAAACAAATACCTGGAATAAACTCAAGTAAGCTGGAGTTTGAAAATGTTTTTAGAATTAGCCAGTTCCTGGCTTTCAGTTTGGAAAACGGACTGAAATAGTAGATGACGGAAAAGCGGCGGAGGTTTGGGTCGACTTGCGTAAAGGACTTAACGCGAGCCGAACCAAACCTCTCTTGTCTTTTCACTCCGCCGCTCTCATAGCGCTGTTTAATATTGCGCTTCAATTTACTAACTGAACGCCTGAAACAGGCGATGATAAGATAGGGATAATAGCACTGCATACTGTGAAATTCTGTTACTTGGGAAGTTGCTCAACAAATTCGTATTATCGTATCGATACAACATGCAAATGTGACGCTTCAGAGATCTCACATTTTAATGGTGCAATTTTGACTTAAACAGTAGCTGGACTGATTTTGTGTCTGTTGTTTTTTGTAGGGACGACTGTCCTGAGCTGCGATCAAGGATAGGACACTCAATGTTATTTCATCCGGTAAGTCAAGAAAAGCAATCATGTAACTTTAAAATATTGAGTTATGAACATCATTGTCCTTAGAAAAACACATTCAAGGTAAGAGTAAAGTAAACTTCATTTAGCCGAGAAGTGTTCTCCTTTTCAGGTAGTAACCGGTAACATTTACCACCTGTAGTGCCTCTTATTACCGTTTAAAATTGCTTGGAATTCTTTAAAATTCAACGGGTAAAAGGATTGCTTTACCGGTTTGAAAATTTATTTTACTTGTCATGCTTAAAATAAGGGAGAACACTGGCCGTGGTGGCCTATTCAGCTGCATGGCTGTTATCCAGAGGGTCCCTGGTACCAAGCATGACGGAGTTATCCATGGAAACCCCTAAATAGGCACTATTTTTTAAGCAAAGTTGACCTACATGGCCCTTGCACTGAAAGAAATATAACAAAACCTTAATTTATTGTAGCTGGGAGAATGAGCCATCAAACTGTAATGTCCACTTGTTTAATTAAGCGCTTGGCGAATAACGCTCACCAACGAATTTCTCAATGTCAGTTTCTCTTTTTTTCCAACTCTTCTTCACGCAGGAGAAAAGACTTCTATATATTTTCGCTGGACAAAGAGGAAGAGAATTTTTAAGGTACTATATGCAGTGATGTTGAAGTGAATTTCATCTGATGACCAAATTACTTAAAGCATGCAAAACTTTTTTCATTCTGAGTAATTTTAGGACCTTTTTTCCTATCCTTCAGTGACTTTATAACGTACAATGTGGACACCCATGAAATATCATTTATATACGATGGAAGCAAAAAAGAATCGGATCAAGGTATCACTGCATTTCTTTTTTACAACTAGACCCTGTGAGCAGGGTAACTGGGATACCTGGATGGTACTGGATCCTTGGAATCAAGTGTAGTGATACTACGGGTGTCGGATTAGTATACTGAAATAGTTCAAGTCTGGCCAAGGGCATACACCTATTTCAAAAAATAGGCATGCTATGCATGCAAGAGTTATTTTTTGTAGGGTGGGTGGATTACTTGAAACATTGTAAGTGGTCTACATTCTTACAAAAGGAAGAAGAGTATTAGCGCGGAAAAGAATGAAAATGTCGAATTACCTCACACACAGGTATTTTGTGGTAGATTGTGTGTTGTGCGAATAAATGTAACCAAAAATAAACTGTATTGGTGCCACAGATACCTGTTAGTACAAAATGCAGACAGCAGACTGCAGACCGGATACAAAATATAGACTCAGTGCAGACTGCAGACTGCAGACTGCAGACTGCAGAGTGGGTATAAAATGCAGACTGAGAATCTGAAGAGTCATCTTACAGCTTACCGAGCGTCACGCAATCGCTTTTCCTCGATCAGCCTTCACGATTATTTGCACTATTGTGGAAAATTCCTGGCCGATTTCTTGATGAAAATCGATCGTAATATGATTTCAAGCCTTCAATATACTCTTCTTACTTTGTGCGCGAGTTGGTTTGTGTGATGTCTGTACAGATTTTACCAACGTAATAAAAGTAGATGATGTGAATAACAGTGACGGTTAAGCAAGCTTAAAACGGCAGAAATCACCAGAAACTACAACGGCTACACAGTTCGCGACTCAATCCGGTCCAAAATTACCGCTCAATAACATCTTTTAGTGTGGATTGGCGCGAACAATACGACTTGTGTAAGCGTCTGTAAGTATTTCGAGCGTTTGCGCTATAATGCTTCAGGTGATCGTAATCCAAACACGTTGAAATACAAAACGACCGACAAAAGAGTTTTCTAAGCAAAAATCTCGTGCTCATCACGTGACCCGGACCTGTCCGTGCATGACAACGTCAATCATCATCAAGATAACACGTGATCAGCATGTGAACACCTTCACCCTCATTGGATCACAGTTAGTTGTCATTGTCATGGTGTTGAGGGCCCAATGACCACTGGGTACTATTGCGCAATTTTTCCATTTTGTGGCGGAGGAAAAAAAAAAAAAAAGACGACAAAAAAACAAAGGCATTTTATGACTGGGCTACCACAGGTATCCCAGTAATTACTATAGTAGCCGTTGTTGATTTAATGATATTTATGAGTTTTGTTCAAGTACCCTTCTGTTTCTTTATTTACAGTTCCTGCAGCAGGTTTTACTCAGAGAGCAACAATTGATCCTGGACTTAACGAAATTCACGTATTATCTGTAAGTAGATCTCTCTTGAGCCTGCAGTTCTTTACGTCACCGTCTCTCTTGTTACGTAAAAGTTGAGAGCGGGAAAGCATGAGTCTGCAAGGGGCTTGGCACTTATTAGTGCCAAACCCTTAGCAAACCTCTCCACAACTTAAAATGAAGGCTTGCTCCCAGGGTACAGTGCAACAGGATGTAGTTGATAAACCATTACACATACGATCACGGTACGCGTCTGTTAAAATCCCATTCACGACAATGGTCCGAAAAGCGAAGTTAGAAGTTTACACTCGTACACGCACGCGCGTGAATGTATCAGTAGTGGTAAGCCCACAGTAATTACGGTCTGCAGTTTTCGTCGTAAGAGTAAAGGCTACGATATTTTACAGATACATAACGCGAGCACATTCATCTGCGATGAAACAGAAAAATACGAAGCCCCAGGTCTTTGTGGCTACGTATAGCGTGCTGCACTATTTACGCTTCCCCTCCCCCCCCTCCCTCCCCTTTCCTCTCCTCCCTCGTCAGTTTAAGCAAGTCATAAGGTTCGCAACAAAACGTTGTGTGCTTTTTATTAGTTGCAACTGTACAGGAGCTTTTTGGAGCCCTTGTTTTTGTTTGCACGGTGGACTGGATGTTACATCAAGTTTGAAGAGCTGTAATTTGATGGGTTCGTTCATCTCTTTAGGGTCTCAGTAAGGACAAGGAAAAACGTGAAGAAACAGTCAGGAATTCTTTTTGGGTATACGATATGGAACGAAAGTCGTGGTAAGTATTTTAAAACGTGGAAAATTGACAATAAAACCACCCAAACGAGCTCCGACTTTTGACAGTTTGTCTGATTTTAGGTTCTGTTTCTTTTTTTTCGGACAGTGTCGTTTTATTTCGGGCAATTGTGTCCGGTTTCAGACAGACAGTTCGACTAATTTCAGACGCTTGGTGTCGATTTGGGACGCTTGCAGTTAATTTCGGATGTTTGCGTCTGATTTCGAACGGTTCCTTTTGATTTCTTAAGGTTCTGTCCGATTTCTGCTAATTCAACAGCTGTACACACAAAGTTAATCTGCAGTTTACAACTTATGGATCCTTCTAATTACTATTTTTCTGGTAGGTCTTGTGTTTACAAGAATGAGAACATGGGTCAGCAGTACTGGACCAAGATGCAGAATGTAGAGCCTTGCCCTCGGTTTGCACATCAGTTGGTGTATGATGATATTCATAAAGTACATTACCTTTTTGGAGGCAATCCTGGAAAATCCAGCATACCCAAGATGAGACTCGATGACTTCTGGTCGCTGAAGGTAATCAGACTTTGATTCAAAATTTTAACTGTCTATCTGTTTATTTCGTTTACTCTTAGTCTCCTTCGCGGCTGTTCTCTTGGATGTCACGCAACGCCCCCTTATCTTGCGCTACATCCCAGAGAATGACTGCCAAGGAAACTAGGTTACCCCTTAGCCTGATCCGGGTTTGTCACGTAGTGCCCCAGCGCATGTTACTTTGTGTGACATTATTTTACAATTTGGATGTGAGTTAGTTGTCAAATTTTTCTGTTGCAACCTGAGAGTAACAAACACTTTCAAACTTTTCAAGGGTTTCAAAATTCATTTACGGAACGGAATTGAATGCGCTGATTACGCTCGAGAACATGCAATTACCTTGTCAAAATTTAGTTGCGTTGCGTGACCCAAAAAAAAGTGGTCAACTTGGTACGCGGCTATCAATGTTTAGCCTTGTTAATACTGTCCATTGATTTTATTTCCCGTTTATTTGTAGTTGTCAAGACCTTCAAGAGAACACTTATTAAGAAGATGTCGATACTTAATTCGTAAACAAAGGTACTGTTACCACTTATTGCTTTTCCCCTTTTTTTAACTGCCAATTTGTATCATTAATCCCGCATCCTTTTTATTTAACTGGTCGGCTTTACTTTTTCATCCTATCAACATGTATTGGACCCGCCCGACCCGAACGCGTAAAGCCACAAAAAATTCCTCCTTTACGACCCTCTTATTATTTGTTTTTCCTTCTCAGGTTTCAGGAGATGGCTGCTCGTGACCCTTACGAAGCTCTTCGTTATCTGCAGGTACTTATTAAATTTCTAAATTCCCCCTAACTTGTATCTTGCACAGATACTGGCGAATCTCTTCTCGTGAGAAGGAGTAAGGGTCTTGAGTGAAACAGAATGCTTCTCGAGAGAAACGTGACACGTCTCGTGAGGAGCTAGACAACCTTGCGTGAAAAATTTTACGTCTTGCGAGAAACCAAACGCACTACTTGAGATAAATTTACTTCTCGCAAAATGAAATGCATAACAAGCGAGAAACAGGGTGCGTCTCGCGAGAAACACGTGATTCAGAAAACACGTGCGCAATACGGAACATGCGCCTTGCAAGAGAAGAGGACACTACTCGCGAGAAACCGCCAAACGCACATTGAGTGAAGAGGACATTTCTTGTGAAAAGCAAGTCGCATCTCTCGAGAAACAGGGTGCGCTTCATAAGAAACAAAAAGCGTCATGTGAGTAACAAGACACTTCAGGCAAAATTCAAGACGCACCCCGTGAGCAATCATAAATGTCTTGCGTGTACCAAAACGCGCTACGCGAGAGACGAGACTGGTTTACAAAAAGCCGGATTACGCTTCGCAAGAAACAAAACGACTGTGCTAAAGAGAAGACGAGTTTGGCATAATTCAAAACACGCCTCGCGAGAAACAAGTCGCGTTGTTCTACCCCGCCCAAAGCTCGATTGTCAACCGCTGTTCTGGAAATAAGCCCGCGCTCCTTGGGACTGGGCTTATCCCCGCCCCACACCTCCAAGAAGAATCTTACTCTCTCTTTCAAATTTGAGTCACACTCTGCTTTTTTCTCCCTAGCACGAGCTCTCGGAGACAGTCGCCCATGATGATCCGGACGAGAGTCAAGAGGTGATTAAAGCCATAAAATACTAAACGTTAAGGAGCTAAGTTACCCAGTGTTAGTTTTCCCTTCTCCACTCAGCCCCCGTTTCTTTTCTTTTTTTTTTTTCTTTTCTTTTTCTCTCTCTTTTTTTTTCCGAAACGAGCATAGTATGGTCGATCAGTGAACGATTACGAGCTTCTAACTAATTTACGCGTCAGAAGACTTAAGCGCACTGTAGGTTATCTGCAAGTGCTCTTGTGTTTCCCTGGACGAGAACTTAAAATTCCCTATTAATAGTAGATTTACAAATCGCTTAAATAAGGTATGTCGTGTTGAATGGTTGGAGTTGGTAAGCATTCCTTTCTTTTGTTTACAGTTTCGTCTTATTGCATCCAGTCTATTTTCTCAGTCAGTCTCCACACAAGATCGAATGGAAACTGACGCAGGTGAGTTATCTTTCATAGTTATGTTTCATAATTGATAATGTAAATTGGCCATCGTAAAGAGTTACTAAAGCTAACGTTTCGAGTGTTAGCCCTTTTTCAGAACGAAGTGCCTGTATGTCTGCTATCTGACTATTTGTTCGTGCGTTCCTCTTTGTGCTTATCTGCCATTGCCTGATGTTCTTTTTCTTCTCTTAAATCCTCAGACTCTCTATCGCCGCCATTAAATGACGGTTTTGCTGGAAGAACTCAGGTAGTTGTTACACAAACAAAGTGCACATTTCTACACGTGTTTCACGAATGATCTTTGATATGTAACCTGTATTGTGGGCGATATAATTACAATAGGTGTTCTAAACTTAGTCTATGGCAAGGGAGATAAAAAGTGAGTGTTAAATGCCGAGTGAACAGCAGAAACGGTGGAGGTTTCTCAGCCTTTTGCGCGGTCATTTTCGCTCTCACGCTGTACATTTCTTCCACGATTAACTGAACAAGAAAAGTGGTAGCTGCTTTAAGCCAAGCATTAATTTTTTTTTGTTTCCTTGTTGCAGTTGTTTGATACATTGGTGTCTTTCTTCCCTGAACACATGACACAACCAAAAGGAAATCTTGTAGATCTCATCACTTTCTAACATTTCGGAATATCCAGTGAATAAACAGCAATCAAGAACCACGGAATTGAACAAGATCGATGAGTAATGAGCGGCCCTTTCAAAATAAGAAGCAAAAACTGCTTTTAACATATCCGTGAACAGGATTGTTCTGCTACACAGACTATGGTTCTGAAACAAGTTAGAGACAGGTTACTATTGATCACCTGGGAGGGTGGGTGGGAGGATTTTGATTGTGTCTCTTAAAATCCTCCACCCCTCCCCCTCGGCCATTAATAATTACTTGTCCCTTAGGTTCAGGTCAACAATGCAAAGCTTGTATTTTGTAATTAGTGTGAAGTAAAACAAATTTTTTTCCAGGAGTTTTGAAAAGTTGTTTTCTTTATTACTACAGTGCTTCGTCATACCGTTTTAGCGTGCAAGGGGTCGTAATATCAATCACTTCTCGAGCTGCAGTTGCAAATCATTCCTTTTAACACGGTCGCCTCTTGATTCCCGGCCCCCTCCCACAGAACATATCATTAGCCCTACAACCCCTATTTGTGGGTGGGGCCATACCCCTTACCCAGAACTCTCTGCGGTACAAGAATTTGCGGTCCCAATATGGCGGCAGATGTTATGGTTTTTGGACATGATTAGCACAAATGCGGACAACTGAGTCACTCGATTGTTAATTAACACGTGAGCAATGGAGAACGACGATATCAAGGAGGGTTTCATTTGCCCAATATGTATGAAGGATTTGGGAAATGCTTCGGTTTTGCAAAGACATTTCGAGGAGAGTCATTCCGATGACAAGGACACACTTCGCCGAATGCGAGAGGCGTTTGGCAAAGCGAAGAGAAAAATTATAAACAAAATAGAGAGTTCTGAACCAGACGGGGCAACTGTAGATTCTGTAGATGGTGTTGTTGAAAATCCTGTAAGCAGAGGAGTCGATCCGTTTCTCTGGGACCAGCAAGATTTCGGTGAGAATAATTCTTATACAATATCAGCTGAATACGTTTTAACTTTCACTGTTTGTTGTCTACACGATGAAGCAAGCTTTGAGATATTGTCATTCGTTGAGCATTTCCCTTAAAGTTTTCCCTGCCTGCGTGTAGTTCGTGGACGTCTTATGTCAACACGATGTTTCATCCATGATTCTTCAATCGAATATTTACCCTGTTGCTCGGTTATTTCAAGAGATGCCGGTTTCGATATTTTTGGCAGAATACCCCAATTTCGACAGCACAATTTATCTGCTTCAATTGGATGGTTTCTTAAGACTTGCGCATTTCATGCTCTTTTTCTGGGCATTACATTTTTTCCATCAAACTACATGGATGCGACTGAGAATCATTCACACGCTTGTAGAATGCAGCAATTTTACACTTATACACCTTGATTATTTTTTAATTAATTACTATTTGGCTTTTTTAAACATTTAATCGTTGTTGTGGTCATTTTTATCATTATTATTTCTTTGGAGTTGTTTGAAGTTAAGCAATTTCTGTAACGTTTCATGATTTGCCTTTCTCTACACACTCTTGTGGAGTACGGCTTGCTGAGATTGTAAACTGTCTTTGTTGTCGGTTCTTAATTGTTTTGCGGGAATTTCATATAGTAATGTAGATCTTCATTTTGTTTTGCTCTTCAACTTGTGGCCTTTGCGCCTTGTGCCAAGGCCTTTGGCCTTTGACCCCTAAGAGTGACAAGTATCTAATTTCTCCTCACCATATCACATCCAAGTCGAAGTCATCATGGTAACTAGAGTAAAGGGGGTAAGTTTCTAAAGAAACTGCATCAATGGGAAAGTATAGCAGGTGATTTAGTGTGAACATTTGAGTTGAAAACGTAAATTGGCCACTGTAAAGAGTAAACAAGCTGATGTTTTGAGCATTAGCCCTTTGCTGATCACTCTGACAAAGGGCTAACTCTCGAAACATCAGCTTGTTTACTCTTTACAGTGGCCAATTTACATTTTCAACCCTATTTTTAACACTAAATTACCTGCTAACTAGACTAACAGTTATGGTCACCAACTAAAGATGTTCCTGACTATTAAATTGATTCCTGTCAGCACCTTAGGTGATGTATAGACAGCAGTATGGAGAATATGCATACTGATGTTAGGGTGTGAACAGTTTAATTGAAGGGGAAAAACTCATCATCAATTTTATTATCAGTAATAACAGATTTCTTTTTGCCTCTCAAACACAGGAGTCTCAAGAAGCATATTTAGAGAATTTAGGGAAAGACGAGATGCAGAGATTGACAGATTTGTTGTTGAAACTAATAAAATACTTATCAGACTGGAGAAGGTATGTGTATTTACTTGGCAATGGTCAATTTGGTAATTATGTACATAGTCTTTTTGGAATAAAGTCATCATTGTGGATGTTAACCTTTTAACTCCTGGATCTAATTTGTAATTCTCCTTACTATCTGCCACACAATTCTTGTGGTATAAGTATGTAGAATTTTTTATTGGATCAACTAATAATCTCTTTATTTTCATCACTTTCTGCTTGATATTCTATTGATATTGTAAGGAGAAATTCTGTCTTGGTCACTTATGACAGGCAAAGGGTTAACGGTTTGCAGAAGCTTACCTAGGATTTTTTAATAGAGTCAATCACAGCTAAGACTTTCTGCACTTCTTATTTGAAGTTACTTATTCTATTGCTACTTTTTGTATACTGGCAGACTGGTATTCATTTATTGAGAAGGATAGGCATTAACCCTTAAACTCCCAAGATCTGATTGTTAATTCTCCCCTCTAGCTCCTACACATTTCCTTCTAAACGGGTTATGAGAATTTTGTATTAGGTCAAGATAAGGACTTCTACCCGATAGGTTTGTGTATTCTCATTACCTGTTGTCTGGGTAATGTATGGATGTTATTGGGAGAAGTTACATGGTAATCACTTCTGTAAGTTAAAGGGCTAATGGGGATCATAGTGTGGGAACGATTTATGACTGTTTCGTTACTCCTGTAGCACATCATTCAACCCAATCTGGTACAGCTGTGGCTGGTGTGAACCACTTGCCTTGTGTGAAAAGTTATCTAACCAAAGTTTATTTTCTTGGCTGGGAATTTTTAGCCGGTAACTTTTGTTAACTAATGAGTCTGAATGTGTCTTCTTTTTACATATTAATTTATCATGATTTTAGCTTTTAAGGTCAGGAGTTACTGTTAAAGATTCACCTGCATTACCCACAAGACCAGGAAGAAAATGTGAGTACTGGTATCTGTCTCCTTAACCCTTGACATCCTAATATCAGTATGTATATTATCCATACTGTTTTCTGTGCATTTCTCTGTGCAGACAAAAAAAAAAAAATTTCAAAGGGTTAATTTAGCATTTAACCCTTTAACTCCCAGATCAAATTTGTAATTCTCCTCACTGTCAACCATACAATTCTTATAATGTTAGTTCAGAGAATTTAGTATTGGATCAACTAAGTATCCCAAAATTGATAATTTTCTTCATTCTCATCACTTCTCTGGTTGATATTGTGTTGGTATTGTAAGGAGAAATTCTGTCATGGTCACTCATGGGAGTTAAATAGTTAATAGTACCATTAGCATTGTGTTTGTCTTTTTATTGTTATGAATTTACCCTCCATCGTTATTACCTGGTTTGTGAATGACTCAGTCATTCATACACCAAGCTATTAGAGTGGGGCTGAATTCTTGAAATTTTTCGGCTGGTTGTGTGTTATTAGTCATGTGATTATTGACTCTGGATGAGACTATTCTTAGTTTTCAGCTCATAAGTTTTAGAACCATAACCTGTCATTCCAGTCTGTAATAATAGACCTGTATTTCCCAAATAAGGCCCTTTGTTACCTAGTGTTTATCCATACAGTCTTAAATGCCAACCTAATATTTCCTTTACAGCTTTAGAGAGAAGTCTGGTGCCATGGATTGCTGACAGTGAAGTGAAGTTTTGCCCTCTTTGCAAGAGGCAGTTTAATGTGGCTCGACGTAGGCATCACTGTAGGCTGTGTGGGGGAATAATGTGTGCAAAGTGCTCAGTGTTTGTGTCTGTTTCTTTTTCTGGTAAGAAACTATGCTTAAAGTATACTAACTTAAGTTGTTCTGTCAGACATGATTGATTTATAGCATGAAGGAAAACACACAATTGTCTTAAGTAAATTCATTTTTGCCAATCAGTGCTTTACAACCACAGTCAGCAAAAGTGATGGAGCCTATACAGGGCGTGAAATTAATTTTTCTTTCTGATAGCCACTGGGCTCCTAAATTTTTCAAAGTGGTAGCCAATTCAAAAAAAGTTGGTCGCCATTTTTAGAGACAAAAAAAAACTTTTTTTTTATGCTTTCAGAGTTCTAGATAGACCCTCCAAAATTAAGTTCTATAAAGTTCTACTAAGTGGACACTAGAATGGATAATATAAAACATTCAAGCTCACCTAAATCCAAGATGGTACCTAGTTTTCGATGGAGATGCATGTGCTGTGTTTTGGAAACAAACTTAACAAGAAAGTTTGCTGCAGATTTATCTTAATTTGCAAATCTTTTAAATTCACGGTATCTCTAGGTATGGTTATGATGAAGCATTCTAGTTGGTGATTTGGCGACTACTTTTCAGGATTTGGTTGCCAAAGTGAAAAATTTAGTTGCATTGGCACCTGTATTAGGTGCAATTTCACGTCCTGCTATAGGACAGAATCCACTTTTTGTTTTCTGTTATCTAATTGGCAGATTGTGTGTCTGTTCATACATATAGGTACACAATATTTGTGTACAAGACTCAAAGTAATTTTCCATATGGTACATGTACCATCAAAATGTTAAGACACAACCCAAGTTTGGCCATACAAATATGCAATGACTCATTCAACTCACTCTTGCAATAACTCACTTAACATCAGTGTATGATTTTAGACTCTAGTGTCCAATTTTAGATGCTATTGTATGAATTAAGACACTAGTGTCCAAATTTAGACACTAATGCCTGGTGTTAGACACTTGTGTCTGATTCTAGACACTAATGCCTGACATTAGATGCCAATGCATCTGATTTTAGTGTCCGATTTTAGATACTAGTATCTGATTTTAAACACTAATACCTGATTTAAGACACTGTAGAGTCTGATCTCAGACATTAGTGTCCAATTTCAAACACTTTATCTAATTGTAGACACTAGTGGCTGGCCATCCCAGGAGTTGAGTGAACAAAGCCTTTTGTTTGACTTGAAAATTTGCCATTGCTGTTATTATGAGCCCTGTGCATGCAGTCTGTGTAACAATGCATTGGTTTTATTTCAATTAGTTACCTTTTTGCTTTTTTTCTATTTTTTTTTTTTAATATTCTACATCACATTAATGTCGAATTAACCAAACATGTTACTTTTAAAGAACTTTTTGCTTCAGGACTATGTTACATATGTTAATATTATCATTTATTATAGTTTCTGTGTTAAAACTGGATCAGACAGGCTCAAGCCTTCCCAGGAGATTAAAGGGGCACTCCAAAGATGATTCTGATGAAGCTGGTATTCGTGCATGTCAAGCCTGTATGGATTGTTTGGAGAGGTAAGCTACAGTTGTACTTTACCATTTTCCATGCTTAAAAAGTGCAAAAAAAAGTCAATGGCTAGTTCATGATACTCGGCAGCAAACCATTCTCTTATACATTTCCTCCAAGACTATCTTTTTGCAACTTTTTCACATATTGGCATTCACTTTTTTGTCATTGCATCTATACTCATGTGCAAATTCAAACCAGCTTTAACTTGTGTCAGAAAAACTAATCTGTGGGAGGCAGTTCCCTCCTTTTGATCTGGTGCAGAATCTTAAGGAGTCAATTCATTTATCATACAGTGAAGCAGAGCCAAAATTTGTGGTACTTAAGGTTCAAACAGATGCAGTCTTTAAACTGGTGACTACAACTTTTCTCCTGGCAACCATTTTCCACCACTTTGGCATTTAAAGGTGATTAACAATTTTTTTTTTATAATTTCAGGCCTTAAAATGTAAATTTTGTTTGTTTTTTCTCTCAGATATGATCGACAAGAAAAGGAAAAGAAAACAAAGCCCCCTGTTGTTCAATTGTATGAGGTAATAATAAGCATTGCTAGAGGTTGAGTTATTCATATAAATTTTAATTGATGAATTAAATCATATGAAAAAATATCATTTCTCTTACAGTGTATGTAAAGGCTAATTTGCAAAGATAATCTTCAGTCTCTTTACTATTTGTATATTTCTTATATATTTTGAGACTAATGTTTTTTTAATGATTGTGAATGTAAGTTTAATTATACAGGGAGGAGTAAAAATTAATTTTATTTTTTGCTGTTACTTCCTTCAACCCTCTTGATCCATCTCTGTATTGCTGGTCTTTCATATTCCCCCATTTGATTTTCATCAATTTTGTTATTAACTATAATTGTTAATTTTGCCTGACCACTACACTACCAAATACACAAAGTAACACTTGGAGGCATGGGCACGTTGGTCAGCCAGGCCCATGATACACTTTATTAACTCATGTGAAAAAACTCCACTTTACAGTAATTCTAAGAACATGCTACAGTCAGAAACGTAAACCTGAAAAAACCAACTGTTGGAAAAATAGAGACCGTGTAACACAAATGTATGCCATGGCGTCATCTTTGGGGTTATAAGGCAAAACTAATAAAATAAAGCCTAATAACTTAAATATAAGTGGAAAACAAGACGTTACATAAAATAGCTTAGAATGATAGGGACCACTAAGGATGGTAATGTGATTAAGGCTAACAGAGTAAGTGAAAACTAAACTAAACAAAGCAAGATGACGTGGCAAGGCCGACTGTAGAATGACACACATAACTAACCGGTCAATATTTCAAACCCCCTAACCAAGTTCCCATGCATACTACACTAGAACCTAGTTCACCTCTCTGTGCCGGCAAAATAATAATATATGTCAATTCTAATTTACACAAATAACATTTATCATTATTGGTGTTTAGTTATTAATTTATTTATTTTTTGGTGTCATTAATTTTAAACACATTGTCCACTGAACCACTCTCTTATTGAAATGTTATAACCATGATCACAACTTCTTCTCCTACAGAAAATGAAGAGCTCTATGGCAGAGGCAGAATTGTTACAACCCACGTACACCAAAATGGCTGATTCAATTAAGTCAGTATTATAAAAACTTGCCTAGACTTTTTTATAGAAGTTCATTTTAAAATTATAATGATGATAATAATAATAAAATAATAATTACATTAACAATAGGTTTTTTTCTGTTACACTGTTATTTGCAATCAGAAATAAACTACAAAAAAAATCTTAGCAAAGATTATGCAATACAATTAAAAGCAGTAGGTCTGAAGTAGGACTAACAGATATGAAATTGAACCCACAGAATGGACTTTGCTGAAGGGAAGGAATGCTCAATCCATAGTCTTGCTAACCCTCTAACTCCCAGAAGTTCAACTAACACGAAACTTCTCCCTAAAATATCCATACATATATCTAACAAACAGGTAATGAGAACATTCAAACTTATCAGGTAAAAGTTGTTATCCTGATCTAACACCAATTACTTATACCTGATTTGCAAGGACATGTGTAGCAGCTAGAGAATTAACATTAACATTTTGGGGGTTAAAGGGTTAAGAATCTTCATCTTTGTTTATTCCTACAGTTTAGGTGATATTCAGTATGATTTACAAGAAGCTGCTGAAGTGCGTGCAAGATTAGTGAGGATGTATGAATCAGTGGACATCATTAGGTGAGTTGATACTGAAGAAATTTTGATAGCCTAAGTCAGTGACAACTGTATTATGGTTAAGAGAGTATGACTGACTGGAATACCTTAGGAAGGAAGCTGGCTTTCTTTAACTGGAGACTATAAATCCAGTCCTAAACCACTCCAGGCTCAATATCTGAGCAACTGCTCACCTACCCCTCCCTTAATCCAACAATATTCACCTGATAACAAGGTTGGGTTAATGCTGGGCCAATGTAGGGTCAGGGGAAAGGGTTGGTGCACAGTTTCTCAAATTCTGATATTGATCCAATATGTTTTTGAAGGAGGGGGTGGAAAATAATAGTTTGACTATACACAAATTCTAAGTGCATAGTACTTATTTGGGGGAGTCCTCTGAGTGTGTTCTAATAATAAATCTGTTTCCATTATGATTTCATAAGTTTATTCCTTTCACTTATTTGCAGTAAAAAGATTGCAGCTCTTGGAACTCAAGCTGAGAAACCACCAAGTCATCAGACAATGAAACTCCAAAAAGGCATAAGAACTTTTGCTACAGGATACTTACAGGAAAACATGTTCACACTTCCTAATCTGCCTTCAGTGGACAAAATTACTAAACTTCAAGAAGAAAGGGCAAATGCTTTGGCTAGAAAAGCAGCAGAAGAGAAAGAAAAAAGAGAACGAGCCATGCAAGAAAGATTACGAGCAGCAAAAGTACGACAACAAGGACATGGAGACCTCAATAGAAATGAGCCTTCAAGCAAACTTAAGACTGCCCAGCAAACTCCAGAGTCTGTTATGGGAAATGGTTGGGGCCCAGTCCCCATCACTCAAGGCTCTTCTCCAGACCCCATGCTGCAGCAGATAGATATTATAAAAAGTTACATTGTTCAAGCAAAACAACAGCGGAAATTTGATGAAGTTGAAATGCTTGAAAGAAACCTTATGGAACTAGAGGAGGAGTACATTCGGCAGTATCAAGGAAGATAGCAAATTATTAGCTTCCTTTGGAAATATTTTAAAAGGGGATAATTTTGTATATGGGTAACAAATATTTTCAAAGAAGTTAATAACTGAATTTAATGCATCTTTCATTTTCGTTTAGTTTTTAATTGTTGTTGTTTTTGTATTTTTATAGAAAAGTAATCTTGTCAAATTAGTTAAAATTGTTGAAGATAACCAGAGTTTTTTTTTGCAGCTATGTACTGAAAAGCTGTGATAATATTTTCAAATTAGCATAAAATCATGTGAATACCCTGAATATAATGATATCCAAGAGCACATGTTGTGTTTTGGTGCAATTAAAATGGTGTGAAAAACACAAATAGCCTCACTGTGTTGGCATCAAATATTGCCATATTTGTGACAGTGTTAGACGATACTCCATAATTAAATGGATAGGAGTAGTCTGTATAGATGTCTTGTAAAAACCTACCAATGCCAAACAATTAAAAAGAAGATACTTTTTTTTGGAAATTGAAGAACAAAGTGTCATTACTTAATTTTGAAAATGTTTGATCACTCCATAGGCTTTTGAAGATGTTGTGCTTCAAAATTTTGTTGTTTCATAAAATCTTTCAAACCAGTTAGATTTGATTTCCCTTTGTTCCAGAAATATATTTCCTTAATATAAGAAGAACTAAAAAAGGAACAAACTGGTGTGAAAAATATGAAACCACTCAAAAATTTGAACCATGTCATACACTCAGAGGTCATAGAAGTACCTGTAGTTATTCACAAGTCATCTATTTATGTGGACGCAGGAAATTCACAACATTTTCATATGGTTATTTTATTACAAATATCTGTTCCCATTCATCATAAGTGATCAATAATAAGTTATCCTGCAGAAGCATCTTCTTTGAGTTGCCAGAATTTTGGCTTCTTTGCCTCAGGATGTGGAACAATAGCTGTGCATGGCCTTTGTCCTGGCTTCTGACAGATACAGTAACAATGCCCAAACCGGCCAAAGTTTGCAGGGTTCAATCGGCCTGGATATTTTTCTTTTACACTGTCTTTTTGCTCCCTACGTTATAACAAAAATAATCAAATGCCTTAAATTCACATGCTTTGTTTCGAGCTGAAATCTCCTTAGGTTCAAATAAGAAATGTCCATTTTTCAAGATAAATGAAATGAATGTTGGTATCATTACTTACATTTCTGTAGCTCCAGCCACTTTACCAAACATCTCCAAAATCTCAGGCCCAGTTTTACTTTCCACATCCATTGCCACCTTTTTTCCATTACCTGAAGAAAATAAGCAATACATACATATATTAGAGTAAAAAACTACACTACTGATCTCCTTCCCCCACCCTCTTGAGTATAGCAGGCAAAGAGCTTGACAGCCCCACACCCCTCCTCAGGTTTTTAAGTTAAAAGGACAGTTCATCTGTGACACATGTTTACCCCGTCCACCTCAATGTTACAAATTTTAATGGGTAAACATTGGCAAGCCAGCCTTAATATCACTTTTGAGCAAAATCCTATACCCTGTAGGCTTGAAATTGGGCTCCCGGAATGTATACATATATCATATATGCTTTGATCTCTATGAGTAGTAATTCTGTCTCTATTAGCCTTTGAACCCCCTGAAGTGATGAACGGATAACTTCTCCCTAGCTATCATGTCCAGCAAAAATTTAATGATAACATTCAACCCTTTAAGGCAGAAGTTGTTCTCTTGACCTCACAACAAATTCTCATACATAATTTACAAGGAAATAAGTAGCAGCTAGAAGAAAAAATAAAAAAATCAGACCTTAGGAGTAACAGGGTTACAGTAAATTCATGTCGCAGTTGTTTATGTAACTGTGATAAAATAATGTCACAGTTTTCAATACCTACCAAAAAATACATGCACCACTGGATAGGTTAATCTGTTTCTCGTCGTCGTAATCTGGACAGTACGATTCTTGTACTGAATTTGAGGAACATCTTTGTAAATGAAATTTCTGAGGCCAAGACTCTCTTGTTTGGTAGTGTAATTTAATAGCACGTTCTTCACATCCGATTTTAATATTAACTTTCCCGAGTTGAGGAATTCGAAGGTGCGGCGAAATGGAAACTTTCCGGTCGGCATATTGGACGCTTAAATTCTCCCAAAGTTCGATCTCCACAAGTCAAATTATTCACGCCATATTGTTCCTACAACTCTTCCACCATCTTGGAACACTCAATGCTTCAGCGGTCACTCAGCTGAAAATATATTTTACATGAAGTTAAATTCAAAGAGAAGAGCATGCCGCTGAATATTATAGAGGAGAAATCCAACATGGCCGCTAAGAGCCCTGAACTCTACCGCGAAGCGTTGAAATACATGAACATTCACAGCGGTAAGATTGGCAGATATGCTGTACAGAGAACAATCGAACATTTAAAAAGGTGTAATGTTGTCTTAGATCAAGATGTCAAAGAGATGAGGATTAACATTCCAAAACCTGAGCAAAGAGGCGCAGAGTGAGTACAATTTTATCTACCTAAATACTAAAATTTCGAAGTGGCCGGCAGCCGGACAGGATTTTGAATATATTCTGCGTCCAGCAGACAAAAATTTAGTCAGAATTTTCCTTGCAATGTTCTGTTAAACTTCTTGTTGTTTAGAAATGCTAGGCGGTTTCAAAACTCACTTTGGTCATTTAGTAGAAGAAATTTCTGAGCTTGTGCATACGTAAAACATCTAGAAAACAATTCTGATCTAGTATTCCCTATGATCCAGTCTATTTAAGAACGTGCCCGGTAGTGAGAAATTTTCACCGAACTCCCACGTAATACCCCATCCAAACGTATTAAAAGTACTCGATGCTTGTTTATAGATGCAAGTGATTAAAAAAAAAATTCGTCGACCTATAAACAAAAGTAAATGGTATCCACCGCGAAGTTTCTGACAGCCGGACACGGAGTATTTTCAAAAACCTGTCTGACTGCCTGGACACAGTTTCTTTAGAAACTTACCCCCTTTGTTCATTTGCCTGGTATAAAAATGTATTGCCATGATTTCAAGAGATGTTTACATTTCATGAGGCTTCATGTTACCTCAGTTTAATTAATTTTTCCCAAAGCTAGTCATACGAAGTTAAGATAATTATCCTTTTATCATGATTTCAAGAGATGTTCACATTTCATGAGGCTTCATGTTACCTCAGTTTAATTAATTTTTCCTAAAGCTAGTCATACGAAATTAAGATAATTATCCTTTTATCTCTCTTGCAGACGGTTCTTTTATGAGAATGTTCCACAGCTGAAGTTTAAAAATCCACATGTTGAATTTTCAGGGTCACAAAATCAATCTGAACATGCAGAACTCCTTATAACATTTAGTAAGTAGTAACTGCTAGGCTATATTGGTGGTAAAATTATCCAGCAAGTATTGACATTCACCAGGGCATGTCTATGATTTTCCAAAAGGTTTCAATACTAGTGTGTCATTGGAACTGTAACCCTTTCACTCCCAAGATCTTACATGGAATTTTCCTTATTATCTGGCATACAACTTATGATGTTAGTTTGAGGAATGTGGTATTGGATCAACTAATTATCCCCTAATTGATAGATTTCCTTATTCTAATCACTTGTCTGCTCAATATTGTAATGATGTGGTAAGGAGAAATTCTGTTGTGGTCACTCATAGGAGGTAGGGTTGAGGATTATCATCCTATTGTACAAGGGGGTTTGGTGAGGATGTTTCATGTTCATGCACATTTTGAACCTAACCACATGAAAAGATGTGAGGAATCTGAAACCTCAGGTTTTTCATTGGTCCCCTTTGAAAAATGTACTCTGAAGGGTCAAGATTTTGTTGGCTTCCTTGAAGATTAGTCCAAACAAATTTTTTTGAGAGATCCATCACCATTACCGGTAACATCAGCAGAACTCTAGAGAAAAGAGGGAACATCCTTAGGCAAGGTTAATTACCTTTAGGCTATGCCTTTGAGTATGGATCCTGTGATCTTGGTAGTCAAAACAGTTTTGGAGATTTTTAATTTGGAGTGTTGATTTTACTTTTGTTTTACATTTCATAGTGGATGAACGCCAAGAAAGAATTCTGCTTGCAGAGAAGGAGCCATCACAGATCATGCAAGAAGTTGTAAAACTTGCCGCTGCAACATCCAGCTCAGGGTACGTAATATTATTCCCATGCAAAGAAGGTTTAATGAAACAAGACCTCACAGCAGCAGAGTAAATCTGGAAAATTTACAGTTGGGCCCTAATGATGGGTGCTTTAATTTGCTGTGATCAAATGAGCTGGTATAAACTATGGTGAAAACTATGGTAATTCAGTATTTTCAACTGAGTTGATAGTGTAAATTGGCCAGTATCAAAGCTGACGTTTTGAGCTTTAGTGCTTCGCTCTAACAAAGGGCTAAAACTCAAATTGTCAGCTTTAAAACTCTTTATAGTGGCCAATTTATATTATTAACTCAGTTAATGATATTAAATTACCTTGTTACACTCTCCCATCAGTGCAGCACCACAGTTTCTTTATAAAATTACCTCCTCCATGGTGAAAACCACTTTTGTTAACCCTCTTACTCACAGAATTAGATTAACATGTTACTTCTTCCCATAAAATCCAACAAACAGGTAATGAAAATACTCAGACTTATCAGATTAAAGTTATCTTGATCCAACACCAAATTCTCACAACACATTTTCAAGGAAATGTGTAACAGCTTGAGGGTAGAATATTAACAACCAGATCTTGGAAGTTAAAGGGTTAAGACACCTGGGTATATATAATGAATTGTGACATTGTTAATTATCTTTCTCTTTCATTGTGGTTCTTTCTCTCATTTCTCAAATAAAAAAAGAAAAAACTATCCCCCACTGACCATGATTATGTAGATAAGGATCATCCTTACTAATATTGATTAATTTTTCTCCACAGTGATGGAAATTCATGACAAGTTGAAGGTACATGTGTCTCTTGGAACCCTACAGCATAAGCCAAAATTGTCATTCTAGACATCGGTTAAGAAATACAAAAACAGTTGTATGCACGTCAAATGACAATGCAATTAATGCAATCTCAATTTCATGGTCAACTTGTGGTACAATTCCTTTTTACAGCAGTCGTAACTGTTCATGTATCAATGCCCTATGAGGCCACAAACTAAATAAATGCAATTTTAATAATATTTTCTTCTTTTCATCTCATGATTTTAAGCCAGCCAAACTTAAATCCTTGTATCTGTCATGTTGTGTACATCATTCTGAAAGCAAATATACTTCTAAGTGCTCTCTTGGCTTGTGACTGAATGTTCTCATCAGTGTGATCTAAAAGTCGCATTAGTTCTCCATACAGTACATTTAGATGCTCCGTGATGACAGCTTGTTGTTGCTACAAAAAAAAAAACAAACCTAATCAATGTATCTAATAATCAATCAATTAATTTTTTTGGTCCCTGACCCATTTCCATTTTGTAGACAATCAGTCAATTAGTAAGTTCATTAGTGCATTTGTCTATCCATCCATATGTGCTGTCAGTTAGTCAGTCAGTTCATCAAAAGGTCAGTTGATTAATCAGTCACTCAATCAGTCAGTAATTCAGTCAATTGGTCACTCAATCACCCAGTCAGTCACTCAATCAGTCAGTCATTCAGTTAATCAGTCAGTCAATCAGTCAGTCAATCAGTCAGTCATTCAGTCAATCAGTCAGTCAATCAGTCAGTCAGTCAGTCAGTCAGTCAATCAGTCAGTCAGTCAGTCAATCGGTCAGTCAGTCAGTCAGTCAGTCAATCAGTCAGAATTCATTCACTCAGGCAGTCACTCAATCACTTAATCATCTGTCAGTCATTTGGTCAGTAATTCAGTCAGGTAGCCAGTCAGTCAGTCAGTCGGTCCGAATTCATTCACTCAGGCAGTCACTCAATCACTTAATCATCTGTCAGTCATTTGGTCAGTAATTCAGTCAGGTAGCCAGTCATTCAGTCAGTCAGTCAGTCGGTCAGAATTCATTCACTCAGGCAGTCACTCAATCACTTAATCATCTGTCAGTCATTTGGTCAGTAATTCAGTCAGGTAGCCAGTCATTCAGTCAGTCAGTCACCCACTCACTCAGTCAATAAAGGGTTGACTTAATTTTAATAATTCGATATACATGAGTATCATAGCCAATACAGTTTTGTTTTTCAATCTTCAGAACTTAAGTTGATTTTTTTTCAGGGCCTTATTTTCACTACTGCTTAAGTAGTGTTCATTATTGTGAAGATTGCTTTCATAGTTACTAAGTTGAAATTATTTAATATTATCACTTCTTCAAATTATTTACCTCTGTGTAACCATCTGGGCTGGAAAGTAAGTTGGCCACAATTGTTACAGCTCTAAGAACAATGTCATCTTGGTTGTCTGCGAGCATAAATGTCTGCAAAATCAGCAATGGCTGCAAATGGAGACAAAAATTTCAGTGCAATATGTAAAGAAAGTTTAAAAAATCAACTTTTGATTTTACTTCTGACAAACCTTTAATCCCAGTAACCCTTCCAGATTATTTGTGTTACAAGACAAGTTCACCAACAGTCTCAAAACTTCTTTCTAAAAGAACAAAAATAGAGTGAAAGAGTCAGTTAACACAATATTAATTTACTCAACTGACACTTTATTTCATTAATGATAACAAATGATTTACTTAGTACTTTGCCAGTTGAATTTTATTTCCTTCTTTCTTCCTTTTTTTCTGGCTTCCTCTCTTGTATGAGGGAATAACAGACACCTAGGGGTTTCTAGCCCTTCGCATCCTAACATCAGTGTGCATCTTCTCCATACTGTTCTCTCTACATCTCATGAGGTGCTGACAAGGAGAATTTGTTTAACAATCAAGAGCTTCTTGATTTGGGGATTTGAAGTTCACAATATGTTTCATTTATATCTTATACCTGAATTTTTTCTGAGTGAGAATGGCAGAGGATATCGAAAAATGCTTGCGCTCCTGTCATGATCTCTTCATGTGCCGTATTTGTCACAGACAAATTGACCATTAGTTTTAAATGCTCAGTGATCACATCATCATCATCAAGAACATCACAGTATTCAAGGTTCTTTATAATTTCAAAGACGCTGTCCTGCAAAAAAAGGCATCATTAATAACAAAATGTTTGTATACAAAAAACAAACAAACATACAACAAACATGAAAAACATCCTATCAGTCATGATCAATGCAAAATTTAGACCAGGCAAAAGAACCTCCCTAAAGAATCAATACAACAAAGTATGAGAGCATTTACTTATTCTTAGCAAAAACTCTGGGTAATACCTTTAAACAAGCTTGATTTTTTTCATTCATGGCCAAGTTGGACAACACTTGTACAGCCTTGATGATGATGGTCTTCTTAGGGTGAGTTAAAAGGGTCACAAGGCGTGAAAGACCTCCACACTCCCGAATTATGTTCTAGAGACACAAAGTAAATAAAAATAATCTGCCTCAAATATCAACCTGTTGTGAGCTTACACTATACCTGTACATGTATGTGTTGTGGTTCAATTTTATCCTTAGTTCAAATTTTATGTTCTTTTGTTTTTTGGGTATTGTAATGTATGATAATGAGTTTGAAACAAAGGAAAATAAAATTTGAACCAAGGATAAAGTTGAACCACAACATAGCAGATCCAGAGAGAAATGCCTTTTGGGAATCAAAGTTTGCTCCCCTCCCTCTCAAAAATTCCTGAATCAACCCCACTATGAGTGTCCTTAACCCTTTAACTACCATGAGTGACCAACAGAGAATTTCTCCTTACAACATCAATACAATACCAACTAGATATATGGTGAGAATAGATAAAAATATCAATTTGGGGATAATTACTTGATCCAATACTTAATTCTCTGAACTAACATTATAAGAATTGTATGGTTGACAGTAAGGAGAGTTACAAGTTTGATCTGGGAGTTAAAGGGTTAAAAGGAATGAATAGTTAAGACTGTAGGTTAAGGGATTATTTGGTAGTGCCTGTAAACTATACACTTGGAGTAGCTGATTAAATCGGAGCATTCTTGAAGGGTGGGGGAGGAAGACTGGAAGAGAGAGATAGAAACTGCCAGTGCCAGCATCTGTGAAACACTTTCCTCGTCCATGGATCCGTTACATTAAAATCTTAGCTCTTTCACTTTCACGTGCGATTCTTTCAAAATTCGACACAAAGTGAAGCGGAGAGGTTAACAAGCAGAGAGGGAAACGGAAATTATAATCATGAAAATGGCAAAAGATCTTTACTTTTTTCCCAAAAACTCCTCAAATAGGGATCAAGAGGAAGGTTTATCTTAAACTAGAAGCATTCCGTCGGTAAAATCCCTTTTCTGTGGTCCGTTTATGCATATATGGGCCTCTCATGATCGATATTGTAGTCTACAGTAGACTTGTAGTCACTGGCATGAAGTATAATAATTCTTCGGTTTAGCGTACTACCTGGTTTGTTGTGAACGCTGAGCAGTTCAGAAGCGCAACAAGAAGCTTCTCTAACATATGATCCTCTACTTTTTCAAGAAGCTCTAGTAACGAAGCCATCGTTCCTTTGGTAAACTCGCCGTGTCCGTTCTCATTTAGTATTTCCGCCAACTCTTGTTTTATCACGAAGGAACTACCACTGTCATCTTCGCGCAGTTTGTGCAACGATTCAAAAACATCTGTGATACTTCCTTTCTTCTTCTTTCCCTTGTATTCTCTTAGATAATAAAGACCAAATGTTATTGCAAGAGCTGCACACGCAGAGCAAACTCCAAAAAGAACAATTCTCGTCGTCTTTCCGGTGGCCTCCATGTTGGTTTTTCTGTTGTGTATGTCATATAACACCAATATAGCTTCCTGTTCTTAGTAGCCTCGCCTTCACAGCTGAAGTGCGGTTAAGCTAAGGAAAACATGGAGCCAGTATTAGGAACTTTTGGACACGAAGGCTGGGAAAATGATGATGGATTCGACGAATCGAAGCTTCCATCGTCTGGTTATGAATATCTCCGAAGAGTTCAGTAAGTATCAAAATTCGGAATATCGTTTTAAATGTCATTAAAATCCCTCATGCATGGCTTTTGAATTCAATATTTTGCACTCTGTCTTCACAACTGTCCACATTTGCATGCATACTCAACTCTTCAACTCCCAAGATCTGATTTTTAATTCTCCCCTCTACCTGCTACACATTTCTTGTAACTAAGTTGTAAGAATTTGATGTCAGATCAAGATAACTTCTACCTGATAAGTTTGAGTATTCTCAATACTTGTTTGCTGGATATTGTATGGATATTTTGGGAAGAAGTTACATGTTATTCACTTCTGGGTGCTTAAGGGTTGAAAGAAGACAATTTTGCTTCCAGGTTAGAAGCTATGCAGTGCCCTGATGTTGTAGTGGCCAGTTTTGACACCAACAGCTTCCAAAGCAAGCAGACTGTTCATGTTAATGAGGTACATGTTCTATTTTGCTCAAACAACTGACATAAGCAATTCATATTTTGATTTTAAAACAAGCTGACACACAGGTACACAGTGAGATAAAAAAAAAAAAAAAATTGATCAGCATGATAAGATTCGAAAAGGAACCAAAATTTGTTTTGGAAATAAATTAGCTCACAGTGATGTGTTGCTGGTGTGCAAAAAAAAAAAAATAAATAATACTGAAAATGGAAAAAAAAAAAACTAGTGCCATTTTGTTCTTTGAGCTTGACTTCATTTTAGTTAATATTGGATAATAACTTAACAACTTGTAAACCATTAGCATTGCTGTTGGTCTGTTGGACTGTGGCCCTCTGATAAGCAGTGCCACCTAGGAATAAGACTTCCTTTGTACAATGGGTATCATTTATAAAGATAGTAAGAAAAGAGCGTGTTGCATTCCACTTTTACTTTTCACTGAGTTAGTAGAAATTTAGGGACATAAACTTATGTTGTATACAGCCCCTTTTGTAACTTTGTAGAAATTGTGGGACAACAGCAAACATTGTATTCTGCTCCTTTCATAAGTTAATAGAAATTGTGAGACAACAATAAACCTTGTTACAGACCTAAACTTTCACTCAACGCAACAAGCACTGTGATTGATTGATTCTTGATTACATGCCCCTGATCAAATTCAAATGTATCCCGACTGGGATACAATTGCACAGTTGTTACCTGCATGCCAAATACAACAGCACATTTGTTTGTTTTTGCAATATGATTGTTCAAGGGAAAGTCTAAGTAATTATATAGCAAAGCACTTAAATGTATGGTCCCTTTGGGAAACTAGTTAGTTTTGTTTTCCCTTGAGTCCTGATGTTTCCCACAACAAAGTCAGTGCTCTCAGGAAAATAAAACTAACTGTTTTCCTTGGGACCATACATTAAGTGTATAAATTGTATTCTGCTCCTTGTGTAATTGGTTGTTGTGATCTGTTCCTCAGAGATCTGGTTGGTCACCAGCTCCAGCTGGATTTGCCCCCTCTACTGATTGGCAGATGGAACAAGCTGCAGATTTTGCCGAAATCAGACAAGTTAGTGCTTACTATTAAACTTGTGCATTCCTCTCATTGGCCAAAATAAGTATACTTCCCATGCTATCTGAAACTAGCAAAATCAATGGTGTATAAGTTACAACTTAGCTTTCTCATTGCACAGTTTTAGAAGATTTGTTCCCTTCTGTTGTCTTCTTATTCCCTTCACTTCAGACTTTGTTGTAGCCTAGGACATTCATAGTTTGCCTTTCTTTCTGATCTTAAGGTCACTGATTCTGTGATTTCATTTACTCATGACCCTGCCTGGTGAAATTCTTGTCACAGCATCCCATAGTTGTTCTTGTTGTCTTTTACTTTCTCTTTTTTTGATGTCCCCAGTTTTTGTTCACTTTTGGGGTTCCAGTAAAGGACCTGCCTGGTAATACATTAGCACATGATTTCCTAGTCAGAGTTTGGCAAATCCATTCTTGCATCTTCCTCCAGATTTGAATCAGAATTCTTCTTCCAACTTTTGCTTTCATGGATATTTATTGGTGTAACATTATAGCATTCTTCAGACTCAATTTGAAAAAAATTTTTGACAAGGTATTTTACAGGAGACTCTTTTACTATTTGAGGTTGTGTCAAACACAACATTCTTTTTTTCTCTCTAATTTTTCAGAAACTTGTTTATCATCGATCAAAGCTTGGAAAAGAGAATTCCACAAAGTTAACATTGGTAAACCCACAGCATAATTTACTGATTAAAATCATCAAACTTTTTACACCTAGAAGTGTTTGACAATTCACAATTTCAAAAGATTATTCAGAAAAAGGTAAAGAGAATTTAGAGACTTGTGGTTGTTATCTTGATCAAACATAAAATTCTCCCAGCCAATTTTATGAAGAAATATTTAAGCAGTGACATGGGAGAATAACTAATTAGATCATGAAGCTGGTGGACACATTGCTTGGTCCTCACTGTCTGTGCTTTTGGAGAGGTCAGTCATGATATTCATTTAATTTTCTTACTTGTCGGTCAATTCTGTAGTTATTGCTTTCTATTATTTTATATATTGTACAGCCAAAGAAATCTGATTCTATGGGATGGTGCCGCTTTTGTCTTGGAGAACAAACTACTATGAAAATATTTGGCAGGTAATTGTAGACACTTTTCAAGAAACATAATAGTTTTAAGTTATCTCAATTGCCGTGGTCAATTCTGATGTTGGTCATGAAGTTTCGACTGCTTGTCTTCTTCCAGCAAGGTGAACTGTTTGGAGAAAGTAAAATGCAGCAAGTCACACTTCAATACAAACCTTCATTTGCCTCATGTGCATTCAGCTTTAGTTAGACACTCTTAGCTATGATTGATATTTTGAATTTGTGCAACAGTTAGTACTGGATGCCATATCATACCTGTATTAATAACCTTGTTACTGCTGGAACAGAAAAGATAACAAGAAAAGTGTTAAGGATGAAGATTTGTTGGAAAGTAGTGATTCGCAAGGCACCGATCAGGTCTGTTCATTTTAATATTGTTATTACTAGTGTTATAATAATTATTAATAATTAGTATAAATAAAATACTGTTATCATCATCATTTTATGCTGAAAGAGCCAATGATGGGCAAAGGTGCAAAAGACTAACAAATAATTGCAAATGACAAATCAATAAAATTTACAAAGTTCAATTTCAAAATGTGCAGCATAACTCCTGGTGCATGTAAATAATTATTCAAAATCCTGTTGCAGGACGGGACACCTCCTTTATTGAGTGTTGTTCTTCAAATTAATCAAGTAAGTCAAGCTGCAAATATCGTAAATAGTAACGTTGTGTTAAGGACTTTGTTGCCGTAGCGATGAATTTGTCGAAGCTCCCTAACTCAGCAAGATTTGAAAATTGAGTTCTGACCATATCTTAGATGTTTCTTTTTCTTTGCTGTTTTTTGTTTGTTTGTTTTGTATGTGTGTGTGTGCACACTTCCGTCTTTCATACCTTTATCGAACTCAGATCCCTTTCCAGCTTTTCTGTAGGTGTCACGCAATGCTCTTGTTGTGTGACATCCAGAATAACAGTTGGGAAGAAAACCACACAGTAGGTCCTTGCGAGTAGGTCCTTGTTATAAGCGCATTGGCACCACCGTTTCTTCCCAGTTCCCTCGCGGGAAATTATAGGCCTTGTGCAACGCGAGTCGTTGAGAGGTTACAAGGGTTCTAGCACTAGTCTGGCGCTAGTTTTTGTCAAAACGACTGGACTTGTCATCTTTTACTAACCAGAAAGCTACATTCGTGGGAGAATACACGGGATAAAAATAAATAAATAAATGGAAATAAATAAAAAAACAAAAAAACCATAGCTTCCTTGCAGGCCCTCGGTTTTAGTGGCAGACCCCCACCGAACCCTCTTCCCGACTCGTCACAAATCTTCCCACGGACAGAGAAACACGCGTCCGCCACAAAGATCACGAAAAAATCGGATCCACTGTGAAATTACAAGCAATTTGGAAGGTGCTATTTCCTAGACTGTTTTGTTTTAGTCGAAATTACATTTACTTTACAGGCCACTTTGCTGCAAGTTTTAGAATTCCACGTTGAATGGCTGGAAGAAATCGGATTTTCTCATGACCAGGTAAAGCTATTCAAACTAAAATTTGGACGTATTCAAACTAGACTTTGTCGCATGTTGCTTACGACACGAATTTTTTCGTGTAAATCTACAACTCGCTTACGACTCTTAAGTCATGTCGTAGGCCTGTCGTAAGCTTGTCGCATGCGACAAAGTCGTGCCGTGTAAATAGGCCTTAATACAATCGGTATGGTCCAATTAGCGATGTCATAAAATAAGGAGATGAGTGGACTTTTATTTCATTTGTGGCATTTAAATTTGTCGTTAGTCGTGATTATATAAAGACGGGCTGGACTTTAAACGTCTATCTGGATATGTGTTGGTTTTGCGCGTTTCACGCGAAAGTTTAAAGCACCGTTCTACCTGCTCAATTTTCCGCTTTACATCAAGCCATACAGCCAACGATGTGCCTGTAGTTTAGAAAATATACTGTTTTTCAGTGTATTTTATTGCCACGGTCAGAGAAACGTGCGTCCACTACTAAGATGTACATTTTTATCCTCTTCTTGAAACATTTATTTATCTCGTGCTAAATGCGATTTTTCGTCAGCGAACTGTCCGATATGGCAAATCTACGTAATTTCAGAATCGTCCCTCCAAATCCTTACTCTGCATCTTGAAATAATTCTTACACGTGCATTTTTTTTAAAGGGGAAGTGGTTTTATGCTCTTCTTGTTTGTCTGGAGAAGCCACTTTTACCAGAAACCACTTCACTACTTCGCACTCTCGCCAGACTCTGCGCAACCCTGAGAGCATCGTTGGTATGTACTTATGATCTGTTAAAATTCAAAGGTACGATGCTTAACGCTAATCAGCGAACTTATCATGACTGACTGGCGCAAAACCAAATCTAAAGTACTTACGAAAACGAATCAGGGTAAAGATATATGTTCAGTAACCAATTAGAATTCAGAACGACGACGCGTAATCTTCTTTAAGCGCGGGAAAACGCAATGAGTAGGTAGCTGTTTTTTCGATGGTAGCAGGCAATTTTCAGACCAATCGCAGAATGTAAAAATGGAAAGAAAAATCATTAAAATTTTCAATTACTTTCGACACCTTACTTGAAATCTCTCGACACTTAATATTGTTTTCGGCTACTTTTCCGCTCTCGCCAGATGACTGCTACATTATGTTGTCTCCAGTCATAACCTTGGTCATGCAGCGTTGGTCGCCTTCAACTGATCCTCAACAATGAGGAAATTGAATATGGAAATTTTGGCAAGAGAAGAAGCTATTTCCTCTATAAAATGTCGTCTGAAGCACGTACTTGAGCAGCCATTTTGAATTCTTGCTTACCCATTTCAAACCATTTGACCACATAGCTAAAACGGTCTATTGGCCGTTTGTTTTGAAGATCGCGAAACACCCGCCCCCTTACTGAGTAATCTTGTGTTAAAATATTATCAGTCGTGTGCGCCAATCGAAGGCTTTTGCATTGTTCTTGTCTCTTTTGTTGCCGACGCAACATAACCTGTTTTTTGATCCGGTTCGACAGGTTTTATATTTTACGGACCAAATGTTCTTCTCTAAAAGTGGTAGAGTTGTGAGAATTTTTTGCTCCATCGAAATAAAACCAATACTTCCTACTGGTGTGTTCTCAAAATCTCGTCACCAAGGTGTTGCGCCAGATAGAGGAGGAAAATGTGCGTTTACAAGGGGATCTTTTACCTTAAAAGCGAGAATTTAGGCAGTGATTACATAAGCTAAGGCTACTCACGTTTCGTCGTGTTTTGTGCTCGCTGTTATCATCCAAGAAAGAAACGTGATACGTGCTTCCAAATGAGTTTGGTTTTACACGTCGAGGATTTTCCGAACTTGTCGTCAATAATGCGAGAAATTCAACGGTTAGACAAATGGAACACTCTCCGTAATCTCGCTGCCAAGGATACTGACTCAATCAAGAGCAACGCAAATGGAAGGAGGCTAAGGTTCAATACCGTACTGCAGGTGCAAATGATAAAACGCATCAAAAACCGCGGGCGGTTGACGAGCCTGCCAACGGCAAGCGCGCCTCAAGTCGTCGAGCGACGAGATCGTATTCAAAGCGCTCCTTGTCCGTGCATTGATCCTGCCGTCATGGAAGGCGACGGTCGACTGACTGAGAATGCGAAAAAGCTCAGTAATGAGGAACTTGCTCTGTTGTACGAGGACATTCTCAAACCACTGGATTTTTTCTCCATCTTGCACGAAAGGAGAAGGCAAAATGAAGAACTGCTCTGACTAACAGTGCTGCACCATTTATATCACTTTGTATCATAAAAATTAATTTAATATTTCGCTGTCGTTTTTAATACCAAAATAGTCATCAAATGGCACATTACAAGAACAAACTGACTTTCCCTTTGGCTCAATTTCTCCTTTTTTAAATTCATGCTTATCTCGTTCTTTTTTTTCTTTTGGTTTGCTCTAATGTCACCTCAAAAATTTCAATTGCTGATTAGTATATTGCGATTTCTGTTATCGGGGAAACTCAGACGCGACTTAACTGTTACACAACTTAATACAACCAATTTCCACAGTGAGTCGTTGGAACCGTTCAGGGCTTGGAATGTAGACAATCGCATATGGAAATTTTCGCAAAGATGCCGGAAAATCCTTGGGAAAGTTACCTTGCAAGGTGTTTGGTATAAAGAGCAATCTAAAAAGAGAAATGAAAGATGCTTTGAGAAAGGTAATCCAATCGATATGTTGGCTAAACTACCCTCAGGTGTCACTAACCGAGTGTCGTTCGAAATTAAGCGAGATCGTGGGATTTGGGTTTTTCGGGCAATAAACATGGCAGGCTTTTTCGTTTTCTCTTTATCAAAATGCGCAAATAATCTCGTAGTCCTTTGATGACCCGTTAGCGTTAGTTCCGCTGTAACAGAATTCTTTCACTTCTTGTAGATACGCATGTAAAAAAAAACCAAACGAGCAAAAATGAAAAAAAAAAAGGAAAATTATTTCGTAAATGTATTCTTATTACGTTTATGTCAGTTAGGAATAGCGATTTTGTGAAATTTATGCATTGCTTTCTTTACCTTGTATGATAAATTTGCTATTAAATGAATTTATGCCAACTTCTGTTGATTTAAATTTTTTTCAAAATTGGATCTATCAGGGATGATTTGAGAAATTTCCGAGGGAAAGTTTCTGTTTGTTACATAATTCAAAACTGGTGAATATTTTTTTGTGGAACCCTTTGCTTTTTGAGAAGTCTGTTTTCTTCACTTTTTTCGATGCAAGGTGGTTTCCATGGCAGCAGTCAAAAGTAAGACTGACGTCATAACCTGTTGCGCCTATCTCATGAGGTTGACCACGAGATATTGCTGTTCAAAGTGGGGAGAATTTGTTGGTTCATCAGAGTAACATGCTGTTGTAGATCACGTGCCTGATGTTTTCTCCCAACCTTTAAGGTCGACGTTGTTTGACGCATGGACTCGTTAGCACTGACCTTGGAAGCGAATTGAAAGAACTATAATTCAAAAGCCCTTTTGTTTTGAGTGATCAACTCTTAGACTAAAATAATACTAGCGAAGAAATTCACGCCCAAATCAAAATTAAGGCTGATAAGCGAGTTTGTCGATTCATCTTGACAAACTCATTAATTTCGCGAGCAAATTGAACGATAAAATTGTGAAATAAGCGCCGAGTTTTTTTGGCTTTGAATATGAGCACTGAATAATTTTTGTAAAATTTGTAGCGAGGGGATGAGCGACGGTCTAACTCACAATCAAACATGGCCGATTGAATAAGACTTTAAGAGAGCGAACGGTGTGATTTGCGTTTGTGTTCAAAGTCTTCGCGTCCTTCGATCGATCTGTCATACTACGGAACGATGACTGGCTTAGAATGCCAGGAGGAATCGACTGCTGTGCCAAGATTTCCTTAAACTGCTAAGGTGTTTTTTCATTTCACATGAGCGGAGAAAACAGTTGGCTTAAGATTAGGAAGTTTGAGAGTGAATCGTACACGTAGGCTTGTAAATAAAAAGGAAGCTTTTGTGGAGTCAAGACTTGATACAACTTGATTCCCATGAAATTTAACTGTTCTCATCAGCGAACATACACACTTTATGCACTGTGTGATAGAAACAATATTTTATACAAGCAAATATCCTGGGCTTTTCTCTATACGAGCATTTCAATTCTTTCATATTGCAAGCTCAAAAAAAGCAATGCAAACTCAAGCAAAGGCGATGGATGCGTTAACCATTTAGCTCCTGTGACCAAGGCAGAATTTCTCCTGACAATATCAATGCAACATCAAGCAGACAAGTGATGAGAATAAAGAAAAATATCAATTAGGGGATTATTAGTTGATCTAATACCAAATTCTCCCAAGTAACATCACAAGAATCGTATGGTATACAGCAAGGAGAATTTCTAATGAGATCATGGGAGTGAAAGGGTTAAGAGAGCGCGGATCAAACGCCTTTCGCTGATCTGACAAGTTTGACTGAATAGGTAAAATAATCAGTTCTGAGCTGTTTGAAAGGCGGGAAGCTAGGAAATGATAGTAAGAGTTTTCTCTTTTTTTTTCTTTATTTTTCTTTCTAGGAGTCACCTTATCATCCATTGGTAACGCCACTGAATCTAATGATCACACTTGTCTCAAGGTATGTCGCTGATGATGTTTATTTGTTCACGAAGTTTACGCTTATGCGCCAACATTATAGTTAAAGGATTAACATCAAGAGCTGTCGCTTGTTCTGTGCTTTCATTGACCCCTTAACACCCAAGATCTGATTGTTAATCCTCCCCTTTAGCTGCTACGTATTTCCCTGTAAATAAGTTACGAAAATTTGGTGTTAGGTCAAGATAACAACTCCTACCTGATAAGTTTGAGTATTCTTAGTAGCTGTTTGCTGGATCATGTATGGATATTATAGGAGGTGCCGGGTGGTTTAAAACAACGGCTCAGGTGAATGAGAAGCCGGTCATTACTTTCCATTGCAGAAATAAACAATTTCAAACCCTACCTCGACAAAAAACACTTAAAACGTCTCCGGAGTTTTCGTCGGCAATTTATCATACAACTTGTTCACGTAACGCAGTCGAAGGTAAAAGAGACTTTCGAATATAGGGGATAAATTTCTAAGTAAACTGTGGTGCTGCGTCGGTTGGAGAGTATAAAAAGGGTAATTTAGTATTATCAACTGACTTGATGACGTTAATTAGCCACCGTGAAGAGTTAAAAAGCTGACGTGTCAAGCGTTAGCCCTTCGTCAGAGCGAATGGAGGAATTGTGGGTTGTGTGTGTTCATCTGCAGAAAATGGAGCTATGCTGCTAGTGAAAACATGATGGTGAGAAAAAAATAATACAAGAAGAGACTTAAAATTGGATGTGATCTAGTTTCAAGGACGGCTCACTGTTTTAGGTTGTTTACCTAAGCATTTTTTTTGTGGTCACCGTTATTTTCTTGTTTCTCAGGTACTTTGGTCAGAGTGACCTAGCAGATCCCGGGTAACTTTACTCCTCCGATTTAAAACACAACAAGACTTCCAAGGAGAAATTTCATTTAGGGAGCTGAGTAAAGGAAAAGAATTTGTAAACGGTTCTCGAATGTCCCTCCCAAACTGCAGCTGAGATTCGTACCCTTCTTGCCATGGTGGTTATGTTCTTGAACGATGCAAATTTCTTGGGTAGCTTTGGCTTGTTCTGTAAAGAATACCTGACGATTCCCATTAATTGGTGGACGTATCTAAACCTGAATTAGTACGTCTAGATTTGCGCATAACGATGGAGGAACGAACTCGCTTAGATTCCATGTTGCTGTGCTTCTGTTTAGCAAGAAATGTAGATCATCAGAGACACTTTCGGCTGTAACGAAACAATTCCTGGTCGATGCTTCATGAAAATTTGGAGCCATGTTTTGTTATTTGGAAGAACTGACCATTTTAGATTTTAAACACAAAAGGCTAAATGTCTTGTAAATCTTCAATGGCTCATGTAGTGTCCAAATTTTATTTTGAGAAAAGCTCTCTTAGATTACAAGTTTTGCTGTAACAATTAAAGATATTTATTTAAATTTAGAACGATGAAAATATGCAAAAGAAACATCCCCTATTGAAAATATCGACCAAAGAGCTGAGGAAAAACTGAAACACCTAGGTGAGGTAAAGGAAGACGGGAAAAAATGTCCTTTTTTGTTTTCACAATATTTTCATACGCCACAGAACATTAAGAATAACTCGAAGTTATGGACATTATGACTGACTTGACTTTAAAAATAAATAACTTAAAGACAAACCTTTGTTAACTTTGTTTTTTCAATTAGATAGAATCGCACATATGAAAATAAATTTCGCCTAATAAAAGAGCGTATCTAGGCCGTCAGATTTTCTTGCTCAATGCCTGTAACCTGTTCCCTATTCGTTTCATTCTCAGAGGTGATATTTTCTTGCAGTGCCTGTAAAGAATCTGTCCTGTTTGGAGGTTCTTTGAGTGACTTCAATGCTGGTGTCCTCTTTATTTTTATTTCCTTCTTTCTTGGCTCCAGACAAACGTCTTCGCCATTTCTGAAATCGATTCATCTTGCGCTCTGTTTTGTAGTTTTCAGACCCCACACTTCCTCTGCGTTCACTTCCGTCAAGTTCACTTCCTGATTGTACACTTCCTCTGCGTTTACTTCCGTCAAGTTCACTTCCTGATTGTACGCTTCCGGTGTCAGGTGACTTTCGGCGGGATTTATCTGAAGTCCAACTGTCCTTGCGTCCCTTGTTTGTGCTTTTTTTCCCTTCACTTCCTCTACGCTCACTTGTGGTGAATTCACTTTCTCTTCGTCTACCTACCACGTCATCTGATTTCCGGTGCAGTTTATCTACGACATATGAAACTGATTTGTTTTCATCCGTGCTTTTCTTTCGGAAGATGGGCATGCTCCGGCTGGCTGCCTTGCCTTTGTAGCTATCTTTACTTTCGCTTTTCCTTCGTTCACCCATGTCTAATTCACCTCCTGTTCCCGCACTTCCGGCGTTAAGTGACTCCCATTGGGATTTCTCTTTGAAGTACTGGATAGCTAATTTTTCATCTGTGCTTTTCTGCCTAAATTTGCGCATGCTCCGACTTTCTGATTGTAGAAGAGGCTCGAGTGTTCGTTCACCAGGTGGAGTGGGAAGCTCAGAAGAGAGCGGCGTCAATGTGGGATCACTTTTCCTTTGGATGTCCAGATGGGATTCCAAGGCTGGACAAGCGCATGCGCCCTGACATCCGTTGCTGCAGTAGGCAGTGACTGGTTCCGTTTTAATGTCACTGTTTGAAGAGCTGTTTTCTTCCTATAGGGAAAAACAGCAGTGTATGATGACCTCTAGTGTTCTGTTAGCTTTTACAGCGGTATGAGTAATTTTAATTATTTGTGCGCGAAATTACGCAGTTTCTAATTACGTGTCAAGCAAACTGATTCAGAAAATTTGGTGTTCGAGGAACTTATGCTGGCCCTCTTTCAAGAGACATCCACGATAAACTGGCCGACCGATACGGTTGTGGATACGTTAATCATTGTCCCTGACTTAAGTAACTATCACGCGTGAATAGTACTGAGGCGAATCACGTTAGTATTCACAGGAATAACTAGAAGCAATTTGCTCTTAAGGTGTTTGTCTGAAAGGACTGAGGTGCAAGTCTTCTTGGTGGACTCTTAATTTTTGGACGTCCTATGCTCGCGAAGATTATTCATATTGTTTTTGTTGCAGTTTATCCAATTACGTATAAACTCTAAACAACCGCTCTTCCGTCCATCATGAAATATGTATTTTTCCAGTTTTGCGAGTAATGTCTCTAAAAAGTACTCCTCGGCACCCTTCGAAAAACCTTTCACGGAATACAACATTAAATACAAACTGTTTCCTTTTACCTTCCCAATATTTTCATTAATTGATGGATCAGTTGACGGAGGTGTCACTACTATCTGCGGCGCAGGCTTTGCATTCTCTGTCAATTTGTCTCTGTGCAAAACTATGACGGAAACTATTAAAATATGCACAAAGCCAAGAGTTATCACGACCCACGGCTCTAATTCGCCGAATAACAGGGACAGTGTGTTTGATAGTGACATTTTGGTTGTCACATTTTGTTTACAGCTCGCGTAATACGTTACGTCATAAAGATTCATTTTGCGACGAAGAGTCATGTTTAATGCGCGCGCAGTACACGCGCTAACTCTCGTCCCACTCTTCGCGCGGTTACAACATTTCTGGCATTGCATTGGCCCCGAGGGGTGGAATTTAAATCAAACCAATCTTTAAAAGTTCAAATTCTCGGGAGGATGTTGAAGCTTCGAACTGATCGACGCGAACAAAATCTAATTTCCCAGGGAAGGGAGTTGGTTGTTTAATCCGGAAATTTTGGGGTTAAAGGGCCCCTCCCTTTTCATGTAGTTATTTGTCTCTTAGAGAAAAAACTGAACTCACAAGACCACATTTTCAGGGAGGGTGTTTTTGTTTGTTTGGTTTGGCGTTCATTACGTGAATGGATTATTTGCTATGGTTTTGGAGTCTAAAGTTTCTAACATTTAGAACTTGGTATCAATTAAGTTTGGTAACGAGAGGGTCAGGTGAACAGTCGAGGTTAAGACTGCAATGGAGATGAAAACAGACAGCTGTTGTAATTATCAAATTCCCCTGGTTTATTTGAGGCAGTATGCGCAGCTTATTTAACTTTTCCTAATCAAACTAGTCAAGCTTTTAAAAGCAATGATAGCAAGCTAGCAAAAAATCAGTTCTTGCACGGAGGTAGTGTAGAACTGTTCAGACGTAGCTGGCATAGACATCAAAGCAGACCTTTCCAGCGTTATCTCCTTCGGTCCAATTCATCAAGTCTTCGCCATACCACACACGGAGCTGATGTCCCCGGTGAACATAACGAGGATGGAAGAACGACAGAATGAGCTCTGGGGAATTCGCGCCGTATCCGGGAACTTTAGACCACTTTCCCGCTTGATAATTAAACTTGAGGAACTGGTTTGGTGGCAGAAGGATTCTGTTAAGTGATGTTGTTATGACAACGTTAACATAATCTTTTAAATGACCACAACCCCAGTGAGACCAGCAAATAGGGTTGCTCTTACTGCAGGTGACGTAGCCGTAACGGTGAACCAATTTCATCGCAGCCAGCCTACCAGCGAATGGCATCGTAACAGTGCCAAATAGGTTTCTCTTTGCGCTAAAACACACCGGGGAGAAGTTCAGTCGGTAGAAACCGTCTGTGGATTAAAAAAAAAAAAAAAGCGCCAGATATTAAAATAGGTTATGACGATGGTTGAATTATAAAATATTCACTTACTCCGACTCTCTATAACAATTCAAATTTGACCATTTCACTCTTCTTGTTTTAGAGATAGCATCTTCTGCTACATTTCGTTCTCGCAAATTCAAAACTTCAAGTTCATGGCACGTTTTTCATGACTGTTTAGCTGATGGTGATTCAATGGAAAAAATGTAAGGCTCTTATAAATTCTCCCTAGAAAAAGTAAAATTTCAAATTTTTAACAGATTCTTATTTGAAAAGTTACAGAAAAAAATTCAGTAGATGTCGCAAGACAAAAGCAATTACAGCTGATGATCTACTTACGCTTCGAAGCTGCTCTTTTTGTGATTATGGAATTACCCGAAGCGGGATCAAAACTTTCCTTGCCGTTTGATTTTGTGCTCGCGTCTTGGACACTGTCGCTGTTCATTTCGGTTGGAATGTCCGCAGCCAGCGAACCAAGAGTAAATAGGCACAAGCACAGCAAAATGGACTTCATCTTTCTTCGATCAACCTTCGTAATCGAACAGTTATGGAATAACAACTCTTAGTCGGGGAAAGATTTATAAAGCTTAATTTTATCGATTTTGCAGATGCAGAAATCGCGTCGCTACAAGTTTTGAAGCGGATGTTAATTCGTCAGTACGTGGCAATCGTAAATCTTGACTAAAGCTATACGAAAAAAGCAACTGACAATTCTTGACATCTAAAATATGTAAACAGAGACGCAATTTTTGGCCTTGCGATGAAACGAAAATGAGAGACTTTTTATTCCCAAGAAAAGTGAACCGCAAGCAAAAATTTCATTTGATATTCGCTGAGAAAACTTCGATTAGCAATTATGTTTACGTTTTTCTGGAAGAGCATATTTGAATACATTGATTAACCTTATGTAAATTTTTCATACGTACACGGTTCACAGGGGATATGTTTCTGGAGGGGCTTAACGGAGTTAGCCGTAAAACAGCCACAAAAATTTAGCCGTAATTGAAAAATTGTAACTGTTGGCCGTTAAAAAAGTTAGCGACAAAAAAATTCAGTTGACAACAATTGAAAGATGTTTCCATAAGCCTAAAATTCGTCAAAATGTTAACCTTCAGCCTCAACAGCCATCATCCCGGTGAGACCTTTCTTTCGCGCGTCAAAACAGCCAGGTTATGAAAAAAGGTCAGTTGGAAAAAATAACCCAAGGAATTACGCCCTTAATATTTTACAAAAATCATTGTGTATCGAAATTCCCAAAGATAAAACAATATAATTAATTAAAAACATTCTTGAGGAAGCGGAGTTAATTCGTAAAACGATAGTGACATTTGTGTCAACAGTACAATGTCATTAACTAAGTTTTTCCTGTTTTATTTCGAATATATTTATAATAGCACTTTAGTTATTGTGTTTTGACCAAATGTTTATTTTGCGAAAGACCTCCGCAATCGCTCTAAAATAACAACAATTAAGACATGTAAAGTACAGTGATTTTTTGTTCGAAATAAGTTTTTTGACTTAACAGATGATTCGTATTCGATCGAACTTTAGCGTAAACAACGTTTAAACTTTTCTTGCGGAGTTTTAAGTTTTAGATGCGAAAAAATTGACCGTTTTTTCTTCTTGAGGTAAAAGGATGCCATTTGGTGAAGAAAAACTACCGTTTACCTTGTCTACTTTATAACTACTTTATTGCAAACGAAGAACAAGAAAGAAAATATTTCTAATCCAATTTTCGCAAATGGTCTCGTAATTCAAACATAAAGTGTCAAATCATTCAAATGTTCAGCATTTCCTGTTTAATTTTGTATTGATACGTTTTCCGATACGCAAAAGATTATTAGTTCGCGTTCCATTCCCTGTCCCTGACAAGTAACTGATGATGAAAGGGAGCAAGTTTCTAAAGAAACTGTGGTGTTCCGTCGGTAGGGATGTAGCAAAATAATTTGGTTTTATTGACTGAGTTGATAATGAAAATAAAGCTAAAGCTAAAGCTGCCGGACGTTTCAAGCTTTGGCTCCTCACCGACTGAATCTTTCACACGTTCCCGCAAAATGGGAAATGAGATGTATTAACGGTAATTCATCCTTTTTGGGTGAATTCGATTGCCATTTTTTTTCTCTGCGTAATGTTTAATTAGAAACAGTATCAAAGCTCAAAACTGTTCGCCATTCTTCATCTCTCTAAATTTTATAAGCGATTTCAAACCGATTCAAAAAATTCCTGTCGTCGATTTTACCATAACTGTTCCTTCTACCTATACCATCAAAATTAATCAGTGTTATTGGCTCATACCTAGTTTCCCTTCACAACGTCTCTAATGTCATTCGTGGCTTAAATGTGATAAAAGCGTTTTCATTAAATCGATGTCGTTTGTTAAATCCTTTTAGTGCTTGGCAGCGAAAAAAACATGGAATGGGGCATACTTTTGAATACAAATCTTCAGATCACCTGTCTTGTGCTCAAGCCTTTTCCATGTCTCTTCTTTCCAACTACTGTATTCAAAAAATATTCGAGATATATTTTTAAAAGTTTTCAATCTGCTCACCAAAATAAACGCAATTGAGATTACTCCAGGTTGTTGTTTTCCAATGAATGGCACGGAAATTGATCATTTTCAAACGCACGTGCGCATCGGTTGTTTTACCTTTCGCTATTTTTCTTAACGAACATTCTCGCTGCCGCTGTTGCTGATGTTACGTTGTCGCTTGATTAATTAAATTTCTACGCCACTAGGCCATCAATTAATTCCCTCCGACGTAATTTCACAGCGATTGGAGAGAACTGAAACCAACGCTACATCTCTCTTAACCTGAGAGATTCTACTACGCTCATGGTCAGACTTCTAGATTACACTAGACAACATTTGTTTTACACGTTTGAACGCCATTTTGACACGACCAACATTGGGGAAAATATTGAAAAGTTTAATGTAAGTCCATGCCGTTTAGAACTGAACTCTGCAAAATGTATTTTTACTAATTTGTCCGCTGCAGGACAATTTCTTCAAAGGAATTGGAGTGAACAGAAACTAACGCTTCATCTTTCCTAAATAGGAGATTTTTCTACGCTTTTAGCCGACTTCCATGCCTGTTGATCTAACTTTAGTGCCAGTTTGACACGTCAGTAAGACTTCTTAGATTTGAACTCTGCATAATATTCTTACCGAGATGTTTTTGTTACCATTGTGCGAATGTTATGTTCTATTTTTTGTTTTCTTCAGATTTAGGAGCCGAAAGAAACTAAATCTACGGCTATATCAGACAAGTGCTTAAAATTTCGTGGCAAATAACGCGGCGAGTGTGTGGTGCGCGAGTATCGGGATTATGTCGTGCGCTACACGCTTGGCGGAACCCACGCTGCGAGGTTGTTTGACGTTTGAGAGACGGTGAGTTGACTAGTGCTACACCAATATAAAGGAACGGATCGTTATTTGTCACCTGAGTGGGAGGGCAAAGCTATAGGATTTTGGTCGTAAGATGAAAATTACCCCAAATTTGTATAATGCAAATTTGTACAATCCCCCCAATCCCTCCCCCACTCATTAGCAGTTAATAGGTAGTTAATTTTCTATACTCTGTTGGCGACGACTGATCTCACCTCCATTTCCTCGGAAAACCACGTGATCCCCCAACATCCTAATCCCAACACACCCCACCCCATCCCCCTCTCTGAGAGACAAATAATTACTAGTTCCTCATCTCGTGGTTTTTCCCCTAATGAAGTGAAATAATGTATAGATTTAGCCAAGCCTAAAAGCGGAGTTTGCCTTTTTTTTTCCGCATGTCTCAAGGGCACAACGCCTCGCCCCGGCCAGGACTGGAACCCGGGTCGTACGACTCGGAGCCCGGTGCACTAACCACTGGACTACTGGACAAAGCCGTGGCGTTGGCGTGCCCGCGGTACAGTTGACCACGCATGTTAAAAGTAGCACCTTGGACGGTCGGTTGTACTGTCGTACGGTCATAAGTCCAAATTTTTCTGGCTTGATGGGTTACTACTACCATTTTGTATAATTATGGGGCTACGCTCTGCGAGCTCCGCTACAAGAGACCTAACGGATTTTTTTTCCATGAAATTATCATCAGTAATTGCATTACAATTTTCACATTCAAAAACTACTAAACAACGCTACAATTTCCCTTCTTTCCGAGCCTAAAATAGTAAAAAAATGAAACAAAACCAACGATGAAGAAAATTGCTTTTTTCGGTTGTAATTGTTGCCTTTAAGATAGTCAAATGACTCTCTTTAACCAAAAAATCCATTAGCACTTGCTATGAAATACAATCATTAATAACTGAAACAAATAGAGTTGGTAATGCTGTCTTGTGATTCCGTGGCATAATGTCGTTGGAAGAAGTGGCCATCATTGGGCCATTCTAAGCAAAATGATTGCGTGCTTAAACACATACAAAATAGCTAAACTCGGATTTCACTTATTTTTCATAAAATCTCCAAATCTTCACTATAAAAGAATAGCGAAAAATAACTTGTTTAAGCTACAGAAAATATTTTCACTTGTCTTAAAACGGCCGAAATCAGATTGCAATTATTTTACTTTTGGCCTGTTTGTAATAACGTAAAATTTAACCTCTCTTTTTGCGCGATCATATTCATTAGTACTTGAAAATCTCGGCCTTCCAGAGGTGGGTTGTTGTCACTGGATCACCTAAATTTGTCTTCTTTGAAGAGCTATAGAGCAAAATGGGGCCAGAGTACAATTCGGAATCAAACTATTGAAATATTTTAACACTTATTGTACAAAATGAATTTAATTTTCACCGTATAATTGTCACCCTCTTAATCACTAATCTCAATATTAAAAGCCTTATCGCCTTTATTTCAATGATGTAATTAGGCATTATAACATATTGTGCTCACCAAGTTGTTTGTGTTATAATCATTTTAATATGTCCCCTCTTCAGGTAGCGATGATAGTTCTCCTCTCTCTGACTTTCCCGTGCGTAGTTCGAACTCTCACGGGATCGTGCTCAAAAACCAAACGATTTGAACTTGTTGGAACAGGTAAGCGAATGTTATTGTCTGAACATTTAAAGATATTCAAAATAAAATGGATGAACATACTTAGTTATGCAACTATGTACAGTTCAAATTGCATGTATTTTTTGTCTCAAAACTAGGCTATAATTGTCGGTAACGGTAGAATAATCTTAGTCAAAACAGATCTGCTTTTTATTCTTATAAAATTCAGAGATAAATATAATGATGGTTTCAAAATTTCTTGGCCATTTTACAATTTAAAGAGAACTTTCTCCGTTGTTCGTTGTTGTAATTACTCGAAGCTGCGTTTTGGAATGACCTCAGGATTGAAAAAAACACCTAAACAGCAAATGAAAGAAAGGAAAGGAGTAATTATGAATTTTTTTCCATACCTTAACCTAGGATTTGCCTTGTTGAATCATGAGATCAAAAGGGTGACAGTTGTCTCGTCCTTGGACTGTGCAATGGAGTGTACAGCGACTCGTGAATGCAGATCTTTCAGTTTTAATTCAAATGAAAGCGTGCAGGGTAACTGTCAGCTGAATGACGCCACACAAAGTATATGCTCACCTTCCGAGTGCAAAAAGTCTGATGGACTTGTGCATTACGAAGCCAGCCAATTGGTTAGTAAATATTACCAGTTTTTATGCAAAAAAGAGATGTACTCTGTTTAGGATTCAGACTTACTCAGACATTATATAAAGGGTTTGACTGTACTGAAGTATAATATAACGAGAAATTCTACAGGAAAGTTGGAGAACCTTTCCCAATTACACATCCCTATTGTAAACTCTTTGCAGGCTGCAGAAATTAAGCTTCCTTTTCCCAAGTAAACAAGCGAAAAATGACTAGGAATCAGTGAAAGGGAAGGAAAGTGTTTAAATAGTAGCCCAGCGTTCAGTTAGCATAACGAAGCGCCAAGATAAACGATGCAATAGTGAAGAACGAGTGAAAGCACGAAGGGGGTTTGGGTCGGGTCGACAAACGTTTTTCGTTAAAACATTTCCGATAACTGGGTGAAGAGAAGCATCATGGGAGATGTCAAGGGGAAATCCCGCACCACCAAACTAGAAATCCCTCAAAATTGATCAATCAATTCAATTAAACAATATAAATTGATATCCAGAAAGGACATGCTTGCTCTCTTTAGCAACAAATGATTTCTTTTGATTTGTTGCAGGGATGCTTGTCCTCTCCTTGCATGAATCTAGCTCGCTGTCTTGAAAGTTGTTCAGGAGAGTCAACTTTCAAGTGTGAATGTGCTCACAAGAAAACCTATGGGGACCGCTGCGAATTCTGGACAGGTTTGGTGTCTTGTTAGGGTACATAAGTCATTACCAATGGTTGACAACAGAACTGAATCAAACTGTATGCACCATGGCAACTGAAGCAACATGGTGGCTTGCAAGACAAGAGAAAATGATAGAAAATTTCGAATTTAATGATTTTATTTTATGTTTTCTTAATATATTACAAATACACGACTTCGCATGCTGATAGAACGACAATTCGTAAACCTAATTGATACCTCAACATCATTTGTGTTATTAAGCGAGTGAAATTAAATTCGGCGTAATCGTCCCTGAGTCGCGAAATCCCAGCTCTGTTCTACACGTCTCTCAACGCATAGACAGAATACTAGAGACAATAACCGCTCTACTTTTGAACTAGTCGAGCCGAGGGAGCTGACCTTTAAGCGACAAAAATGAGTTCGAAAACTCGCCAAAGAACACTAAACCCTCAAACTACTTTCATAAAACCATACATTGTCAAAATGTTTGCACATTTTATCGACTGCTTTTTTAGCTGATGCCGATCATTTCAACCTTCACTTTCCCTCCGACAACACTTCCAACTTTGTTGTTTTTGATGGAAATATCAACCCACTGGAAACATTCACACTTTGTTTGTGGCTGCAGACCTCAGAAAAAGGCAACTTGACTCTTTTTTCGTACGGATCAGCAACTTATTTTCAGTGTAGTGAAACTGGAAAATGCGTCTTGGTAACTAAAGGAAAAGAGAGGTATTTATGATTCTTATTGCATGCGATAAACAGAGCCTTGAGTTGGTGCTTATATTCCAAGGCAAATCTAGAGTATTTTCTTGCTGCATGATTCTCTCTCGAGGTTGTTTCCCGCCCCTCGATAAAATATCTTGAATTTCCAGCTCTCGAAGATTGATGGACAACTCGGCCAAGCAACATATCACTTCTCACTAGAAAATAGCGTCATTCTATCCTGTAAGAATAATGATAATAAAAGTGATAATAATGATAAAAATAAAAATAATGATGATGAGGTTTTAAGACATTGCGCACACACCACTTATTACTCTTGGAGCTTCTGTCACAAAAACCAGGAAAGCAGTTAAAAATAACACATCACAGTTCAAGTGATAAAATAGAATTTACACTAAAGAGACTAAAGATTTATTCGTTATGAGTCCATCACGAAGAAAGCGTCAAATTCTTTTTTTATTTGTCTATTTATTTCTCTTTATTTTTCTATTTGAATTTTTCATTTCGCAAAATACTAACATACATAAGTGCCATCCATTTGGAACTGTTGTTAGACATATCTATCCTTCTTGCTTGAAAAAGGTTTAACCAATCATAATTGAGATGATAATGTGGTTCAATTGTAAGATATGCGATTTTGGTTCATATTTTTTACATATTTTCATTCATAGAGCATTCTACATTGTACCAATCAACGACGGTCACTGGCATCACTTATGCCTGAGTAAGCAATACCCGAAAGACAGCCTCAACTTATTCGTGGACAGTCTGAAAGGGCTTCCCGACAATAAGGCAGCTAATCTCGTAAGATTGTTTGAAGGAAGGGAGCAGCTTATTCTTGGGCAGAGGGCGTTGCCCAATCAACGTTTGAATGGTTCATTTCAAGGTTGGATATCGGAGAATAATCATCCAATTCTGTTTTAAAAATAAATAATATGTGGAGATGTGTTATTGAAATTAACTTGATTTATGGATTGTTCGAAGACGGATGAACTGACTGACTGGTTGACTGACTAACTGACTGACTAACTGACAGACTGACTGGCTGATTGGTTGATTGACTGAATGACTGTCTGGTTGAATGACTGACTGACTGACTGACTCAATTACTGTCTAAAAGTAATCGAATGATTAATGTAGTAATTGGCGGGTTGGGTTGTTGGCTGAACAATCGACCAACCGACGAACAGGCGGGCTTACTACTTGACTGACTGATGGATTGAAAGACCCGACTGGAAGTGACAGAAAACGAAATGACTGTTTGATCGAAAACGAACCGCAGTAAATGTAACAAAGAAGAAAAAGCTCAAAACAAAATATATTACACGTTGTTACACTTGAAAATACCAATTTTTTCTTTAGGAAAAATTTCGCATTTTAACATTTGGAGTCGTTGGATAAATATTTCAAGGGAATTTATGTCATACACTCACAACTGCAGCAGTAGAGGCTTTGGGGACCATGTAGACTGGCGGTTACTAGGATTGCAGAGTGGTCTGCGCGGAGACGTACGAATATGTCCTTCTAACGCCACATATTTAGGTAAATCATGACAAACACAGATAAACTTAAAACGTCGCGGTGTACTCTTAAAAATGTCTTTGTGTCGAGAGGAAAGCGATTAAACATTCATTTTACATCATATCCACAATGAACAAACACGCCTTTTGTGTAAAACAAAACAAAAAAGAAAAGGTTGGGCTTTGGCAGGTAAGAGCTTGCGCAGTCGTTTAGCCGTGTTACTCGTGCATGCGTAGTAAGGATGTGGCACGACTTCATTTTTACGCCCTGTGTTTGTACCAACAGATTCCACTGAGTTGTATAGTGTCAACTTCGGGAAAAAACGTCGAGAAGATTTGTTAAATGTCACAGCTATCATTCCTCAAGAACTAATCAAGTTTACCATGTGTTTGTGGATTTACGCGCCAAAAATGGAAAAGGCAGGCGCCATGATTTCACTCTTAAAAAATGACACCTTCTCCTACTTTGGATTGAAATTTAAAGGTTACAGAGGAATGTTCAATATGAATGAGAAAACTGTCAGGTAGGTTTTTGAATACAGCTGAGTCAACGAAATTTAAGAATGTAACAGTGCTGTTTTGGCAAATTTTCTTCTGAAGAGACAACGGTGTAAGTAAGAAACCGGATCTCACCACATTTTTAAAACATTTCTCTTTCCGGCAGCTGGTTAAATTTTCCGCTTCTAGATAAACGATCACATTTTTTCTGCTCCCTTTGGGATTCCACAACGGGACATTTTGAAGTTATGGTGGATGGTAAAGTGGCCAGCATTGATGAGCTGCAACGCGTTTACTCCTTCCCAGCACAAACCAAATTGGTTTTAGGAAGAGCTTTCGGTCAATCTGCACTAGCTGGTTACGTGGGTGGTCTTAATATCTGGGGAACTATCTTGGAGAAACGTACCATTGTCGCCTTATACCGAGGAAATGGCAGAGAGAGCGGAAACGTCTTTTCCTGGTTTGCTCTTAAGGATGATATTCCAGGAGCGCTTTTACCTCTGAAGGAAGCTATTAATTCAGAAGACGTCCATAAAGGTATTTCCCATGAAGATGTGCTGAAACATTTTTCCTGGGAGATTTTTCCCAGGAGTTGTGTTATAAAAGCTGTATCATTAAGGAAACTCTTGGCAAGGTCGGATAGTGGGTTAGTAAATAAGGGGGCACTTTGGTACAATCAGTCAGAGAAGAGTATTTTGTATCACGTAGAACAAATGAACCAATCATATACTTCAATGATTGGTTCGTGAGTATTACGTGGTTTAAATTCTCTTTCCTTATTGGCTGATTACCATAGTGCCCCCCTAATACTTATAAATAAATCAAACCGTAATCACACAATATTTCTCTCTTTTATAAAAAGGACTGGCTTCGGCTTTTCTAGGAGGTAACTGAATTTAGATATCGATAAAAAAATTTTACCAGAGTGATGATTAATAATTCATGTGTAAATTTGATATTACTGTCTGCAGAGGAAGAAAGTGACTTCACTCTTCACTTTCCGACCCGTTCGACAAAAAATGTTGCCAACACCAGCTTTTCGGTCAAAGACACTGTGAAGAGGTTCACAGCATGTGCATGGTATAAGACGGAAGAAAAGGGAACTCTCTTTCAATACGTCCCGTACAATAAAGACTCCATCAATGACAGTTTTCTTCTCGCGGTATCTTCAGATGGCAATCTGGATTTCAGATACGATGAGGACAAAGGGTGAGTATCGTGCGATAACGACACAGAAAACCTGATCGAAATATTTTTACGAACTGCACTCATCACGCTCAACCGCCAAACAACTCCTCGCTCTATTGTAACTCAGGTTTTTGGGCAGAGATAAGAAAAAGGATTTCCCGCTCTAAGGTTTGCAACAATCAGATTGCATGATTTTTTATCATGCTCTCTTGGGAAAAATGATGGCGAGTTTTTCTTTTCAATACGTGAACCTGGTAATTTTGACTCAATTCTCATTAATTTTTTCAGGAACACAACAAGTCTGCGACTAACAGACAACCAATGGCATCACGTTTGTTTCACATGGCGCAGATTAGCTGTTAGTGTAAATATTTATAGTGATGGAGAACTTTCTGCTGTGATGAATTTGAAAACAGACCGCATTTTAAATATTTCTGGGAACTTCATTATCGGACAGGGTTTCGATGATTCTAAAAGCAATTTTGTCCTGGAAAAATCGTTTGTAGGGAAAATCACAGGTGTCAACTTCTGGGATATTCTTTTGGATTTTAACACTATAGTGACCCTGTCACGTGATTGTCGCTCCAGTTGGGGGACGGAGGTGAGCTGGGGCTCATTCAGGAATGGTTTCCACGGAGACGTACAACTGATCGAAAACTCGGAGTGCTTAGTGCCAGGTACAGTTTATATATATATGAGTCACCAGTCATTTTCTATCGCGCGCGGGGAGAGATGGTGAAAATTCGAAGATTTGGGGCAATCACAAGGTTTTCAGGCGTAACGGAAAGTGGATCAGTCGTCGCAAAGTATGAAGGGGACTATGGATTATTATTATTATTATTATTATTATTATTTATTGCCTATTAATTGCTACTAAAGAGGGATCATAAGAATATTATTAGTGATAAATAATAACCGGTCTCAAAAATAGGTCAGCCTGGATGAAATTTAGAATTAATTCCTTTGAATATGATCTCGGAGATTCAAAATTTAACTGATCTTGAGCTGATCTTATAATCACCTACTTGCTAAACGGGTAAGTGAGAAAATTAGCGATGTACACGACAAAATTGTCAAGTGCGCAATTAGGAAAAGAAATCTAAGAAATGTCAACTATAAGTCTACTTTTCAACCGTATTTTCACTTATCTGCTGCTTCGGTAATAGGTATTTTTTATTTTATATCTCCGAAAGAATTCTGAAATGATATTCTACCAGTTTTCAAAACTAAAACATTGGATGTAAGGTTCAACTTACGATCAACTACCTTTTCCCATTACAAACATACCCTCCCCTCCCCCGCTAAACACCTGACCTTCCTGAGTAGATGTTAACGGTAATATCTGCATTTTTCCCAGACTATACAGTTCAGTCTCTTCGGGATGACAGATGCAATGATAAGCACGCCATCAATTCATACAATTGCCCTAACGCCATGAAAGCGCTGTTCGGTCGAGTAAACTCTACTTCCGGGAGACTGTGGCGATGTTACTCTGAGAGTGCACTGGAGCGAGATTCCATCAATGGCGTCCTAATCTTTAACCACAGAACTGGGAGACAAGAATGCATTGTAGATGCCCATGAAGAACTGTTGACCATAACATAAGCTAATATTTTTCTTTTTGCGTAATTTTTAAGGCAACGGCAAACGGGAAAAATGAACTTCGATGCGTCTTTATATCTATCTGATAATGATGACTATTTAAGAGGGAAAGTGAGACAGTACGATCATTTGATTGAGACAAGTAGTGTCACGTGACTGATGGTTTGGTTTGAAATTTTTGTTCCTTCTTTGTAGAGGGATCAGATATAAATATAATCTCGTAAACCGAAAGTGATTGGCTGACTGCTGCAATGCATAATTTTATGAATCAGAGTTCCTCGGATGAAAGATGACAAAGAAGCTAATACAAAAAAGAAGTGAAAGTGGGGATTTTCAAAACTTGTGTTCAAAGTATTGAAGAACATGGTACACAAATTTTTATTCATGATGACGCTTTTCACGTTAGTATTTATGAAAATCGTTGCCCTGTTTAATTTCAACCGACACAAAAACCTTTATAGCAGTGTAATAATAATGTTGATATACGCATGTATAGCATAGACAGCAAATTGCCTCGAGAGCTGTTCGAGGCAGCCAGTCTGTAGTAGTTAAGAGTTGTGTTTTATTGCTTGTCCGATATTAAAAATAAAATTGTTCTGTTCCGATTTTGGTCTTCTAACTGAAACCGTTTCGGACGGAAGAGTCCAAAATCCGACAGAACCGACTTAAATTAAAAAAGAACTATCCGAAATCAAACGAAACTCTCCGAAATCAAACGGAACTCTCCGAAATCAAACGGAGCTATCCGAAATCAGACGTAACTCTCCGAAATCAAACGAAACTGTCTGAAATCAGATGAACCGTCGGACATCCTACGCAACCGTTCAAAGTTAGCCGGAACCTTCCAAGGAGAATGGGAAACAATCATCACTATTTGTCATTTATTTGCTTGTTTGTTTGCGTCCTTTTGTTATGTGAAATGAACCAAAGAAACCACGAAACACAAGTACTGTTCTCAACAAAGACAACTATTCTGGCTTTTAACGGCATTCATTTACTTAAATTAAATATGATGCTTTATTAAATATTGCTGCAAACTTACGAACAATTAATCTAGAGGATTTTTGCTTTTGCATTACCTCTGATTTAGAGGACTTATCCACATTGTCAAGTAGCCGAGAAGATTGTAAAAAAAGACAAACGATAGAGAATGAGATTGAGAAAGAGTTCTTCCTTTTGATCGCAATAATAAAGGAGCTGTTGGAAATTCAGCTAAACATGGGTCGCTCAATTCTTCTGTAGGCGACGGGAGAGCTGCATCTGAGAAAGAAGAGTAAAAGACCACAATAAAAAGAAAAATAGTTAAGACATCGACTGATTACGTGCATGACTTCCATAAAAAAGTGAAATTATGATATTGGATATGTAATATCTAATGCACAGTAAAATGAGTCTTTTCGCTTCAAACCCTTTCGACATCAGTATGCATATTCTCCTTTCATACTCTCCATACTATTAAAAAATCAAGAGCTTCTTCAGTTGCTGAGCATTTCCTTTATTTTCGTGACCTTACTGAGTGTAAACATTCCTCAGGCTAAAAAAGTTTATTTACATGATTTGGAAATCAATTTTTAGCTTTAGAAATGCTCTTTTGAGATACAAACTGGAGTTCATTTGAGCAAAAATTTGGATCGATGTCATATCTGAGCAACTGCGCCCCTACCCCTCCCCTAACTCGGCGATGTTCAACTCATAACAATTTTAGGGTTAATGTTGAGTTAGGGGAGGGGTAGGTACGCAGTGACATTGGATACGACAATTCCCATATCATTGTCTCAAAATAGGCACAAGTTTTTGCTCTTTCATGCAGACTGGAATGGTCAAAAAAGGGCTTCTAACAAGTCTACAATAAAAAGCAAATTAATGATCATAGGGGCTAATTATGGGAGTACCTTGTTCTTGATCAGTGCCTCTCCAGCAAAAAGGATTGTAATCATCAAATATCAAAGCGAACTCAAGCGAAGATGTTCTGCTCCCACTTGGACAGCGAGTTGTTATGAGATCTCTGAGGCACTGTTTAGATTCGGAAAATTTGCTGCCAGAAATTAAATTAGAGAAAGGGCACAATATTCATACATAAATTCAAAATTTTCAAAGTCAAAATGTGAAAAGCTACATTTTTTGCTGAAGGAATGTTAAAAACCTGTACATGAAACAAGTGATGGTAAATGGTAAATATTTGACACCCGCCTGAGGGCGGAGATCATTGTCCGCCATGCAGGAACAAGACTAAACAATTTCCTCTACACAAAACATATTTTTTGCTGAAGTATAACTAAGATTAGTCCATGAATTCCATTCACGCAAGAGCCTTGTGCACAAACTATCGTTGCTAACAACGATAACGCGACCCTCGAATTCTAAGAACTTGTTACTAACCCTTTATAAAAGATGTCGTGAACAAAAGTGTTCTGACCTTTCGCTTCACTCAACCTTACATGCCCACTATTTGTAAATGAAACAAACAGCAGGTTTCATGAACCAAAAGGAATTTGTTAAATCCCTCAAATTTCCTGCCTCCATCGACAGTGCACAGCTATAGAATAAAAAGTGTGGTTTTCATACTTCGTGTTCGACATATTTAGGCGATGAAAATATTTCTGAACTCTTTCATGTTTTTTGTAAGATTGAGCGCCAATTATGAACGTCTAAATCTCATGCTGCAAAATTTATATTCTATTTTTCATTGGCATTATTCCTACCTGCAAAGGGTCGGATCCGAAACATTGGCAATAAAAGTATCGTTGAATTCCTTTAGGCATTTTACTTCTTCCTCAAAGAAGCCTTCATCGCACTGAAGATCTTCATCCTCCGAGGAGGCTTTTGGTGCCTCTAACATGCCGCGACAATAGAAATTCTCGGGGTTTGTGCGATTCAAGGACTCTTCAGCTTGTACTTCAATGTCAGCTTCAGAGATGAATCCATACCTCTGAAGACAGGATCGGAGCATGCAGACAATACAGTCTTGCATGTAAATGTATTTCACGCTTTTGGATGAAGGGAAAAGAATAAGAATTATTCGTGTTCCGCACAGACCAATCTAGTAAATACGAATTAAGATTTGAACGACCTCCGAATAAATATATTTATCTCCCCAAGCACACGAAAATAATTTTGCTAAAAATGCGTGAACGTTATATTCCTTGCCTTAAATGGATAAGTTAATACTAATTTTAATTTTGAACCGCTTATTTTAATCCGGCACTGACAGAAAAATATTGAAATTACGGGAAAAAATAAAATCGGGTTTATTAACTATATGTGAACTCCTTAAAACGAGTTGAAAAAAAAAGCAAAACAAAACGAAACAGCGAATTATTGTTGTGGTTGTTGTTACTATTGTCACTGTATTTGCTGACTGTTTGACTCTCGTCAGTGATGCTATGTTTGACATTAATATCTACCATCATTTCCCTCAGTCTTTGTTAAATTAATCAATCACAAAGTACTTGACACGAACCTACAGTTTCCCTGCGGATCTTGTTGTAGGCTTCTTATAAAAAGTGTAATACACTGTCTGGTTCTGTTCAGCTGTGCGATCATAGAACACTGATCAAACAACTGAGCGTCCTGTAAATAATAACCTTCATCTTCATCTGGTTGAGTCATTTCACCAAATGTCAATCAGATTATTACAAGAAAAAAAGGAAAAAGGCAATAATTAGGTCAAGGGATCTCAACCAAAGTAGAACATGTTTTCAACTATGTACCTTTTGCTTTCATGGGCTGTATGTCGTTTAATTTTATCGTTGTCATCATCATTGTTGTTTTCAGTATGATTATCAGTATAGCTATATTATCATTATCAGTTTTTCTAATGACAATCTTGAGAGGCTCTGACCAAATCATTGTTGTGTTCAGGTTTTAAGGGACGAGATACATTCCTGTTAAAGACAGGAGAAAAGTCAAGGATTTTTTGCCTTGATTTGACGTGAAGTTTTTATGTTCTTCAAATAACTGTTTCTTCCCAATCCGTATCCTTGCTTTTCACCCTTTTTTGCTTCATTCTCAGCTCTTTGATTGAAACTCTGTTTCCTGGCATGCTTTGATTCCTAAAAGCTCATTTTACATCATTTCTTCAAGTGACGATTATCACATATGATATTATCACGTAGTTAGCAAAAAGTATCCTCAGAGAGTGTCTGAACATTGTTTATTTGTTTGTTTATTTGTTTATCGCCTATGATGATATCTCACCTTCCTCCTCGGATGAAACAATACAGAATGGATTGTACCCATCAAAGGCCGGTTGTAATATTTCCGCTGCGTCTGCGTCAAATTGACAATATTGATCGACTGCTTCCTTTAAACATGACTTTGCGGCCGTGAATTCCCTATGAATGAAAATATGATTATAAATTGAGTGTAAGTAGCTTATTCTGAGCCATTAAATTTGATATAATTATTGACAACAATGACAATACAAAAAAATTAATGAAAAGAAAGTCTTTAAGTCAAGAGTAAAACGTCTTCAATCTTGAATTCAAAGAATACGCCAAAGAATTTTGAGGTGAGGTGCATAGCAGAATATAATGCAGAGAAAAAAAATTCATTTTGTTTGATCACTCACTATCTAAAGCTAGTATTATTATTATTATGTTTTGTAACATTCAGTGCAACCAAATAGCGCCTTCCTCTCTGCATTTAATTTCTCAACACTGCAATCCAAGAATACTTTCTCAAATATTGAACATACTTGCAAAGACTTTTGTCAGCCCTGTTTCTCCTAAACTTCGTTTGAAATGTGTCTCCACATACTCTGGATTCGTTGAAAAATGTTTCATTGCATGGGATTTCTTTTTTCTGTTCGTCTATCAGAATTGGCTTGGAAAACAATCCATCCTTGCAGTAAAAGTCTTCAGATTTCAGTTGCTTAGCTGCCTCCGTTAAAAAGGCTTCAATATCATTATCGGGCACAAGGCCTCTAACGCAATCTCTTACGTAATCTTTGGTACACTCCACCATTCTGTCATAAATTATTCTGGGTTCAGAAGAACAGAATGTAAACTGTCAGATGAATCTTACAACTATAACAACATCAAGGTCAATCAATATAAAGGAACAGTCGCTATTTGTCGCCTGGGCGGGGGTAGGGGTAAAGGCTGAGGATCATATAATTTTTTCGCGAGGATTTCAGGGAGGAGCTGAGGTGGAATTAGTCAACGCCAGCAGAGTATAAGGGGGAAGTATAGTCGATTGACTGCCAATTAACTGCCTATGAAGGGGATCATAAAAGTATTAGAGAGCCTTATGAGAGGATCTGGTGAATTTCGTCACCGATCTCTCCCCCTCCTTCCCCCCCGTCCCCGCCGATAAGTAATGACCTGTCCACAACTTCCACCGTTTTCAAAACGGACAGAGACCTCTGTGAGACGGAAGATCTTCCTCAAACAGTGACTTGATGTTTTTCTTATTCCCTTTGGAATTCTTTCATCACTTTCTATAACTTTACTATTCTTCAGCCAGACACCTTTCCTTACTTTTATACCCTCATAGGTGATCAAAATTAAGGTTCACTTCAAAGTATCGATGCATTTTTAATCTAACAAACAGGTGATATGAAAAGATATACGTGTTATATGAGATTTGTTTGATCATCATTTTTTCTTATAATAAATGAATGTTTGATCGCTTGTGTGTTTATCGTCGAACTTGTCAGCCTAATAAAGAAAATGAGCTGCGGCTTAAGGGAGAACTTAACACTTTAACTCCAAAGATCTCATTAGTAATTCTCCTTACTGTCTGCCAAACGATTCTCATTACGTTAGTTGAGAGAATTTGGTATCGGATCAATTAGTGATAGTTCCATAATTGATCTTTTTCTTTATTCTCATCACTTGTCCGCATGATATTGTGTAGATCTAGTAAGGAGAAATTCTGTCCTAATCACTCACTGGAGTTAAAGGATTAAGAGTAAATGGTTATGCAATTCTCGAGTTTAAGGTTACTATTTTAGACCATTTAACACTAAATAATTCAAGTTTCATCCAGATTCCAACAAACGCTTTTGATTTCTCCTTACTTGCAATCCACAAAAGGATCTTTCTGTAGATCTGCAATAAACGCCGTCGTACATTGTCGAGCCTTGTCAATGTATTCTTGAAAAGTGCAGCTTCCAACCATTTGTAATCCGCTGCATCTTTCTAATAAAACAGCTTTGGGTAGAAGACGCGGTAACAAAAAATAAATTTCAATAAGCTTCGTGAAACAAACGAATGTAGAGATTCCTATATCAAACAATATTTTGTTTAGTTCATTTCTATACTCCAAATGTTTAACACAGCTCCGGCAGAACAGGAGGAACGGCGGAACAACTTGGCTTAGACACGATGCCGATTGTCATGAAAGATTTATCGAAATGTCTTCTATAATAACCTGACAATTTGGCTATATCATATATTCAGTATTTTAAAGGAACATCAGACTGTGATAATTATTAAAAACAAGCCGTGGGGGAGGTAAAAATGTAGACCTTGCACTGTTAACTTCAGCATAAATATGCTAAAAGCGGAAAGAGTCGAGTCCATAATTAAGTCCGTTTCCGTCTGCAGCATTTTTTAGAGATTTGTCTCTTACAATCGCTCTGTTCTGAGTCATTTTTCCTCGTCTTGCAATTTTTACCTTTATGTTAAAGCGAATAAGGGAATCAAATTGTTATCGAATATTTACTGCGCAATGGCGAAGCTCACATATATGCAATGGTGAAGTTCAGTTTGGCTCTAATGGCGTTTAGCTCACCTGATAAAAAGAAAATCCAACCAACAGCGAAGGTCTTAAACATAATTAGAAAAATAACAGATGATGACTGTAAACCCATAAGATGGCGTCCATGTTTTCAATCAATGTCGTGATTCTTTATGCGTAAACAACTTATGATTTTAATATTCACATAAACAATTTTTCAGTGATCCGTTGCATCCGCTTCATTATATTTATATTGTCAGTGCTCAAACACCCGTATCGCCCTCACATCATGCAATAATTTGCCCTACCGTAATTAGCAGCCGCACGGCTTGGCAGCCTATATCAATCATGTAACCCATAGATGGCCAAGTAACATGTACAGTCCACTTTATTAACGATAAATTGTAGAGTGTTTTTAGTCATTTAGATTTTTAACGTCACGATGATTTGTCTTGGAGTAGTTCATTAACGTCATACACGTGGTCTCTAAGCAGTCGTCGCGCCATGTCCATGGCAGCCGGGAGAGCTATTGTACTACTCGACATAATAACAAAACAACAATTTAAAAGAAGCATTCTAGAAAAAACCTTCTCTTTTTTTATCAACATTGTTTTTATGTTTGTCTGAATTTTGCTTTTGAAATTGTCGCATTGAAGACGCCCATTCTATTTATGTCAGACTTATGGCTCGCTGACAGAGTTGCCTACTTTATCGATTCTAAACTCGTCAAGTAGAGATTAAATGAGAGTAATTAGCCATTCTTGGTAACTGTTGCTAGATGGAATAAATATTATGATTTTTATGTTTAATGCTGCAAGATGGAATTTTAAAATTTTTAAACGGTGAAACGAAATGGAGTAAAGCACAGGTTTCTTGTGTGCAGTATCGACATCGATCTCGCAGCTCTTCTTAAGGTAGATGTTACACTAAAATTAAACCTTACGAGAGAATAAAGTTAAAGATTCAAAGGACGATACAGGAAGGACGATGATTCTTCTTTATTTTGTTACTTAATCTATGGATTTTTGACATCAACTTTTATCAGGTTACTGTGGTATTTCGTGCCGAACCCAATCTGTTCATTTCCAGTCCAGGATCCAGTCTTTCAGTTCGACCCCAAACCCCTTATCACAAAATCATACAGCACTGCGAGCGTAATACTCAACATCCTTGAAAGCGATTTTTTGTTCCTGCGTGCACCGCTGATTTCTGGCCTCCTCGAGGCTTGATATACGATTGTGGTCCCATTTCTAGTGTTATTGCAAAACAGGTTGAACTGATTTTGCGTTGGTACGGGCATGGTGTCGTTACGGAAACGATCAAAGACTGTTTGCGTACAATTCCCGTTAGTGTCTATTTTTTCGGGGGCTTGATATGCGACAACGGTTGCATTTCCAGTGTTTTTGCAAAACGGGTTGAACCGGTTTTCGGATGGTACCTGAATGCTACTGTTACAGTTACGATCAAACACTGACTGCGTGCAATTCCTGGCAGCAGAAAAAGCTCTGAAGAAAAATTACGAGATAAATGTATGTCAAGTTATATCTTAAATCTACAGAAATAGGGTTGAAATTCTGCCCCATTAGTCATGTCCATTTAATTCTATTTTTTTTATCCATTTATTTTTTCCTTTTAATTTGTTGTCCTCAACAATTTTCTCCGGTTAAGCAAAGTCAATACCCTTGAAAGAAAGCCTGTTCATTTCTTACTGTTGCAGTACCCTGGGCTGAGGATTTTAGAACTGAATGGCTTATCACATCATCTTTATCATGAAAAGACAAACAAACAGACACATGAAAATTATATTGTAGGTTAAACATATTCGAGAAGGTCTTAAAACGCGTACAGTTTCGACGACTGAATGTAGATTAAAATCGCTACTTTTTGTAAAAAAAAACAATTGTTTTTTTGTTCGGGCAAGGCTATGCAGCACTGTAATACAGAGATTATCTCAACCACACACGTGACACATCAAGTTTCCTATAAAAGATACTCACCCGCACAATCTGGGGTCACTCCTGTTAGTGTTGAAGATCTCTCTGAAGTCTTTCGTACATTTGTATCCCTCAGCGAAGAGTTTATCACTGCAGGGAAAATGCTGTCTGAGGTCTGGATCCAAGGATGACATATTGGTTGGTTTATTAGAGCAGTACCACTGAGGCGAGCCAGTTTGTTTTAAGAACAGCGCTGTTTTGTTGACCGCATAGTCTATTTGGTCCTCACTGAAGTATCCTCCGAGGCACTGGCGCGTCTTTTTAACAAAACATCCTGAAAGTTGCGCATGCACCGTGCTGTTTGGAGAAAAACGTGGAAAAATTCAACCCGTTCAGCCATAGACGGTAAAGTGTTAATTATTCTGGTGTGGATACGTCATGTATTCCGGTGAGTTTGTTTCGTTCTTTGTCGTGAATAAACAATGATTTAAATCTCTCTCGTCTCTCACTGATTGAATAAAAAATATATTGGCAAAGAGCGAAAAAGCAGAAGGTATACTACAGTTTAAAAATTTGAACCAAAAGTTGTTTAGGCGCCAGTGTTAAAGATCCCTCATGAAAATATGAGTTTGATGACAAGAAGTATTCGTTCTTATTTTGGAACTGCTCAGTAAAACAAAAATTATATCTCCTTTACAAAAATGAAAGCTTTTCCTCCTTACCGGCAATCTGCAGTAAGATTCCTTGCCAATTCCATGTAAAATATCTTCTCGCAGACACCAACAGCTTGTTCTACAAACTCTCTCTCGCTACATGAGCCAAAGGGCTGGGTCGAGGATGACGTCATGTTTCCTTGTTTATGCAAATACAAAGCAGATAGGTATAAAAATCTCGATATAAGGTATATATGTGATAAGGCGTAAAGAATACCTTTAGAGGTGTAAACTTGATATCCTATAACGATTTAAGTATTTTCCGTCACCTAATAGTGATAATTTTTTTTATGACAAATGTAGGAAAAAAGAATATCAAAAAGATATTTTTCATGTTGATTTGGTGTCCTACTTGTTTTAATAAATGACGCTTTCAAAAAGAAAAAGATTGTAGGATTCAAAAATTATCTTTCTTCCTCTTTGAAAAGCAGAATTTCAAGAATTTGTGTTTTGGTTTTTTAGAGGAGCAAAACGAAGCAAAATCTTGGTGATATATCAAGTTTAATTTTTATTATTATTATTACTATTTTTCTTGGTGTTCTCACTTTTATCTTGGTTCAGTTTTAGCAGTACTTTCTGATTATTTATTTTGTTGTCGTTATGAAGAATTGCATTTGAAATCTAATCACCTGGACATCCACTCGGTAAAAACTGTTAAGAGTTTGCTACGATTAGCTGATTTTATTGAACGAAGATCAATAAGTGTCATTCACTTTCTCAAACGGAAATTAAAGTTGATGTTATTCGGGTCAGATACATGTGCGATAATTTTAAGTCACGACCTTTTATTGTCTATCATATGATGTCCATAAAGAGCAATTTCCTCGAAACAAATTAAAATCGTTTCTAGAGGAAGGAAATAAAAGAATATCTTATAGTAGTCATTATAGGTCAGATTTTTTCTGAAGCTAAAACTAAGCCAGAGAGTCATTCTCAAATTCTTACCAGCCTGAAAAAGCGTAAGAAACGTCAGAAGAATCACCAACTTCATGTTTTCCTCCTGTTTTAAGGCACATCACCTATGTGTGACTTCCTATGCTAAAATGCAGTGTTTTCACACTTATATACCTTTTCCACGTTTAATGATTAACGTCCATAGTAATGTTACTGACTTATTTGTTCATTCTTTCTTTGTATATATTTGTTTCTTCAAAAATAGCGTGGGTGTTTAAAATGTTCGTGCTCTACCAAACTTAAACTAATCTTTTCTGTAAGTGGTTCTCTCAAGCCTGAGGTAACACTTACCTATAGATAAGATATATATAGATTATTACTTTTATCGAAAGTCATTCGGCCTCAGGTTATTGTGAGGTAGTCAAGAAAGTTCATGCAAGGTTATTTTGTATTCATCAGCCACATTTTAGCTCGTCCACGATGTTTCCTTTCCAAAAATCAGGATTAAGATGACCTGTAATATCATCGTTTACAGTTACTTAGTACATTCTGTTAGAAGCAATTAGTGTCGAGTTATTACTGACACAAAACAAAACCTGCAGGCACGTTTACTGCGGTGAAATAGCCACATAAGATGGAAACCTCTTCAAAAGTAAGAATATATTAAGTGTTTGCTTTCTCTTTCATCTTCATTCAATTTTATGTAAAAAAAAGTGTTTTGAAGTTAAAGTGCAGTATTCAACGGACGTTCTTGTTAAATGATTTAAAATCAATCGGTCAGAGTACGACTCATGCAAGTTTAATAAATATAGTAGACAAAGTTGGGGCCCGCTACCATCAATAACACAACTGATTAGCTAAATCTACTGAATTGTAACTTTTTAGCTGTGTATCACGGACACACAGCTCAGATAACTAATACATGGTGTCTGTGTAAAATAGTTGGCTCGGTGAGTTTTCCTGTACTTATCAACCTCGCAATTCCAAAGGCGCCTTTATTTGAAAACAAAAAGGTTAGAGTGTCGATGAAACTCAGTTTATGTTTAAAATGTTGATCAGCAGTAGATAGACACGTATTAACTTTCAACTTGGATCATGAAGTGCATTAAGGTAGCAATGTGCAGTGCGCAATTGGAAAACGCCTTTTCGAAAAACGAAAACCACTGTAAAACATACTTGTGACCTAAGGGAAGCATGTTTTGCAAAATTATTTGCCTCTTACTGATTGCCTTGCTCTTGCGAAAAGATGTGATCCCGCCCCCTGGCTTAAAACGCACTTTACACTTTTCACGAACCACTGTCAACCATTCATGCATAAAACATCGCATTGTAATTGTGAGCTATTTTAAAATTCTAAATAACAGATAAGGAGCCGATACTTTCTTCGGTATTGGACAGAATAGCGGGGGTGATTTTCATGGTTCGAAACTTTCACAACTTTTACAGTTCATTCCTAAGTGTTTCAAGTACCTTTGCTGTTCAGAATGTTTTACAATGACACAATAATACTTTTGATAGTTTGGTTTTGTCAACTGAATTGATGACATAATTTGGCTCCCATAGACGTAACTCCTAGTTTCCTCAGAAACTCACCCCCCCTCCCTCCATTAATAATTTCGATATCAACGATTCTCCCATTTTACTGGTTTTTATCATTTGTTTGCTTGAATTGACGTGATAGACATTGTAGGATAATACGGGAAAGCATGAAATCACCCCAGTGACTTGCGTTGAAACAAGACACATTGTCTGCCCTTATAACCGATGTTCAACCTATTCAGCTGGAGCTGCTAAAGCACACAGGGTAACTGGAGTAATGAGCAGCCAGACGCTTTGTAAGCAGTCGATGATCGGACGAAATAAAGCAATAGGTAAATAAAAGAGCACATGAAACAGACGCGAGAGGGAAACCCACTAGAAGAGGAACAAGCAAACCTAACAACCAAACTTCCCAGCTAACTAATTCAACGAACGAAAAAATAAACGGGACGAAAACAAACGCAAGACGGTGAGCTATACTAACGAATGAACGAGTGAGGGCCAAACGACTGACCTAAACTGATTGAAGCTCTAGCCATTATTCGATGAATTATTCGACTCATGATGAAAAAGGATCAATGTTGATCGTCATGTTACGTAATACATTACAGAAGGCAAACATATTAGTTCTATTTAGATCGGTGCGCTTTGTAAAATAATCTGTTATCTTATTTGAAATTTATTTCACCGAGCTTTGACAATTCGCAAATAAGAAAAGACAACACAAAAATTAAGAATTACATTATCTGATGAAAAATTTGCATAATGGAAGATTTAACATCATGAAAGACATAATTGTTTGAGGTATAGTTGTGCTGAAGGATGTGGAATATTTCAACGAGGTAAGTTTAGTGTCGTTTTAATTTTGATTGAAACGAATCGGTTTATGCCAGATAATGTGCAAGGAAAAAGGCTCCAAATCTATTGATCACTAGTTAAGGAAATTAAAACTATCAGAAGATCCTGTTTCGAAGCTTGGTTGCCACTAAAAAAACTTGGTTTAAGATGAATTGCGTAAAGCTATTCACTAAACCACATTACTGAGTCGATCATAAGTATATAAAAAGGCGGAAGATTTGTTACTGAGTTACCGCTCACAGGGAATCCCTTGATCACGAGAATCTTCGTGGGTCCGGACTTGAATCCCAGGGGTAATTTTTCCATATGAATGGGTCGGGAATTATTTATTGGCTCCGAAAAGTTGATTTTTGTCGCTCCTGTTAGAATTCATGATCGATTTATTGAATGCTTTGAAAGTAAAACAATGGAGCAATCAGGAAATTAAAAAAAAGAAAAAAAAAAAAAGCGTATTTTTTTTTGAGGTAAGACCTGCATTACTATTCCTAAGATTGAGACTTTAAAATATAGCTTTGGGCCCATTAAGTTAGCTAGACTTTCGAGAATTTCGTCGGAATCATGTCGTTGATCCCGCCACAATTCTGACCATGAAATCCTTTACAAAGTAGCTTGCTTTCTAAACTGAACTAAGATCCGGCCCTTGCCGCATTTAATCAATTGACAGATTCTCTTAAGATTTATTAGTGTTGTCCTACTGACGACCGGCAATCACAGGGACAACCAATCACATCATTGTTTTGATATCAAAACTGAATATTACTGAACGTGATTCTTAATAATATATTTTTCTTTGTTCGTTTTAGTTGAGATGCCTCTAAAAATTTGTCTTCAACTTTTCCATTTCCATAGCATATGGATTTTCGCATCTTTTGCCAGCTTTTTAGCTCAAGGATGCACAAGAACCAACTCGATTGAGAATTACAAACTACTGGGACACACAATCACAAGCCAGGTCGAAAAAGACATTTGGAGTTGTTTCCAATTGTGTAAAAGTAACGTCAAGTGTCAAAGTATTAACTACAACGCAGAAAAATCCATTTGTGAGTTGAATAACAGAACTAAAAACGGGAATGAAGTCCGGTTTGTTCCATCAGACGGAAACGTGTATGTGGACAATCCCTTCAGAAGTAAGTCGAAAAATATCATATCTTAATATTATGTTTTCATCAAGTCGTTAAGTTTTAAATCAAAAGGCCATAATTTATCTAGCTAGTTAGCTGCAGAAATTTAAGTCTCCCACAAAATTAGATGTCAAAGTAACTCAGACACTAAACAAATATTGCGCCATTTTAAATTAGTGGTCATGGCAATTTGGTAAAGGACTGTCAAAAAATCCTTCCAGATTAAAACCTGTCGTTTCAATTTTGACAAACGGGGTTTTTTTTTGAAAAAGAGCTAATCAGAGGTGGGCATTTTGTATCGTATACGAAATGTTTCTTTTCATGAACAAAGATTTCGCTCCTACTGATTCAGTATTTTTACAACCTTTCCACGGATTTTTTTCCACGTTTACACCTTTAAAGATAATTGAACAGAAAAGCTATGAAGATGGATAAAATAATTGGGCTATTTTTATTGGATTTTATTGCTCCATTCTTACTTTCCTCCAATCTATTTTTGTATTAGGCCGTATAGGCGAGGAAGAATACTTTCCTGGTTTGTCTTGTAAGGATATAAAAGATTCGCAGGAGAACTCTCCCAATGGAGAATATTGGATCGCTCCATCCAAATCTGATGCCCCTTTTACAGTTTTCTGTGATATGCAAACAAACGGAGGTACGATAAATGAAATACAGGAAATGGTTTGAACGCAAGAGCAACAATTGATTGTGTTGTGTGATTGAGTAATCTTAAGAAGGAATGCTGACTGTAATAGTGACTGACGTTTCGACAACCAAAACGGAAATTACAATCAAAGTAACTTGACTCTGATGATGACTTCCGCTCAAGTTCGTAAGTCGTCTGCTTAGTGCAATTTTTTTTTCCTGCACGGGAACAAAACGGGCATTCGTGAGCGGGTAAGATGAGTCCATCTTGCCCGTTCGGGTAGCCAATCAGAACTCGCTTATCTGTCGTATATGTACGTAATTTCTGCCTGAGGTGTATTTCACTCTGAGCCGGCTGATATCTGGCTAGTTTTATTCTGAGTTTCAGTGTCACAAATTTTTTTCAGGTGGCTGGACTCTGATCGCACAAACTGTGGTCAAAAACACCACGTCATTAACGCCAATGGTCAGAGAGAAAAACTACAGAATGATAAGTAATTACAGCAAAGGAATCATACGTATTGATGTGTCTGCAATATTTAAGTTAAAACAACTCACGGGTTTCACGCAGATACGGTTCTACTGCCATAAAAAAACCACAGGCAGGACTCTTCATATTATGACCAAAAATGACATCAATGGACACAGCGTGGTGAAATATTTCATTGAAGATCCTAACATTCAGCCAAGAGCTTGTGCCTCGTTTGAAAGGTTACCTGGGGATAATGCTTATCTTTCGGTTAACTGTTCAAAATGGGGGAATGATGGGATACGTGGTGAATGTGAGAAGTGGGGAAGTTTTAAAAATAAGGGCAGTTTTCGTATCTATAACGATCCGATATTCTGGGAAGGCAAATATTATGTGAACATAAAACCTTCTGTCTTGGCCTGTGACGATTTATACAGTTCCTCAGCCCCTCTGTCCGTAGGAGATACATGGCAGGTCTTTGTTCGTTAACTATATGAAAAAGAGATCAGAAACTAAGCAGTTGGCAACGAGACACACCTTGTATAGAGATTGAGACTCCGAAATACTGTGAAATATAAAACAGTAAACAATGGTCGCTGTAAAACTCATTAATATTTCCATAGTACTGCACAGATTACAACTTGTGACTTATTCGCAAAGGAACTGTGTACGGAAAACTTCGAAGCCAACCGCGCATGACTCCAGGCAACTTTAACAACGTAATGTCAGAAACCGTAGACAAACAAAAGACAAACCAAACTTTGTCACCTGAACTAGTAAAATACTGAGACGAATCGCAAAGGCTGACGGAATTTCGCGATCGAGTCGAGAAACTCTCCATACTCACGATTTTTCGAGGAAGCATGCCCCCCCCTCCCCGCTTCCTGTTTCAGCCCACTGATAGTTAAAAAAAAAATTTCTTTATTTACATTGTGCATACGTTCCACAGCATGTTTCATCTAGAAAATCAAGCCGAATAGATTTTCTTTGTAAAAAAGTTCCTTTTTATGTAGTAACCGCTGTTGGTGGAATTTCTAGACTGTCATGTTTATAGAAAGTAATGTGCGTATTGTGAGATAACGTAATTTAATGAAAGTCAGGATTTTAAGATTTTTAAATACTGTCGTGTCTGCCGCAAGCCAGTTTTTACAATGGGTAAGTTGATAGTAAAACCAGTGATCTTGTAATTAATTCCCCTCCCTCCCCCCCCCCCCCACCTCTCCGTAGAAACTTCTCCTTTACATATTGTGAGGTATCCTGACTAATTTAAGAAACTCTGCAAGAATTTTAATCAATGTTAGAACAGTTATGTCTATAATAGCGAATGTGCCGTTGTTAAAATAATCTAATTAGTGTCAGTGGTATAAACTGAATGTTAGCATTGCATTCTGTGTTGTGAAAATTAAAAAAAATCAATTTTGAGAAAAAATTACAGAAAATAGCTTATTTTTTTTGTCTCATGTTGTTGGTCGTGAACGAAGACGCACAAAAAATCAAAGATGGTTGCTTTGTTTGACTGCGTTCCTGATAATTTGCTAATTTTGATCCGCGCACGCTTTTTGTGAGACAGTGGAGGTTAATTCCCATGAGACACACCGCACAAGAAATTTGTTAGCAAAGCTTAGATCTTAAATTTGAATGTGTTGCAAGTCGCAAGAGTTTTATTGCAGCCGCTCGAGCAGTTGTGGGAAGAATTTGACTCAAATAGGAATCAACCGCGCTAAAAACTGGTGAGAGCTCTTTTGTATTTTCTAAATTGTAGAATGTTAAGTTTTAATGTGGGGAGTTTTCGCAAAAGCGACTGACACAATCAAGACGACGCGAATTGAAAAAGAATCTCGGAATTAACTGGATTGCTCCAGTTTTTGCATTGATATAAAATTTTTTCAAATCACTGCAAAAAGGAGGAGTTTTATCTAAATACACGAGTGAAAATTTGGACATTGGTTTTCACTTGTTGCAGAAAGCCATTTTATTTGGTAGGTAATGTTGTTTTGCATGGGTTGGTTCAGGAAACCCTTCAAAATTATACGCACGTGCACAGCGGTTGCTACATTCATTAATTAAAGCCGTTGTTTACCTGATACTGCCGACACCATCGTCCCGGCAGAGCAATCAAACATTTTTATCCAACATCCTGTTGGAGGAGCATGTTTGACCGTATAATGGCCTTTCTGTACGTTGTATTTAAATGGCCACTTTGAATAATCCGGATTAAAAATTTCATCGGCTGAATGTTTGATCATTAAGTCATTCCATTCTCCGTGTCACAGACGCGATGACAATCGCGAATGTTTAATACCTCCACTTAGCCGGGTCATGTGAATAACGTAACAGATACGCAATAATTTTTAAGGGGACTACATTAGTTGCCGCAATATAATTTTCACAGTATAATATTTTCTTTGCGGCTCTGGCAGCATTTCCGAAAGGCTTTCGTTTTCTCAGTTTCTTTTTAAAACTTTGGCTGACAAAAGATTTTTTCTTTCGTGCGTCTGCCCGCAAACTTCCCTCGAGCACACAAGGCGGGATCAGTTCGAAAACGATGCTTTTGGCCTATAAGTCTTCTCAGTATATTGTAGACAGGACCTGAGATCGCTCATTGTTGGTAATTTAATTGTACTAGCGCACTTTATTTTGCTTCGCCCTCCGTTTATCAAAGTTCAGAATATTTTAAAAGATCGAATTCTGTAATTGTCAAATCGTGTTCATTCAACTCCGCCTTTTTAAAATATCTAATTCATGAAGCGTTTTCAAAAAGGTTTTTTTTTTGCCTTTGTTTTACAAACCACTACTTCTATTCCGTTTTCGCTAACTTCTTCTTAGATATTCGGCAACATTCGATTCCTAAATTCTGTCGTTTTTGTTTGCGCCGGTTCATGTCTTCTTGGGCACTTCGATTGATTTCTCGCGCTCGTTGACGGGTTTCCTCAGAATCAGTGACTTGATCACAAAAAAAGACGTTAAATTTGTTGTATTATGTTTCCAGCCCCACTTAAAGTTATGTTATACAAGCGAACTGTTCAAAATATTTTTTACGAGCAAGTGAGTAAATGTTTGTTTGAATACTTATTGAATTGTTTCGCTCTCCCAAGTTGGTATGCCCAGCCCCCGTCTTTTCCATCATTGTCGATCCCGTTTCACGTCTTGCATCTCAGTTATTTAAACACACAACGACCCGTTTGCTAAAAAGTAGTGACATTGAATACACGAATGGCGTCAACGAAATTCTGAAAGTATCATTATAGTAAATCGCAGCATTCAACAATCGTATAAAATTTTAAAATAAATTATATGTCTATCATTGAAATGACTAAATCGACTAAATTTTGATTACTTTCGCCTATATTTTTATCAATCGTTAATTGAAGAGCTTGCACTGGAATCAAGTTTTAAAAAAGAAAACATTATGCCAAGTGATTCTAGAAATGTATCACATTGTCTGAAATCTTTGCCGTCTTTTCCGAGTCTCTCCGATGTTTTCGTCGTTGCTATCTTCTGGGATGATGTAGAGGCCCATCATTCGGCAGGTATTGCAGTCAGAGTCTGCTTTCTCAAAGTGAACATGTCTCCCCCTGGGAGGATCCAAAGTACTGTGCCTCCTCATTCTCTGAATCGCATGTGATGTGAGAAGTTCCAAAGATTCCCTGTGTCCTCTTTGCGCTGCGCGCTGTAATGCAGTAAATTCGAATTTGTCAGCGGATGTTACATCACTGCCATGCGTCAACAAAGCTTGGATAGTTTCTTTGTGGTTGTTGTGCGCCGCCCGATGTAATGGCGTATAACCCCAGTTGTCTTTAGCGTGTACGTTTCCCCCACGTGTCGCTAGCAGTTCGCAAGTTTTCGTGTGTCCGTTCTGAGCAGCAAGGTGAAGGGCCGTGAGTCCACTACTCATTGAGTTATTTATTGAGCAACCATATTTAATAAGCACGCAACAAGTGTCTGTAAAGCCACCATACGCGCTAAGAACTAGTGGCGTCGACTTCTCTTTACTCGACGAATTCACGTCACTACCTTGTCTAAGAAGGCAATCCACGGCTTGAGTATGACCATTTTGAGCAGCACGGTGCAGAGGCGTGTGTCCACGTGAATCTTTAGCATGAATGTTGCTTCCTCCCACGACTATCAGAGCTTGGACTGTTTCCAGATGTCCGGATGTCGCAGCACAGTGCAGGGGCGTGGACTCGGATTGATTTACTGCATGTGCACTGGCACGATTAGCCAGCAAACTTTCAACAGTATCTGTGTGTCCGTTTTGTGCTGCACGATGTACAGCAGTGTTTCTCCATTTGTCCGTACCGTTGATGTTGCTCCCTTTGAGAAGCAAATATTCCACAACGGAGGTGTGACCATTTTCTGATGCCTTGTGCAATGCTGAACAATCGCAGTGATCAAGAGCATTGACATCAGCGCCTTCTCTCAGTAATAACTCGACTGTTTCCTTATGACCATTCTCTGAAGCTAAATGAAGTGACGTATGGCCATCTTGACGGCGGCTTTCCTCTGCGACGCCATTCTGACCCGTTGAGGAATTTGTTCGTAAATTCAGGCTCGATGATGACAAATTTATAGTGTATGTTCTCGCCTTAATGTCACTTTTCTCCCTTAGTAAAAGCTTTGCAGTCTCTTTGTGTCCGTTCTGTGAAGCTCTATGAAGTGGAATGAACCCTTGAAAGTCAGTTGCTCGCACGCTACTCCCACTTCTGATTAGCAATCGACAGGCGTCCGTGTGGCCACGTTCTGCAGCTCTGTGGAGTGGTGTGTATCCCAGACAATCAATTGCATGTATTTCGCTATCATGTAGCAGTAAGGTTCGTACAGTGTTGACATGGCCTTCGCTGGCACTTCTATGCAGTGGCGTAAACTTCCATTTGTCAGTGGCGGAGATATGAGACCCATGTTTAATAAGTAAAGTAGCTGTTTCAGTGCGACCACACTCCGCTGCCCGATGCAAGGGAGTGTAGCTCCAGCTGTCCCTGCTGTTTGGATCGCTTCCACGCAGCAAGAGGACTTTGACTGTTTCAAGATGTCCATTCTTTGACGCTCTATGCAGGGCCGTAAGAGCCCGTTTGTCTTTTGCAGAAACGTCTGCACCATTTTCGATCAGCAACTGGATAACATCCGAATGACCTCTCTCTGATGCAAAATGAAGACAGGTGGTTCCAGTTGTGTGATGGGGTGCATCCAAGTTAGCCTTGAAGTTAATGAGATGTTTACAACACTTTACATGGCCATTGTTTGATGCTATCATGAGCGGCGTCAGGCCTTTATCGTTCTTGGCATTTACCATGCTTCCTGCTTGCAAAAGTGTTTCTAGGGTTCTGTGTTGTCCATTTTGCGAGGCGCGGTGTAATGCTGTATTTCCATTGTTGTCGACTGCATCAACATGGACACCAACATCGATCAGAAACTGGGTAAACTGAACATTTCCTTTGAGAGCAGCGAAGTGAAGAGCTGTTTTTCCAGCTTTGTTATTCGCATTCCGTTTTGCTCCGCTGCTTATCAGTAAATTCCCAACGTGTGTGCTATTATGAAATGCAGCAATCATCAGCGGAGTGATGCCGTCCTTCGCTTGTGCATTAAATTTTTCTCCATGTTGTATAAGTTCCTTAGCAACCTCAACACAATTTGTTTGTGCTGTAAAATGCAGCGGGGTGAATTCGCAGTTGTCTTTTGCATTGACATCAGCTTTGTAATTGAGAAGAATTTTTGTTATGTGAGCTTTTCCCGAGAAGACTGCATAATGCATTGGAGAGTATCCATGTTGATCCTTTGCGTGAAGATCACTCCCACTGCTGATCAGTTCCTCGATAGCATTCTGTTGCACATTTAGGAGAGCTAAGTGCAGCGGGGTACATCCTTCATTTGTTTTTGAATCGAGGTCGCTTCCCCTCTTTAAAAGTTCCCTAACAGCGTTTACATTTCCATTAGATGCCGCAAAGTGTAGGGCTGCTAGGCCCATTGAGTTTTTCCATTTCACCTTCGCCCCACGTTTATATAGAAGGCGAATCGTGGTCTTATCGTCGTTTAAAGAAGCCAATATTAAGGGTGTCATACCACTTTCACTACAAGCATTGACATTGGCTCCGAGGTGTACCAAAGTGCGAATGGTGTCAGTTTTACCTGATGAGCATGCCATGATAAGTGGGGTCCGCTGATCTTTAGATAGTGGATCTACATCATGGCCACCTTCCCTGACAAGCCTTTCGACAGCTGATGCATCCCCCATCACTGCTGCGATGTGCAAAGGGGTCAATGACTTCACCAGATCCTTTTCCACTTTTTCGCATTGTTGGAGTTGATTTATTTTTATCTCCTTTAGTTCCCGTATGAGTTCTCCTATAGAGTCTATACTTCTTGTTCTTCTTTTTGCATTTTCGACGAACAAGCTTTCTTCATTAGTGCGATAGTCATGGACTAGGTCAGTGAGGTTTTCTTCGAATGGCAGAGACAGGTCGCTCTCAGGCGTACTTAGTCCCATCACTGAGCTGAGACTCGTTGGTCTCCCTCGAATATCCTGGTGACTCGCAAAGTTTTCCATCGCCTAAAAGCCAAAAATTCTTAGGTTAAGATTATGAATAATTAAGTTTGACCGATGCACTTACAATAGCCATCAAGCAGAATCCCAAGTTTAGAGATTTCTGGAAAATGAAATATTGCCTTTGGCTATTAGGAGTCAGAAATTCAGCTTTACTTGTCTTGAGTGGTTTACCAGCAGGTCCCGAGGGGTCAATAGTTTGAGAAAATGAAGTATCGCTCGAATGTTGATAATTACTTGCATTTTTCTCCATGTTTTGTAGCAAATGTCTTGTTTCATTTGGTCCCCGGCACCATTTCACTTGCACCAGCGTAGATGCATTTATTGAAGAGATCTCTATTGCAGTAAACAGGCATCGCTATTATTTCCGCGGAAACAAATGAATAGATAGAGCTGTTTTGTTTACTTAACCTATGCGTGCTACAGCTCACTTCATAATGGCCTCTTTGCGGAGCGATCGATTGTTCCCTTTATTTTTTTAATGTCTCGTTTCTAGAACATTCGTACCGCTTCCAGCGTTGCTTTTTGTAATCTGAGCAACCCCGGTTACAGACTGCAGATTGACTCCGTTTTTAAAATGAAAGATGTGCTAGAAAACGAAACGAACTGATCAGATTAGCTGAATTTTCTGCCTTCGAACAAAGATCGCTTTTGTATCTTGTCAACAACATCGAATTTGTAAACAGTAACCATTGTTTGCAAGCTCAGTACTTCAATCATTGCCTGTTTGTACAAATTTGTCTCAAGTTGTGTGGCTTGATTCGGGAAAGAGCCTCAGACAAAACGACTTCAATGTTATTGCGAACTTTTAGCGAATGTGTTATCCAAGACAAAGCCAGTATTGAGGATAGCATGTTACCTTTTGACATAGACCTCACTTTTAGACTCATCTGTAAACTACGCAAATCTACACAATATTGCGAATTGACAATGTTGTACCGTAAATCCTGCCGCAAAGATCCCAGGTTCAAATAGGTTGGAATGCCTTACCGTAGAGCTCAAATCGTATTCCATCTACATCGGTGACTCAAGTAATCCTTCTTCCCTCCAAATGATGGATCATTACGTTAACAAAGTAGGACTCAGTTCTCAACGTGAATGCTGTCATTCGCAACAAATCTCTTTTTTTGTCAAGGCGTGGTTGCAAGAAAACTGGGATTAATATTTGCTTTGGATCGCGTCTAAATTTTTCCAAACAGAAGCGCCACTAATTAAACCAGATGGCATATCTAATGAGTACAACGAATATCAAGTTGTTTACCAAATAATCACTCGAACGGAACAAGAGTCTATTATGTTTAAGTCACTGAGTCACGTTAACAACAAAGATATCACAACATTGCCCTCGCTCATTCTTCAAAGATAAGATTGTGTCTAGAACTGAAGTCGGACAAAATATACTGAAAACAGTTTTAAAATTTCCAATGTCGATACCTTGGTATTAATATAAAAGAAATTTAGTGTTTTCTTAGACTTAAATTGTTGTTTGCGAGCTCGCCTCTTTTTAACGAGTTTACGATGACGACAATCCTTGGCCTAGTTCACAATGTGCGTCATATCATTTGAAACGATTATCTTGTTTCATTAGCTTCAAGATGTCATTTTGGTTATTTAAACAATGATCAAAGTTTCCTTCCCCCTTCTGCTCTTTTTAAGCGATGTACCATAGATGCAATTTTAATGATTTGCTCATATCTTTAGCCCCTCGCATTACAACAGAAACGAACTAAAAAAAAAGTTGAAGGTGAAATGACCTTAAAATTTTCCAAAAATAGAACTCTTTAAATATTCTGATTTGAAGACAGACCAGAAAAATTAAGAAAATGCAAATGAAAATACTTACAAATTTTAACGCTTTAGTTTAAGAAGAAATTTGTACTCTCGCGGCAGAATCCTTTCGTTATTATGATCATTGAGGCTTTTACAATGAAGAAGTCTAGCTCTAACGAAATCGTTGTTGCACCTGATACAGCCGACTTGGAATAGATACTGAACTTCATGCATGTATGCTGAGCTGGTCAGGAGGAAATGAAATGATTACGCAAATTACTTCAGTCACGAGAACTACAAATACCATCAAAGATAGTTTCGTGTGCCCCATGTTATTCGCAAAAAAACAAGCCATCTTTTTAGTCGAATTTTCTGATTAACAGTTTTTCGAAGACCCCAAGCATGTGACAGATTCAAAGAAAATTGACTTGAAGTCAGGACGGGTTTAGTTGATTATGACAGCTAGAAACGTGTGAGAAACTGTAGAGTAATATCAATTGATTGAAACAGTTTGAAGTCATAAAGAAACAGTTTAAAACTTGCTTACCCTTCCTTTGATCATGTTTCGCTGAGAGCTTGGTTTGGCTGTGCCATTTTCAGTGGGATATGAATAGTTCGATTTCTCGTTCATTAGGCAATGTTCAAGATGTCTCACTCATTCCCAAAGAAATAGTATTTGACTAGAGCTTCTGTTATGATCGATGATGCATGATGAGTGTGGTTTCTCTATGATGGTTAGCAACAAAGAAACAGCATTTGAGTAGGGCTTCTGTCATGATCGATGATGCATGATGAGTGCGGTTTTTCTAAGATCGTTAGCAACAGAAAAAACTCGGCAAGAGGTTATAAGCTACCAAGGTAATTTCAAGAGAAAAAAGTGGCTTGTTAAGGGTCCTTAACTGCGGTCAATTACCCTATTTTCTAGTCACAGCAAATCGGAAACAAAACTAAAAGGAGTGATTACTAAATATTAATTGGAATGAATCTTACTGCATATTGAGAGTTAAAAAAATATTGGCCACCGTATTTCCACATTTTGACAATCAGGTGCCGTTATTTCATCCGATCAATTTTTATAGCGAATAGAAGGATTTCTTTTCAAAATAGTTGACGAACAATTCTTGTAGCTTATACAAATTTTAAGTAGCCTTCTGTAACGCAGTAACGAGATAATATCATTGCACAGAAGAGCAACAAGATATTTTATTAGTTTCAGTAACGACAGGAGGTTAAGTTATCTTATAAAATCTTTCAATAATCCATCAATCCGTGGTACTTCTGAAAAAACGAGTGACTCTTCTTTTAAGTGAATTTGGCTTCTTTGCAAAACCCTAAGAAGAGGAAAGAAAAAAAGAAAATATAAAAAAAGAAGAAGAAAAAACGTAAATGAAAGAGCAAAAAATTAAAAAAAGAAACAGTTGCTTTTCTTGGAAATAAGGTTATATTACAATTATCCTCTAACCTTTTCGTTTTTTTCTTCATTTTGTTTGCCATGATTCAGTAACTTGGTTTGCAAATCTGCGATTTGTATCTTGATGTAATCAATCTCTCTATAGAAATAAAACAAGTGTTAATATTTTGTCTTATTACTGGTTAAGCCTGAAACAAGACTTTGAGATAATTGACCGACGACAACACTACGCTTCAAAGTAAGAAAAAAAATTATTAGAAGCGGTGAATCTTCAGAGATTCAGAGAGGAGCCATCATGGTCATTAAATCATTGATGTTAAGCAAGTCTCACAAATTTATCCATTTTTTGCGAAATACTTACGTTTGTCTCTCGTTCATTACCGACGCAAACTGAAAGAAGAAGTAGAATTTGATGAATAAAATGTTGAGGATTTTTGGGAGGATCACATGGGCTTCAGGGGGATCGAATGGGGGATCAGTCATCGCTAACAGAGTATAACGTGGGGACGAAAGAAAATTGACCGCCTATTAACTGCCAAGGAGGGTGGGAGGTGGTCATAACAATATTACAGAGCTTTTTGGGGGTATCGGGTTTTTTTTAAATCGTGACACAGTCAAAATCTTCCACACACCCCCCCCCCCCCTCCCCGGGGATAATCAGTCCCTTAGAAGATAACGACGGTCAAAGCCGTTCGTATCTCATACAAGTTTATTATTGATGTCCTTGCCACAATATTGAGAAGCTTTCCTTACAAAACAGAAAAATTCTAATTTCGATATCTGATAGTGTCGAATTCAAGTTAGTTCGAAAAAAACTGGGTCACCTGGTATCTCAGGTTGTTCATGTAAACAAATATAAATTATGGTGACGCCGAAGGGATAAATCAACACGGGGATGAGAAATAATAAATTCTAGTTAGTATGAAAACCAGCAGATTACCTCTAGACGAGCGTTTTCGAAATCCTTTTCAATCTGTTGTTCCGTTCTGAAATAAATTCATATAGAGAAAGCATCAAATCGTTGCTGCTTTAAAACTGTTATTTGAATAAGTCTGTAATAGTCTGTGTGCATTTGACTACCACCTGATCTTTTCTTCTTAAATATGTACATATTACCAAGAGAAAGACTTTCCTTACCTTTCATGTTCCTTTATCGATTCTCTAAAAGCCTAAAAGACATAAATAAACCATAAATGGACGATACTTTCATTAACTTTCTTAAAACTGACTAAAAGCTCGAGTGGATTAGTAATAATGGGTGGCAGTTTGCATTGGTTGAGAGCGTGGGGGGAATTTTTACACCAATCACAGGGCGTAGTAAAGCACATGCAATCAAATTAAGGATAAATTTGGTTACTCACTTGAAATCGCCTCACGTCCTTTATCTGTTCTGTTATTTAACGAAGCTCTTCGCATTTCTTACCTTCACTTCAAGTTTGTCCTTTTTGATAGACTCCTCCAAACTTGAATTCTGAGGAGAAAATGCCTTAATAATTATTCACTACAAGTAATTTGATAACTAAAAAAAAACATGATGATTCTAAGAAAAACGAGAGTAAAGTTAAGATTCTCAAAAGAGAAGCTCCATCTACCTCTTGTTCTGCTTTTGTCAAAGCGGCAGCTTTCCTGGAAAAAAAAGAAAAGAAATGCCTATTACGAACCTTTACGAACCTTTTTAATTTTTAAATTTTGAAAAAAAGAAAGTTTCACACGGAAGTAACCTTTCGACATCAGCATCCATGATCTGCAAAACAACAAAATTTGCTTCCTGAGAAATAAAGATTTTCGGAACAAGGGAGAGTATTTAGGGACTAGGAACGGT